TTGGTACCCGGTAGCCGACCGGCGGCACTGCGCGTGCGCAGAGGTGGAGATTAAAATCGCTGGCTGCCAGTGCACCGGCCAGGGCCGTACCCAGAAAAAAATTTCGGAGGGGGGGTCAGAACCCCCTAACCTCTCCCCCCCCCCCCCCCCCCTGGTTACGGCCCTGAGCCCCACCAGCCCCACGTTATTTTTTTTGCCAGAACTGGAGATTGAAGCTAACGAAAACACGCTGGAATTCCATTTCCCATGTATTTTGTCAATAAAAGCAACCTGAGCGTTATTTTGTTTACATGTCACTATTATAGAAGCTCGTTACATGGCACGTAAACAGCGTCTCGGTAAGAACCATGACCCGGGCCCGGAAAGGCTCTGCCCCCCGGATCTCACCATGGGGGGGGAAGGGGGGGGGGGGGGGGGGGCACGAGCCCCGATGGCCCCCCGAAGTCTACGCCTATGACCCCGACACTTTCGAGGACCAATCCGGTAACTAAGGTATTTGAACAAATAATCGTAAGTTTTGATCAGCAGCCCAGTGACTGCATCTTCCGCCCTACTGGCATGCGCTGCAAATGTCATCGAACTGAGTATGCATACGGATGCTTCTAATATTTGGCAAAACATGCCCATTGTGCGTGCTCAGAGTAAGTCCCGCATAATGGTATGTCGGGTTAGAAGGGCTGTGACTATCGCGCAGGCGAGAGCGATCCCGCGGCTAAGCCTACAGAGCGAAATCCCAGCTGTGCGTAAGGATAACATCCTTGATAACATCTACACTTCGCAAGCGCAAGCGCACCATGGTACTTTAGCCGTGTGTCGACGGCTGCACTACCTTCCACACACCCAGCAGTTATGCTGAGTGACGTTGCTTCGGTTACACTTTGGGCCCGTGAAAACAAATTAGAGAATCTTCTTACAATTTCAAAGAGGGCGCCAACGCGGACGACAGTGTCCAGAGTAGTGTGCCTAGATTTTAGTGTTACGATTTGCTTGTCGGTGTCACGTGGTTTATGAGCCATGCTTGCAATAGGTTGTTTGCACATGACGTCAATTCGCCATTTTGTTCTTAGTTTGTTTTTTCAAACAAATTTACTACATTGAAGGATTACATCGTAACCGATTGAGATGATGTCAGCGGTGCTCTACGCATTTGAGGGGACTTGTAAATCCTTGGAATGCTCGAGTTTGGCACACCCAGACAGCGCACAACAACAAAATGGTGGACGAAATTACGTCAATGAAAACACCCGCGGCGGAAAGGGGAAACGCTCTAGTGAGGGTCCCCCGATTCTCCTGCTCAGCGGGCACGGCGGAATTGCGCGCGATCATGGCTCGCGAAATGTCATTTCCGAATGCAAACAACGCTCTTCATTGTCCCAACGTAGTGCTGCAGCCGGTATGGGATTCTACCTTATCAAAGAGTTTTAGTATTGCGCATAGAAGCAAACGCAAGCGATGTGCGTTTGCGTTAGAGTTGCGTGCCCGACGTTGTGCGTGCGCCTCATTGCCATGCGCCATCCAAGACCGCAATTTTGGGCACCGCGCACACTCAGTGTGGAACGCGCAAAGCTAACGCAAACGCACAGCGCTTGCGTTCGCTCGTATATGCAATACTAAAACTCCCTACTGTTTCACCGAAACGTGCTGCAGCTGCTGTGAGCAGACGTGCAAGCAGGTAGGCGTTCCTTCGAACTGGAAAGGCTGAGATTGGTGAAACGACGGAGCGTAAAAATGAAAGTAACTAAATTTTATAAATAAACTAATAATTAATTCTTTTTGTTTTTTACTTTTGGGCATTTGGTTTGGAAGAATATTGGCGGCGATTTTGGTCGTTTCGCCGATTGTCCAAGTCGTGACTTTGATAGCAGAATATACTTTACCCCCAATTAATGTAGTTTTACACGAATTTCACACATTAGCTCGTCTTCATTGATTTTAGACTAATTTTATTTTATTACTTGGTAATTAAAAAATGCTGCGATTGGCACCAGTGATGATAATTAGCACACTTTTGATTGCCATATCTGTTCGCGCGTTTGAAATTAAATCATAAACAACAAATTATATTAGAGCTTAAAATACGTATTAAAATATCTTAATTTTAATATTATATATTATTAATACGAATTGCGGCAATGTATGCTGCCAATTAACGCCAAGATCACAGAAATACGCAATTTAACCACAATAGTCTTTCCAGAAAAGTATAATTTAGTTTTCTTTTTAGCATATGAAAAACTCTGACATCGTTGTCAAGATAGACAAACTGTCAAACACTGGATGTGACATAAAGTCCTATGCGTCACGTGTTGCTATAAAACACAAACACATTTCAGTTGTCTGACTCGGATTCCGTGTCTGGGTTGTTGCAGTGAGAAGAGCATTTATTAATTTATACTTTTAGTGGACATATTGTAAAAATTGGAATTATTTTCTTATTCTTGTGCTGGAAATATTGGCAAACTAATTAATCATCTAAATACCCAAAAACCCATTAAATGGCCCGCAGTTCATTATTTTTCAGGATAATTATCTGAGCGAGAAAATGCATCGAGGGCACGCAAATATCATCACTGATTCTTTCAATAATTACAACAACTACAAATATCAGCCTGGATTTTAAGTTATGAAAGAATGCGAAATCAAGACCTATAGCGAGAAATTAAATCCAAAATAAAGGTTAGTTTCGGTTTCGCTCCAGAATTAAAACGCGCATCCTAGCGTAAATATTGCGCTAAACTGCATTCTTGTTTTCAGGGTAAAGAGCTGACCTGCGCTCATAATACCCTAGGTTCCTCGTATTATTAGAAATAATTTGTGTCGCTCAGTGAAGCCAGCACACTAGACAGGCTCAACAGCGGCACGCATCTCCGACCCTCACTATAACCGCCATTTTGGAAAATGAGTGGCGCCACCTATAGTTAGTTGGAGTCGCGAATAGACCTTTGCAAAAAGAGCGCTCTGGCTGCCGCCATTTTGCGAATCGAGCGACCCCTATCAACCAGAAATTTCTGGCACCCGCCCGAGCTGTGGAAACCCGGTCAGCGTGACTCCCCACCTGCAGTTGGCATTCGGAGTTCGCCGGCTTTTCTTGGAAGTTTTTACTTTATTCGCCTGTTTAGGATGCTTACCCTTTGTGTGTTATATTCCACTCTGAGAACCAGAGAATACCAGGGCTCGTAGCCAGCTCGGCCTTCGCAGGAAAAGAACTAAAAGAGCGAACGTCAAGCAGCCCGCGACGCAGGCAGTTCGACGTTCTTGGAGGATTATTTCCGTTGAGATAATCTCCAAAAAGCCTTCCCGGCTGTGTTCCGGGTCTTCGCGAAAAATAGCTGATAGGGTCGGGTCCGGGGTGTGGGTACTGAATAGACACGTTCATTCATTTGCTTTGAAGCTGTGGAAAAAAAAGGAGCTCTCTTCTACATGTTCCCCAAAACACGCCAGATTCCGTCCGATCGTCGTGAAGTGACTGTCGTCGACACTGTATATTGGATATGCTGTGTTATTTGAGACCTTTCTCAAATCCTGTTCGCATAACGCGGCACCGTGGGGTACGTACAACATTCTTGTCCAGCTCGCTTGCACCTTTGCATTTAATTGCATTATAAATATATGTTGTTCGAATTGATTAGACTCGTTGAATTTCATACTGTGGACGGGGAATATCCATGCAGTTCGGATATCCTGTGTGGTTAAATATTCTGACCTTTATAGATTGACACGGCTGAGTATACGGTGCCGTAAAACGATGAACATAAAATGAAACAAACATTCCAGTTGCATTTGTTCTGTCGCGCACGGACTCACCAAAACAGCTTTCATTTCTTTGTGTTTGTTCCCAAAAATAGAGCACTGCTTCCTTAAAGACCTCTATAAATTATGTCCGCCACAGAACACAAAAGAAAAAAGAAAACGCGGCAATTCAGCCGCTACCAGCGTCCGGAATTGCGCCAACGCAGGCTGCCACAGCCTACTGACGAGAAACTCCACAGCTCAGCGCAGTCGGGCAACACTGACGTACACTCTCCAAACCAGGGACGCGCGCTGTAAATCGCTTCGTTCGAGACTGCCGCTGGAAATGTCTATAGGAACTGAAAAGTGACGCAAACACTGATCGCCTGAGTAGCATATCCGCCTTTCAGCTGTTAAACACCATTAAATCTATGCTTTTTGGTCCGCAGTAGTCCGGAGTTTTGTTTGTGGCGCCATCTCCCGAAAGGCAGAGAAAGCACTCGGTGGAAATCGGACGTGCCCCTAGGCGCGCAAATACCGTGCACCGCTACCAATCAGGTAACCCAAGAATCGGAGCTGGTGCAGAGATGCACTCCGATAGAAAACCAAAACCCATAAACACGTCCAAACTTTTCTTTTTTTAAGCGATACGGGCGACACTTTGCATATTTTGCCTTCGTCTCCAGTCGTCGCCGCTACAGAAAAAAACAACAAAAAAACACCTTCTCTCCGCTCTTCGCGCGAGGCCAGGGAAGTTGGGATTTTCCCGTCGGCCGCCCCGGCATTCTGCCAGTAACGACACGACGAAAGGAGTCTTCCGTGTCGTCTGCTTGAAAGACTTGTTTGCAAGCATTACCCACGTTATGCGAAATCCCAGTTTGGCAATATCCAGTTGCTATGCGTAATGTTGGATGGTTTTAGAAACTCCCACCGCGGTTCTGTGATGTTTGGCGACAGCCTTCTAACCGAAATTAAGCTTGCAGAAGTCCTTTTACTTGCAGAATATCGGTATCAGGACTTTCTCAAATCGAAAGCAAACTGAGAATGAGAATCTGTTTCCATTCCAGGATAATAATGCCAGACTTAAAAAATGCAAGTTTCACACGACACCGTTTAGTACCCCTGATTGAAAGCTCAAAGCCTTTGCAACCAACTGCACGAAGCTACACTGCTGAAGAAAGAACCCTGGCGTCAGAACCGCGTGAAAGGATGGGATACATTAGTGAAACATCTTACCAGAATAAATGTTATCCAGTTTGAAGTGACACGGCCGCAATAACAAGTGATCTTTATTCATGCACCCGGCCCAGGGGGTATGATAATCATGATGGTGGCATCGCAATGGGGAATGTTAACTGTACAACTCAATAAAAAAAAAAGGGGAGGGGACAATTTTTTGAGAGCATCTGCAGAAACCAGCACAGTGCTGTCTCAGTGTTTGCTTTTTTTGCTCTTGTGTGATTTGCGGGCAGGCGATTGGGAGGAACGTCGTCTGTGGGGGGACCTTGAACGCGAGCGTCTGGAGGATGACTTTTTTGGACTTCTGCTTCGAGACCTGCAACAAGGAGGCGCCGTTTTGTTAGGAACGAGTCAAGGGTGCCTCTGTGCAGTGGCGTAGCCAAGATTATTTTCTTTTCGGGGGGGGGGGGGGGTTGAGGTGACTGGGATGTCCATGGCTTGGGGTACAGAGAGGGGGAGGGGGCAACAAATTGCATGTGTATGTTATACGGTCGGCTGGATTTCGGGAGGCGGGAAACTCAAGCCCCCCCCCCCCCCCCCCCTCTGGCTACGCCCCTGCTTCTGTGTGATGGTTGCAATTTTTTTAGAGCTGAGCATAAGCGTAATTGGTGTGAAAGAAAACATTTCAAGTGAGTGCATAAACGACAGACGCAAACATGAGCGTCCACTGGTTGCCTATTTCGAACCCACTTTCAGCACGTCATTTTCTCGAAATTTTAATGGTGGGTTCTGTTTGCGATGCAAGGTTATATTCTGAACTTCGTTAGACTCGATAAACGCCCAAAAGAAAAGCACCACGGAAAATCTTAAGGCACTGGTAAGATTTACTATACAAGTGCCCCGTATGCAATATGCATTAGCTATCTATAAGCAAATCTAGGCAGTGCGGCATCACGCGACGGGGTCACGTGACGCGACATTACTTTATACCACGACTTGACTCCTAACGGTACTAGTCTGATAACATTGTCGATATTGCAACATCACGCGACACGTCTGCACCGTGAGTCACGAGTGACCTGACATTGTGTGTCACCACACAATACTACGACATTTGACTGCCCAACGCATGTCGCATGATCATGTGACCCGTAGCGACGTACCGCTATATTTAGTAGGTTCTCCTAATTCAGCCCATGACGTCGCCTCCATGTCACTTCCACTGGCATGGCTACTGTTACAACGAAGCAACACAAACCCCAACTGCAGTTCCCTTAAAATGCAATCTGCGCTACCGAGACTCGGCCACGCGTATGTGCTGCGCATAAAGCGGTGCAAAGCGAAGCAGTCTTCCGCAGCTAGGAGTTGCACTCCGCGAGCCCCCGAAGAAGAGAAGCACTTGCCTCCTCTTCTTGGGTGAGCGGGAGCGGTGTGACCGGGACGGGCGTGTGGGCGAGCGGGACCGGGACCTCTTGCTGCTCCTGCCCTCCCGAGGGGACGCCGAGGGCGGGGGGCTGGGCCGGCTGGGGCGCCCCCCCGCCAAGCTCACGCCCGACCGCACCACCAGGGGGCTCACAATCGGGGACCGGGAACGGGAACGAGAGCGGGAAGGGGAGCGCGAGTGCTTGACGCTCCCGCGCTCCTTGCGACGCTCGCACATCCCGCCGCTGCTCCACTTCTCCTGGTCCTGCGAGCAGGTAGACGGTCGAACTTGGCACCCCGCCCGAATCAATTCGTAAAGGGCCTTCAATCTGTGCAGAGTGCTCAATCGAGGTAGATGGTGCGAATAATTCAGTCTACGGGCCTCCCGTTGGCTAAACACGGAGCTGCGTGGCAAACGAGCTGGACAAAGTGACCCTTACGGTTGAAACTCCTCACCAATTGTGACAGGTTTCGTGAGAGGAGTATTAGTAGAGTCATGGAGTAGTTGCTGACGGGATTACGACGCCTTAGCAAGGCTTCATAATCGGGTTGGAGGCTTTCTGTCCTGACCAGGTCAATTCTCACAATCTCTCTGTGTTCTGCTGTAAAACCTAAAGCTAGCCACAGCAGCACCGACACTAGCCAGAAGCGTCTCGTGCAGAGGTTGTCTGCATGTCTGTTCTACGTACCTTCTTGATAAGCTTCTGCCGATAGTGCTCGACCTGGGCACTGATGGTAAGTCCAGGTTTCCGAGGCCTCCTCCCCGACTCGAGTTCGTCTTGAAACTTCATCACCTTCAGCTAGAGAGACGGACAACAATGTCACGGTTAATAAGGGCCCCGACGCGGAGACATTCATGAATCCTTCGGTGACCCGCTGGCCGTGACGGCCACTGCTGGGAAAGAATGAAGTCCCGCCCCCTGACCTCAATCTCCCGAAGCTTGGCCCTGCGCTCCTCCCCCGTCTCTGGCTTGAGCAGCTCCAGCGTGGCGGGCATGGAGTCCTGGGAGTCATCTCTAGGAGAGCTCTCCACCAGTGGCCTAGTAAAAGAAGAACACAGAGTGTCACGGCTGTGCATAAAAAAAGACGTCATTAGAGTAATTGTATCTGCTTCACCCGCAGAAAAGAGCGGAGTACTGTAAGGGTCCTCCATTTATGCCCAAGTATTGCGAGAAGTGACTGCCGATCTTGAACGAGACGCGTCGTCGGCCTTTGACGGTGACACTTTCTCTCAACAACTCGGAAGCATGCGCGCGCGTCGTTGACTGCTTGTCAGTGGCCGCTTTAAAGAGGGACACTACCCAAAAGGTTAAACTTTTGAACCTTTGGATTCACAGTATATACTGGCAGTTCCGAGGCGGAATGCAGTGCAAAGTTTCATCTGTGACATAAATTGTGAAAAAAATAAGTTGTTTTCATCAGGAACACACTGACATTGTTTAGGAAAACTATAGTTAGAAAACTAATGTAATACCCAAAATTTTTCTTTTCTAGATATGCAGCAGAATGACTGGAAAGTGGAGCTGTGAAAACAAAATTTTCAAAATATGAATAATTTTATGCTAATATTGCGCCGAAAAATTAAATAATGTTGACCATTAAATTCCAGTTAGGAAAAACAATGAGTGAGCCTTTCCTTTTGTCCCATTCCCAAACAATATAAACAATACGCCTCACAAGTGGGCTCATTTTTGTCTTCTGCGCATGAGAAAGGAAGTAGCGGTGACGTCAGAACGCCGAGCCCTGATTGGCTGATCGCGACTCCCTATCTCAGCGTCGTCTGCTCCTTTGCAACGTCGTCTGCGTCTGTCTTACCTTTCCTGCGACTTTCGGAAGTGCAGGTCTTCACGAGCGAGCTCGACTTCGCATTTCAGAGAGGGCAGACGAAATAACTCGAGCGGTACATTGTTTTTGTCTAACAACTAGCAGACGTGCACTAAGGAGGGAAGTCGAAGGACTCACTGGCGAGGTGTCCTGAGGCGCCGAGGTTTGTTTGCTAAGAACCGAGCGTGTGTCCCGCAAGTTCCCTCCCAAATACTTTTTCCCTCCTTTCGTGTGCGGCGAGAGGTTGGCGCAGTTAACATCGTCTGCTTTACGTCTGCTAGTCAAAGCGATGGCTGCTTTACCTTTCCTGCGTCTGTCGGAGATTCACCGCTTTTTCTCCGGCGAGAGTCACCGTTGCCTCGGGAAACAAGGAGATAACAAGAGGAAGAAATTGACCTCTTAATCTAAAATTGAGGTCAGCGATCAAAGTATAATACGGGAAGGGTTCACAAGGGTCGCGCGGGCATATTCCATTCAGCACGCCAGCCGGTCCTGGGCAGACGGTCGCCGAGTCGCGGAGTGCCTGCTAGGCCTAACTGCCGAAGCTCTCTTGGTCGCGTTTGGTAGAATCGTGGCCGTTGAAGCTTTTCCCGGGTGTTTGTGGATCCAGCGTTCTTGTTCATCGTGGTCTGTTTCAAGTACTTTTTACTTTTTTTCTTGCTGCTTGAAGTTGGGATGCGTGAGAAGCGCACATTGAAAAATAAACGTCCGTGGGTCGTCCCGACCGCGACGCTGTCGGCCATGCTGATATGATCGTGAGAAGTGCGTAAGACGGCTTCGGAGCTGTCGTAGGATTTCGTCGTAACCTGCACAAAACTTACGAAAATTTTGTTTCGTGAATACGAATTTGTTCTTAACTTTTGTCTTGCGCACATTTTTGGCGTAAGATCGTTTCGTGAATCTGGCCTCTGCACTTCCGAAAGTCGCAGGAAAGGTAAGACAGACGCAGACGACGTTGCAAAGGAGCAGACGATGCTCAGATAGGGGGTCGCGATCAGCCAATCAGCGCTCGGCGTCCTGACGTCACCGCTACCCCCTGCGCAAGAAGCAGACGAACTTGCCCTCCGCATAGTTTTCCTAAAGTGAAATTTATGCCAAAATATGGAACGGAGAGAAATGTGCTCAAAGTGCTCGAACCCCTACATTTTCTTTAGCAATGATGGACTGAAAATAACTGATAAAAAAATAACTATGCAATGTAAACACATGAAACTTTTTGGGAATATCCTCTCGATGTTGATGGATGTAAATATGGCATTTTTCAAAATCAACTCTTTTTCCAGAAGTTATTTCTTTCTGGGTAGTGTCCCTTCTTAAAACATTGGTTGCGTTAAAAGGAGAATGCAATCACACAGTATCCTACTCGCACGTCGAACGTTCAAAGGTTAAAAAAGCTCCCCGCTCACCAGACTTTTGCGAGATCTTAATATAGTGAAAGTAAAGAGAAAACAATCTGTGGCCCAAAACCCGGCGCACTGCAAGGTCACTTCTCAGCAGCACTTCGGACACTTTTTTCACACGTGACCACCTCTTTGCTAATAAGATGGCGGCAGAAAGGAAAAAGGAGCGTGACTCCCAGTTCACAAAACCAGTGTCGTGTCATGAAGTCTCAGAGAAGAAATGAACAAAACTGTTTTCTTTCTCACACTGCACAGTTTGATCACAGCAGCATAGCACCAGGCAGCTTGCAGCTAAGTTCTTGCAGGATTTTTTTTTTTTTTTTTGCTTTATTTTTGAGCACAAGGTTATCACAATTCGACTGCTTAGGAGAAGACAGCTGTGCTCTATTTCTTGATTTAACTTTGGTCACAGTCAACTCGGATAAGTACAATCGAGAAAATCAAATGCATATTTTTCAACCCGCACAAATAAACTGTGCATTGCAGAAAGTTTAAACTCTGTGAATGTGAAAGTTAGAGAACATGATGTTATCTAAATAAAAAAAATATGAGAGAAAAACAAAATGTTTCTACGTCAAGCCAACGTCCAACTGACTTTTATATTCATAAAGTAAAAAAAAAAAATTACACTGTGAGCACCTCTAGCATTAATTTCAGTGAAACAACCTTGTAGGAAAGAAAGACAATACTGTTTTCTTTCCTCCTAAAAAGATTTTTTTTTTTTTTTTTTATGAAATTAGATGTTACAGGGCTTCAATGTCATTTCTTGGTTTAATGAATACAGTGCAATCCACTTGTAACAATAATGAGAAAACCTCAAATATTCAATCGTAATAACAGGTTATCGTTGTGTCTAGACTAGAATCTGAGCTTTTACAGTCTAGAAACTGAGCATTTCTAGTCTAGAAACCGATCGTTACGAGCAGTACATTGTTACAAAAAGCTTAGGTGAATGCCGGCTCGTAGAGAAAATTCGTTTTTTTCTCGTATCTTCCGATTCAGGCAACATCACATTCTCAAACTTTTGCACTCTATTACCACCGCTAGCGTCACATTCTCACGGAGTTTCACCTTCCTGCGATGCGGTTTATTTACACGAGCCGAAAAACACTGATCTCTTCTCTCACGAACGTCCAGTACTTTGGTCAGTCTCTTTGCCGAGCAACTGACTACCCCCCTTATCCTCTAACCACTAGAGAACAAGAGCAGTAGCCCATGGTTATGGGGGAGAGACCGGGACAACACGGCACTACGTCTGAAACGACGCTTCAACCGGAGCCGCATTCTGGTTGCGGCCAGCATTCGAGCCGTGACCGCCGTGCGTCAAGCTGGCGGTAGCATTCGACACAAAGAAGCCAGAATCTCGGTCGAAGCTGGCCAAGAGCGCCACTCACTCGCCGTCGATGTCCTCCTGGCTGGGGTCCTCCTCGCCCTGGTCCAGAAGGTCCCACTTGGAGGTGGTTACCGCCTGCAGCTGCACGGTCTCGGGGTCCACGGTCTCCCACTTGGAGGGCACAAACTTGGGCCTGCGACGACGGCGAGAGGCTCGAGCAAACGTCACCGTGCTTCCGCACACGCAACTCGGCGAGGAAACAAAGTCCCCCGGAATGCAGAATAAGCCCGACGTACAGGTGACTTCTCGGACGTAACTGCGCATTTTCAGCGCCTACAAAAGCATTCGTTCCAATGCCACCACCACACGCCGATGTCTATGCCGAGCTTTCAGTGGACTGGTGCTTGCTTTAGTAATCCTGCACAGTGCTAGAGCCACTGAAGGATCTTGGAGTATCGTGCTCCCAAGCATCCGCCTGCACTCTAGAATCGAGCCGATCGAGCTCGCCGACTGACTGATGTAGACCCTTTTGAAGCCAGAAAAGAAAAATAAATGCGCGGAAAACATTATGTGGAAGCGCTGAACGGACGGTGAATTATGAAGGCGATAGACACGTTAGTTTGTGCTAGGGCTCTCCAAATAAAATAGCCTGCTATCTAGTGGGCAAAAAGAGAATGTCGGTCCATTTGTCCATCAGCGCCGCCTACACTCGACGGCACGAGGCCACCATTTCAAAGCCACCGACTTGAGCGCCGCGACGTGGCTCCGGAACGAAACTTGAGTTTTGGCATGTTCTGGAAACCTTTAGCAACCCCAGCACTTGTTAGGAAGCTCCTCTTGTCGTGTGCGTCGCGGCACTGTTTGGTGTCCTTTCTCTAGTTAACGAGGGCACGTTACCTGGAATCCTCAAGGTTCTCCTCGAGGGGCCTCCCATCCAGGTCCTCCCCGAGAGGCACCCCGTCCAGGTCGTCTGCCACCGAGACCCCCAGGGGCAGTGGCAGAGGCAGGCCGTCCAATTCGGGGTCCACGGCCAAGAGGGGCACCCCGTCCACGTCGTCGGGAGGCTCCTCCTTGATCAGGGGACCCAGCGGAGGAGACGCCTCCCCTTCCGTCAGCGGATCTTCCGCCACCAGGCTCGCCTTCTGGCGATGCGAAAAGGTGAGGATCGGCAAGACGTGAACGTAGGCACCGACGGTTCCATGCAAATCTGAACTTAGGGCTTTACATGTCGACTATTGTACAATCAATACATATAAATTATATCGAAACCGATTCGGTGTTAGTCTTAAAAGCAAAAAACACAAAGGCCTAATTTCTTTTTCTTCTTCTTTTATGTTTTGCGTTATTGAGGGTGAAGTCACCACCATACTCCACTTGTAACGGATCCTGTAAATAGTGAAAACGTGTGCCGTTTTATCGATGCCATTTTTAATACTTGAGTGTGCTTGTACTTTCTGAAATGCCTATCAACCTGTTTTGACCTCACAAATAACGATATGACGAAAAAACAACGACAACAACTCGGATGAAGGTCACTTAGTGAATGAATTATGACTCTCGAACACTAAATTTAACATTACCATATTTATTTGATGACCTCCGTATAAATAGTGTGGATCTAGACGGACTTAAGGTTGTGTCCAGCCTGAGGGAGATCATGGCAAGGTCAGAGTTCAGTAGAACATGAATTGTGCAAAATAAACAATAGATTAAAGGCACACAAAATTTTCGGCAGAAGCCAAAACACAGGCCCTTGTGTTACAGCCACCATATTTAAAGACTGCACCTCGTCAATTCAAGCATGCACCCTGAATGCGAAGTCTCCTGTACGTCCTAATAGTTTACTTACGGGTGCAGGAACAAGACCCAAGAAAATGTTCTGGAGACGTATCAAGAAGTCGTTGGGGTAGATGGCCCAGTCCTCCCAGGCACGGAAACAGGACATGACGCGTTGCTGCAAAACAGGGTGGCCAAAATGAGGTTTGGAGAGAGACAAAACACAGGATGGGTCTACGGCTGTTTCAAACCAGACGTCCGACAACCAGAGCAAGTGTTTAAACAAACTGCAATGAACTGATGAAAGCGATGACAGAAAAGCCTCAATAAAACAAAAACGCGCGCATGTACCCAGTTCGCCCCTGCATATTTTGCCTACATTAGCGGGGCTCATAATAATCACACACGACTGTAATGGACATGGTAAACCCGGAGCTAAGGGACAAAAATAGGACGGACATAGCAGGTCGCCTGTCTACTTGCTTTAATTAGTGACTAACTGTCCAGGGATACCTTTAAAGTAGAGTAAGTAAGCAGTAACAATTTCAGCACTTGCGCAGTTTGTTTTGACCCCATTGCTACTTTTGTACACAGAGATGCATGTAAGGCCGTTTCGAGAACAATGACACAACTGCAATGGTCATTCCATGTCCAAAGAGTGCTCTGCACCTTAAACTGCTCAGCTTTCAGCCTGCCCTCAATGTTGTTGAAGCACTCGTGCACTTCCTTGAAGATGTCTGGGAGGCAGACCTGAAACCTGAAAGAAAACAAAAAAGGTCAGCTTTGGAAACATTGCATTAAATTTTGTTTGCCTACATGATTCCCAAAGGGATGAAAGTGCCAGTAGAGCATTCAGTTTTTGTATGCTAGAAGAAAGAGTACTTTGGCCATTGACCTAACGTGCCTAGGCAATCTAAACATTATGAGGCTTCATTTTTAGAAATTATCCCCCACCCTAGCAGCTGCTTGGCACTACTTCCCCTTATAAGGAAGCGAAGCAAGCTACAAAACCAACAAACAATACAAACCTCATACACTCTTTATCCCCACATCGAATATCTTCCATCTAAGGAGGGTTAGAAAACGACATGCCCTTTCCGCGTATAACTGCATTTCCCACATATTGTAAATGAAAACGACTTAATCTTTGCAAGGACCTCATTTTCGCGAATCGCCTACAATTAGCGAGAAATAGGTCCTGCGAACAATTCCGATAACATGTAAACACATTGGAATCTATATTGAGATCCCACCGCGTCACGAAATTTAGAACCCGTGAATTATTCCAAAACTTCAGCTTCGACCTAAATCGCGAAATATTGAGCCCGCGAAAAACAAGTCGTTTACAGTATATACAAATTTATTTACAGTTCGTCGCTCACCCTTTGCGAAAGAAGGAGGCGTTGGCTACTTTGACACTACAGTTGTGAAGAATGTCTGAAATCAGGTACAGTCTGGCCACCTTTCAGGGAAAAAGAGAAGCAACATTTCAATAAAAGAACCGCGCAAAAACGTCCCGTCAAAAAGACACGTCCACCTACAAGGAAAGCTACGGTCATAATGAGCCTGGTGCTACCTATAACCGCTGAGGGAATGAGAACAGCAGGGCAGCTCTCTGGGTAGCCTGGCTTCTACAATGCGCTCATTACCTTCCGCCGTGCTTTCGCTACGCGTGCATGTTTGAGGCTCGCGAGATGCCGAAGTGCTGTCAAAGATAAGGGGCTCGCGCTCAAGGCGGAACAAACGAGAGTACTTCCTGCCATTTTCACTTTGTCCGTTACTACAGAGGACCATACAACTTTGAAAGCCTAGTAAAAACGTCAGCAGTCACTATAAAAGACGCCGAGTACCACGGATAGAGTCACTAACAAAAAGGAGATCGACACTCAATGATTTGTAACCTGTTCAGTCAGGTTTGCCAAAGACGAAACCGAGGCTAAGTTACGATAAAAGCAAAATAACGGCAAAAATGCATCATAAAACAACAACAATGTATCGGCAGAAAGTTGCGAAGGTGTTGCAATAATGTAAGAAACAAACATTGTAAGGTTCCCCCGGTGCCAGCATTACATTTTATGGTCCGGGCTTACGAAAGCCGTCTAAAGTTCCACCCGTTCCTTCCCGACGGCTTAGAGCTTCTCCGATCCAAAACAACTCCAAGTCCAGACAACGCGGGTCTTCCGCTGATGCAACAACGCGAGAGGCCCCCACCTTTTTGTGCAGGGGAGTCTCTAAGATGGAGAGGGACTGCGTGATGCAGTCCACAATCTCCTCAGCGGCGTCGGCATGCTCGATGCAGTATATCATGGCCTCCACAATCTTGGGGCGCTCGGGGGTCAGGCCACGCAGCATGTCTTCCAGCTTGTCTCTCTGGCTGCACGCACGCAAGCGGAAACCGAAAGTTTGTCGCAGAAATATTAAAGGTTCAACTGACAAATCATTCGTGCTCGTCGGGATTTCTGCCGAAGTACGAGCTAAAAGGACCCTACTAGACGTGAAACGCATACGAGGCTCGAAATTAGGAATTTGTTTGCACAAAAACGGCTGGTCAAGAATCGGACATTCTGGCCTGCTCTCACTTTTTTTTCCTTGATGAAAGGCACTGACGACACGAAATGCAAAAATATCTTCAAAACTATTCGAAGCACATGTTCAATAATAAAAATAAATTTTTTGAAGCACTCGGACGCTGAAAACACAATGATGTAGGGTAATTTTGAAAGCTAGTTGTAGCAGGGAGCGACTGCCCACGATTCCTGCAGAGTCTGATAGGAAAGTCGTCGGTGCTGGTTCTCCAGGTCTCGGTTTAATTCTGCTCGGTTTTCTTAAAGCGACTCTGCACAGTAAGAATCCTTGGTTGGTGTTTCTATACACCAACACACTGTTTACAAACAAGTCAGAGTTTGCCCACACCAGGGCACAGCGCGTGCACAAAAGCCGAATTCGCAACAGATGAAATGTCTGCACACACGCAGCGCCGACAGCAGTGCCACCGCAGTGGTGTAACAACAAAGTTGAGTTTCAGTATACGTATTGTGTATACCTGGGGACAAGTTTTTCTGGCAATGAAGCCAAAGCTATGTGTACCCATGCGCTCGTGCACCTTGAGCGCCAACCAAAGCTGTGTATGCTCAATCTTCACCTCTTCCGAAATGCCCTAAAAAGTTGTCCCAGAGTTCACAACAGCGGTTCACAAGTACATTTTTTTTCTCGGCTGAGAGAGAGAAACGCTGGAGGCAATGGGCACCTGTCGCTGAGGGAGCCCTTGCGGTTGTCGTCCTTGGCCGGAGAGGCCTCCCTCTCCTTCTCGACCAGCTCGTCGGGCATGCCTTGCAGGTAGGGGTTCATTGGGGGCGGCTTCCACAGCGAGCCCCCCTCAAACATCCGGAACTCCTGGGTCCGCCACCGGTTTGGGTGGTCCCCCTGCGAGCACCGGCAACCCTTCACACTCGGGCCAGCGCCACCGAAAGAAGCACACCGTGACACCCAAACACCAAATACACTTAATGTCAGCTAGAGAGTGTCCCCCCAAAAATTTACAGGGTCTTCTTTCAACGCAAAAATAAACCAAGCATTGCCGACTGCTCATACACCGCTCAGATATAGTGCGAGGGGTCCGAACCAGATGTTAAGGCTTCGGAACCGTCATCCCATTAAAAAAGTTATGTAATTTTCCGAAATCTTCAATGGGAAAATGGCAGCCGACAGAGACCCCAAATACATGGAACTGAATGGCGCCAGTTATCGAGAACGGGCCCCACTTTCTCACCCAAATTTTTAGAAAATCACTTATAACTTCTGAATGAGATATGGTTAGTCCTGAAACTTTGGCATCTGGTTGAGACCACTATAGTCGTTTTCACCACAAGAAAAAAAAAAAGGAAAATTGCAAATGAGACGCGAGACTGTTTCGTTGTACAAGACAAGGGCCTACCCTATCACATGCCCTTTCTGCTTTTCTGCTCTCAGAAGATCTGCTCTCCAAGCGAACACTAGCTCGGTACTTAAAGGTATGTAGTTGCTATCCAGTAAAGATCTTCCAATGTGGCTACACTTACAGATAATGCTCTCTCTGAATAGCCTAAAGCCTGATGCCACAGTCTCATTTCCCATACCAAACTAATTCACAGTCCTGCCTCTTTTATTCTAACCAGTTGTTTGAATAAGTAATGAATTTAACCGGCTAAAAGGATTAGTAGATGATTCATCGGCCTTCTGCTGAATGCACCTGCTTGACCCACGCACTGCGTGCCGAGTGTAAGTGAAGTGGGACATGACTGCAGGCTGCTTACGTGGGCCTGAACCAACTCCCTTTCCCCCATGGACAACAACACAAACAAAAAGACACCAGCGCAACAGTCCGGTCAACTCACCTGTAGAATTGAGAACAGCCGCCAGCGATAGTAGACGTGAGCGGGGCTCTGGTTCTCAAACAGGAACCTAAAATGTCAACTCATTTAATTCACACACGATGCCTTTCCCCATAGTGTTAAAAAGAAACAAAAAACAAACAAGCATATTTTTTATATAAAAAAAATTAATAAATCTAGAAATTATAATGGGGATAAGATTAACTGTGATGTGTCACTGCAATGCCCAAAAACCAACCACCATATTTTCTATAAGCTTGCGGTGCACAGCAAGCTACTAAGAAACTCACATTTTGTGGCATATTTTGTTGTACTACAAAAGCAACGAAACATTTCACGATCTGTCTGCTGATGCCACTTGATACACAGGGGGGCATCCACAATGAATCTCTGCACTCTAAAACGAGCAGAAAAAATCAGTGCCTGCACACGGAAAGCTCAAACTTCCACCGAATGTGCATGGAGCTGGAGAATTTTTAAGGCATAGCTCTCTTCTTACGAAAAAAGTAAGACCACCCGTCAGCGGCGATGGACGCAGCGAGCAGACGACGCACTTTGTTGACTGCTCGCCGCACCTATCGAAAGATGGCGTTGCTCAAGTGATTACCGGCAAGTTCACGACGACAGTTATGCACTCAAAAGCATGCTCCTGCCAGCACGCGCAGTACACGGGCTGCCTTGCCCGCAGGTATCCCTTACCTGAACATGGGGTTGTTCAGTTCTCGGTTCATGATCATGGCCTCAAACATGGGACCCTCTCGGACGACAAACTCGATCATGCGGTGGATGAGGCAGAGTAGACTCCTGTGCGAGGAAACGCAGAGGAAAAGAGGCACAAGGTAACACCTGCCCACGCACAGGCAGCACACAAACACTCTTCCCTCTCCCTTTCTCTCAACAGGCAGGCTGGAAAGGTGACTTGAATTTCTGAACAAGGAAACCCAGGAAGTCGCGCTACCATACGCCACATCACTTCCTGCTGGGGGGTTCGGAAAGGCAAGCATCCGCTAGGCAAGCTCCCAGAAATTTACTTGCAGACAATTTAGTGGGTTCTTCCATTGGTCTATGCCAGATGGGCATCCGAGAAAAGCCACCAGTTTATATTAATTTTTTTGGTTTGAACACTTGCAATTTTTGGTGTTAACTAAACAAATCAATTAGAGCAATTTACAAAAAAAAAAAAAAAAGCAGTTCCAAGGTTGTGGTGATTTTTGGAAAGATTGGTGCCAAAGACGCATGCTTGGAAGCCACAGAGATGATTGTCTCCTCCTGCCAGTTTCATAAGCTGACGATATCAAATGATGACATCTGTCTGCTACATGCCTCACTGCACATAGAAGCTTAAAGAAAACATCTGCAGTGATATCTTAGGAGATTTCGGACACATAAGTCGAGACAAGCTTTACAAAAACAAGCGTGCCCGAGTGTGAAGCCAAAAACTGCTACTCTCGACTCTAAAGAGCTTATGGATTAACTTTGAATAAAATCCGGTCCTTACAAAAAGCTTGTTATACCCGTCTACAGCTATGCCACTTTACGAAGGCCATCAGGCCTGTTCAAGCAAGGACAGAAGAGCTCCCCTGTCCCGAACAAGCCGCAACAAAGCTTTAGGTAGCTTTAGTTTTCCCTGAATGTGAAATCTCTAAAAAAATGTACTGATCTTTACTTGATCCTGCACTAAACAAGACAACACACATGGCTAACTTGGCTTTTAGAAACGACAAAAGAGTTGAGAAGAAAAGGATTGCAGTACCTTTCAGTAGGGATAACCACTTTCACTACCGCGGTGGCTAAAATCTGCAGGAAACAGCATCGCATCGCACATGGGACAGATGAGGTACTTATTATTATTCAGAAATTCAGTTACCAAAAAAAGAAAAGAAGCAGAAAAAAAAAAGGACAATAGGACTATACTACCATATGACTGCACATGTGCAAAATACAAATCACAGGATACTCAAATTAAGAAAACTTCTCATGGATTCTACTGAAGTGTCTTGGTAATATATACCAATGAATGTGAAAAAACAACTGATACTAAACAAATCTTTTGGGTACAAGCATTTGTGAAACTACCAATGGCATTGCTTTTAGAAGTTTCCTATCTCTCAAATTGGGCATTTCAGTGCCATCTAAAAAGGCAAGAAAGTTCCTACTTCCAATGAATTCAATACCAATTTGGTTATACCACTGTAAACTCCATTCTTTACCTTTCACAATGACATGACAGCCCAGTTAAGTTTGAACATGTTATGCTTAAGGATCTATTCAGTTGTCATTATTAACTGCTAGCCATTATTGTCATTATTAACTACTATTAACTGCACACACTGATATAGAGCCAATTGTCGAGGCTAACCAAAAGGCAAAGTCGACAGACAACATAAAAAAAAATTGACAAATGACATCTCAGACAAAAGCTTCTCAAATGCTTGACCCCAAAATTAGTGGTCCTCCCAATAGTCTCAGTCTACTTTCATTGACATCTCAAAAAACCTAACTGCTTCCATTAATAATAATAATAAAAAAAGATTTTTCTAAATTTTAGTTATCATTGTTCTACTGAACCTCATCATAAGGGCCTCATACAAATATGCCAGAGCATTGGATGACTAGCCAGTTAGTATGTTCAGAATTCTTCAGGGAACCAGCTTTTCAGGAATAAGATCGCTTGATATGGTTTCAAAGATCCACTAAATAGTGTCTTCTATGCCCACATTCAAACACCGAGTAAAAGCCTTTTCAGACCAGACTGCCATATTGTGCCATCAATGACCCACCCGTTAAATGGCAGTGTCAGACACCATGGAATATACATCCCTTGCATCCATGTTTGACACCATAAGGACATGAAATCACAAAGCATTAACTACAAAGGTTCTTCAAATACACAAGCTGATGAATGGTTAAAAAAGCAAAAGAAACTTTGCGGTACCCCAGGGCAGTACATCCATGTTGCTCATAGCACCTTATGATGAGGATCAACTATGCAATGCTTCAAGTTGTTTCATCAAAAAACTACCATTACACAGTCGGGGACGTGGGTCAACTTTTTATGCTCCTTATCAAATGGAAAATTTGTCCGTGGATTGATTCACGTAAGAAAAGTTGCCAATTAAAAATGATGAAAAAGTCGGAATGATTATACCTTTACACCCAAGATGCCACTTCCAACAACATGCTTATGACCAACTATGGCACAAAAAATATCAAGAAGTTCCAGTTGCAATACAGATACAACCTTCATTATCTTCAAAAGTGACCCCACCTACTTTCACAGCTTCATGCTGTACAATTAATTTCTATGGGACACAAATATGTAGCAGCTAAGCCGGTTGGGCGCGGTAGAATGAGACAGAAGGCGCACAAGCAAGAATCGAGCTCCTTTAAATCCTTTTGCCTTCAAATTTATACGGAGCGCAAATTCGTCTGCTACTTTTGCAGGGGTTGTGATGACGTCAGAACACTGAGCTCTTATTGGCTCGGATTAAAGGATAGTCGGTAAACCTCGAGGCAGCTTGCTTTGAGGCCAAAGAGACGTAATCTATCGCAAGGTGACTTGTTACTTTCGTCGTGAAGCATCTGCGACACCACGGGCAGACGATGCAACTTACGATCGTCTTCCTGGTATCGTTATTATCCAACATTTTCCTCAAACTCCAACCGAACGGCCGAACCTATCTCGACAGTTTCGTGCTTCGGTTGCCAAAAGCCGTCGCAGCTCGATGCCAAAGCGCTTGTTTCGATGCACTTGGAAGCCACAACACAGAGCGGTGAAAGTAGGTCGCGTCCCCACCGTGCCTCATCTTGATCTCGGCTACCGCAGCCAAAACAGATTGTATGCGTCACTCAGAGAAACGCGCCGCGTTCCCGTGCGAGAGGGGAAGGATGGGAACCCACCTTGTCGAACTCGTGTGGGGGCATCGACTGTGGGTCCAGGGGCTGAGCCTGCTTCTTGTGTGGCTGTGCGTTGAAGGGCAATCCCGAAGGAGGGGGCGGCAGGGTGAGCTCAACCATAGCCGGGGGGATGTACACGGGGTGCGGGGGGATCGGCACCGCCTTGCCCCAGCCCATCTTCATCTCGAAGCCCATCACCTCATTTCCTGCGCCCACCGTGGGGGAGCTCTCGTCAGTCTCTCGTGCCAACGGATGAGCTTGCACGTGGCACACGTTCGACAAAATTGGCAGTCTTTCGCGCTCACGTCCAAGCTTGAGCGTTACGTTCGATAAAGTGCCTTCTTTCCTTGCCGGGATATCTAGTATAATCATGGTGTTTCTGGATTCTCAAAGACTTTTCTGGGTTTCGCCTAATCTCTTAGCAAAGTATGGTTCTAGTAGGACTAACCTACTAAGCTATCAGTAAGGAATAATTCTCAGACATTCATAGTATTCTATCTCCGACACTACTGAAATCAACTCTCGCGCGTGTTTCGAGCCTTCAGTGCGACTCCAGTCATTTCCAAAACATTGTAGTATGCCTGCTAGAAAAGCGAAAAGAACATCTGCAAAAATTGTGATCCCGGTAACTTGCACTAAAACAACTACTAGGGATGCCGCAAACTTTTTTCGAACCGAAGGTTCGATGATCGAATCAAGCAATTTGAAAGGTTAGAAAGTTTTCGAATTTTCGAACTTTCTATATCAAGAAATTCGACGGAAGTCGAATTTTCGAACTTGTTAAACTAAAAAGTATGACGCTTTCAAAATTTTGAACTTCGCACGTTCAGAAATGCAATGTTTGTTGAACCTTTGACCTTACTACGCTAAAAGTTTGCTTGTTTTTGAACTTATTACGCTGCAAAATTCGATGCTTGTCAAACTTTTAAACTTGATAGACTAAAAAATTCGATGATTTTTAAACTTTTGAAATTCTTGCACAAAAAGTTTGAAGCTTTTCGAACTTTCAAACTTCCTACGCGAAGAAATTCTATAATTTTCGAACTTATTTATCTATACAAATTGAAAATTTTTGTAATTTCGAATCCTGAGAAGTCAAAAGTTCGACGAACTTCGAAAGACCGGCGGGCGGTTTCATTTGGATTCAAGCAGTGAGGTACATTCATAATTTTTTCTTTTGCATTTTTACACGTGGTGATGCATTCCTTGCAAAAAACAATATCGTTGTTTATTTCAATGTTCTGGCATGCTTAGTTTTAAAGAAATAAATTCCTGAAGAAGCGAGGAAGGACGACGGGTTTTTGACAATTGTCGTTTGTGCCATATTTGAAGACCGCTATAGCCGAAGCTATTAATGGTAGAGATGTTAAACTTTTTAAGAATGATCTATGCATAGCCTAGGTAAGTATGGCTAGTTAGGCTAGTTGGTTCTGACTAGGTAAGTGCCGTCTCAAGATATGATTATTGTTGTCCAAGACGAGTTTTGAAGAAATGTCCAAACATGTATGTACGGGCAATTATGCCCTAAACTTGGTCATTTTTTTTCGTCTAAACTGTTTGAGGTATCGCATTTAAATTAACACCACAGACTGTACATAACATTACCATCTGCAGACTACAAAATAATGTATTTATTGTTTTTTTTCACGTTGAGGAATAAATTAACTCATGGGGGAAGATTTCTAATATTGTTCAAGTTCAGCACGTCATAAAAAAAAAGCCATTTTTTTATTTTTTTTTTGTTTTTATTTTCTTATTTCATGTTCCTGGGACGTGTTTCTTTTAGCTTGCACACATTTTGGTAGGAGAAACTTGTTTCGAAGTTCTGGGCCTCTGAATATGCTTGTTTCTAAGAAGTTCTGGGCCTATGAATACAACACTTCTGGCAGGTTCTTGATAATTTTCTCTTTCTCTCCAGCTTTTCGTCCTCACATTTATTGTTATATTAATTTCTTTTATTTTACCAATGGCACAGTTATTTAGGTTGAAAAGACAGCTTTGAACTTCCGAACCACTAAGCATGTGACCAGTAGTGCCTTCTAACAACTAGTTTCTAACAATGACCATCCACGCAATCTTTTACGCAGTAAAGAGCGACAGTTCTTCACTGCATATATAATATTATATAATACATAATATAAATACATATGCATAAATAATTTCAGATTAAAATAAGCTCGACCACGCCCTCTTTCCCCGTATTGTTTTCTTTAACAGTCCGAAATATCTGGGTGGACTGGAGCCCTCCCCCCTTCCCGTTTTTCCTCTTCCGACGCCACTGGTATGGTAGAACGCTCCTCGACCTCGAGCTGTGTCGGCTTCTGCGCTTTTTTGCTCAGCGTTTCTTCCGTCCCGGAAAATAAACCTCCAAAGCAATTACAAACTAAAAAAATTGTCAAGGTGCAGGCGAGCTGGTGTATGTTGATCATGATGCAAAATCCTGAGACTGGGAATGAAATTCGAAAGAAAAAGTGTAAGAAGAAAGAAAAAGGGGACAGGACAATGTCTCAAACTCAGCTGGGTTGAGTTTGAGACGTTGTCCTGAGCTGAATTTTCAGCTGAGTTGAGTTTGAGACATTGTCCTGAGCTGAGTTTGAGACATTGTCTTGTCCCCTTTTTTCTGTCTTCTTACACTTTTTCTTTCAAATTTCATTCCCAGAGCTGAGTTTGAGGCGTTGTCCTGTCCCACTTTTTCTGTTTTCTTACACTTTTTCTTTTAAAGGAGCTTGCAACAATTTCAGGGCTTTGCTTAAATTATTGTGGAAGTTGATGCCTGACACTTCTGAAGTGAACTACAAAAAACAGATTTTGCCTGGATACCCTAGTTTTTATTTAAAAAAATGAAGAAGATCCAGGTTTTTGCCGCCTCTCAACTCGTACGTCGTCTTCCGGGTCAAGTGTGCAGTGACATTGAGGGGATACGCGCGGGGTTCCGGAAAAGTTCTCTCTTTAGAGCTATCAGTGAGCAGCGAGAACTCCTCCGCTCGCGACCGCGTGACGACGTGCTGGCGGGCGCAGCACGAACAATGTGGTGAAAAGAGGAAAGTCTCATCCGGGTCTGGCCATAACCGTCCGGCTCTGTCAAGGGGGTTAGACTCTCCCCCCCTCCCCCTCCGGCTTCTGGCAGCTGTTCACGGTAGCAGATGGAGCTGATAGTTTTGTAGACCTAGAATAGATGGCGCCACTAAAACTCCGTATAATAAAAGTTTTGTCGATGATACCAGGTTTTTGACGCATTTATATATATGTTGGAACGACAAGATTTATAGAAAAGTTACCTTTTATCAAGCAGGTATTCGCACAACTTGCTATCTTTCTACAAGACTTCCCAGTGACGTCACGCCGCATGTTTCTCATGGCCGCCGCTCGCGGCTGCAAGTTGGGGAATATTCTCAGTTTTGCCTCGCTATTATGCGGCGGAATCGCAACATTTCGATGAAAGGAGGTGTGTTTTCTGTCATTTGTGACAAGGTGAACAATATCAAAAGCAGAAGATGCCAATTCTTTCAACACTAAAATCGTTGCACAGCTCCTTTAGATTTCATTCACAGAACTGAGTTTGAGGCATTGTCCTGTCCCTTTTTTCTGTCTTCTTACACTTTTTCTTTCAAATTTCATTCCCAGTCTCAGGATTTTGCATAATGTACAAACTAAACTTACTATATGTCAGCGTCACTTGGGTGGCATTCGATAGGATTACTACCAGCCTGCAAGGAGATAGGGAGGCAGTTTGCCAGATCGCTTCAAGGTTTTTCTAAGCCTCAACTACCTGCCTGCCCCTGGCCGTTTCGACCTGGATAGATATAGATAAACAAAGCGTTTTTGTGATCAATACTGTGCGATGCACATTAAAGACCCCCCCGGGCTGGCAATCACAATTACTGATCTATGGTCACACGTCACTCTGCTCTGGCAAATATTCCAGCACATCCGGGACACACGTCGTCTCATTTAATTGCCCAATGAACTTTGCACAGACTAAATATCACACCCGAACTTTTCTAAACCTGATTTCGTGAAAACCAGTGAGGCGTGAAAACATTTGAAACTGAAACTGTGGAGGAACATGAAAACCGGACATCGAACTTTGCGCACTTGGACTTGAAAGAAATTCAAAACCTTCTAAGCTTTTTTTTTTTTTCGAAAGAGAATCGAAACTTTCGAAATGTATGTAGAAAGAAATTCGAAATCTTAGAATTTATCGAACTTTGTGTCTATAAAAATTTTGAAACGTTCGAATTTTTCGAATTTAAGATTCAAAGAAATTTGAAATCTTCAAATTTTTCGAACTTCAGATCCCAAGAAAATCAAAACATTTGAATCCCTCAAATTTCAAGTTAGGAAAGTTTGAAATCTTTGAATTTCTGGAACCTCAAGTAAAAAAATATTTGAAATAATCGAACCCAAACTTTTAGAAACCATGAAAGTTTCAAACTTTTCGGATTCAAAATTCCCTGGTGTTTGAAAGTTGCGAACTTTTCGGATTCGAACCTCGGTACGGTGAAAACATCGAAATCCTTCGAATTCGAACCTCAGTTTGGTTAGAAAATATTGCAACCTTTCGAATTCGAACCTCGGGTGGTTTGCGGCATCCCTAAAAACAACGCAGCTCCGATATCTCGTCAACACCAACACACTGGACAAAATCACCGATGGTTCTCAGACATTTCTAGGCTGGCTAAACTATGCTGGCAATTCCCACAATTCCATGTGGGTTCATAATAGCTCGGTAACCTGCACCTGACATAAGTAATGCATGGTCCGCGATCCAGACCCTCTTCACGGCCTACCCCAAACTTTGTTGATTAGCCCCAGCAACAGCTCCGGAGAATGATAGACAGACCCATCAGAAAAAGAGGAAAAAAACATTGTACACACCACTCAAATGCTTGATGGCGCGTTCACCATCCTTGCGGTTCATGTAGGCGACAAAACCGCAGTTCCGCTTGCGTTGGCGCTCTTCCTGCGATCTGGGCCACATGATCTTGACGCTGGCTAAAGGCCCGTAGCGACCAAAGATCTCGCATAGTTCCTGCTCAGTCATCTTGGGGTTCAGATTTCCCAGATACAGGTTGGTCGTGTTCGGATCCCCAGTGTCAAAAGAGCCCAGGGTGGGGTACCGGTACTCATCCGCTGCAATGCACCGGGGGTGGGGAAAGGGACCCAGTCACTTTGAGGCATTGCACAACAAACAGAACGAGCAGGGGCAAAAACACAGGGTCTGCATCACGCTCTCGCTTAAGTCTGGTCTAATGGCACTCATACTCACTTAAGTGTGAATGTGAGCGAGTGCGACATGCACTGATATGTCGATCTTTAGAGAAAGTACATTAAGCCGTCAGGCCCATAGCTCAATGTGCAAATTTTTGCTGTGCAATGCAAATAAGCTGGAACTGGAGAAGCAGACTACACATTTTTCACATTTTCGACGATAGCAGCTTAATTTCAAAACTAGAGTTCTGAAAAGTGCAGCTGAAACCCAAACTTCAGTCAATTTAACAGGCAAATTGTACCCCCCGCTAGACGCTTCGCAAGTCAAAACTACCAAAACCCATCACAATAATGCATTTCAGACAATATCATTCAATACGAATATCAATCCCAAAATGAAGAAAGGGGATCTTGGTCATGCAGTGACACTCACCAAGTCGCATTTGTAATTCCGAGCTGTCGCCCTTTTTGAGGCTGTCCTTTAGAAGGCCCTTCATTTTGTAGCGTTCCTCCCGTTCCTCTTGTATTCTAGGGTATAATTAAAACATTCAATCAGTACTATCCGGCGATTCGAAATGACAACATAATTCAAGGAAGGGAACCAACTTACATCTTAAGTTCTTCCTTGAAGAGTTCCAAGTTGCTCTTCTTTTTTTCCTTTTCTTTCTTCTTAGCCTAAAGAAAACCAAAATCAAACTGGGGCCTTGTATTTAAATTTTTAAAATTCTTTGTATTTCACATTATCCTACATGTAATATGCTCCAACCACGAAACTTACAAGGCATATGAGAATCTGTACAACAGGTAACACATTTTAACATGTGCATAACCCAGGTAGTATTTTCGCACAAAATCAATGCTTACGAGCCTCGAGACTTTACTGTGAAAGTAAGTTACATAAGTTGCAAACATGGCAACTCGTAATTTTGGTACCGGTGAGGTACCTTGCTGCTTCACTTGGTATGTGCAATCCCATGCTATTGTAAGGTAAATACTGTAGACAGGCCCAAGTCTAGACACTCAACTCAGTCCTTCTCTATGTCTCACAAAGGCGAAAAAGGTGCCCAAGAACAGTTATTGCTTCCACTTCCACAGTGACTGCAAGTTTCTCAGCCAGCCTTCAATGCCTAATCAATCACTACCACTGACGAACAAAATTTGCAAGTGACGCACAGTTAGCTAAATCTGCGTGCGAATGTGCACGGTAGTGCACACGACGAGTTATCAAAGGAACATACAGCTTTCTCAGCCTTTGCGGCTGCACTCTGCGAGGAGTGATAGTCATGCTGCCTGGACTGGTGAGGCTGGTAAGACTGGTGGGACTGATGTGACTGATGCGACTGGTGTGACTGGTGCGATTGGTGGGACTCCTCAATCCTCCTCGTTGCCTCGGAGAGCTTGGGAGGCTTGTAAAGCTTGCCGGTTTGAGAGGTGGTCTTCTCCTCTGCACAAGTATACACACTTGTCACACCAGTGACACAACACATTCTTTGCAACACACACATTTGTTACACAACAAGTGCGAGGTACAGTTGAAGGGACAGTACAACTATGTTTTGAAGGGAAAGTGCAACTATGTTTGTACTTTGCACAAATACCACTTAGAACAAGTCCCTGACGTTTATAACCCATATTAAAGGCGGTAGTTTTCTTCCCCACGCAATCGTAGTCGCAGAAAAAATTAAATAAAAATGAGCATCGTTCACTCCCTCAATTCGCAGCCAGAACAAGCGGCTGCGTGATTTGGAGCCGATTATTCGCGACTCTAATTCACTATAGATGGCACCACTCATTTTCCAAAATGGCGTTTATAGTGAGGGTCGGAGATGCGTGTCGGTATGCCAATTGCTGGGCCTGTTTAGTGTGCTGGCTTCACTGAGCGACACAGATTGTTTCTCCTTATACGAGGAAGCTAGGGTGTGATGAGCACAGGTCACCTTTTTATCCTGGAAACATAAACGGTGTATAGCACAATATTTACGCCAGGAGGCACATTTTAATTTTGGAACGAAACCAAAACTAACCTCTATTGTGTTTTTTTTTTTTTTTTCAGTATAGATGTTAATTTTAGATTCTTTTATACCTCAAGATGCATCTCGCAGCGTAATAGTGAGCTACAGAAGTTGTTTGCGCAAACTTTATATTGCGACATACATGTCCTATCCAGGCACTTCAAAATATTTTGGCGAGTTCAGTGTCCCTTTAACAGGTTCACATTAGAGGTAACATAAAGTTGTGCATTTGTTTAAAAAATCAGTTTTGTGTGTTCTTGCTGACTTTTCTCGCTCAGATAATTGTCGTGAAATATTGAATTGCGGGCATTTTAATGTGTTTCTGAGCATTTAGATAATAAATTGCCTTACCATGATTCCCAGCCCAAGGGTAACAGAGTCAATGCAAGTTTTACAAAATATCGCCATCAGTGATGAGTTTAACATATGCTCACAAGACATATAAATTAAGAAACGCCGTTCTAACAACAAAAACCAAAAGACGAAATCCGAGTCAGAGAGCCGAAGCGTGCGAGTTTTTTAAAGCATGCGTGCCGCATATGACTTTATATTAGATTGGTTTGACTGTTTGTTTATCTTGATGTCAGAGTTTTTAATATGCTAAAAAGAAAACAAAATGATACCTTTCTAGAAAGGCTATTATGGTTAAATTACATATTTTTGCGTTCATAATGTTTATTATTGCCGAAATTTGTATTAATAATACAATTAAGATATTTTAATACCTAGTTTTTGTAAGCCCTAATATAATTTGTTGCTTATGATCTAATTTCAAATGCGTGAACAAGTATGGTAATCACAAGTGTGAAAATTACCATCACTGGTGCCAATTGCAGCATTTTTAATTAACACATTATAAAATAAAAAATAGTCTAAAACCAACTAAAACCTGAGAAATCTACGTAAAATTACATTAGTTGCGGGTAAAGCATATGGCACTATCAAGGTCGCGACTTTTGACAATTGGCATAACTTCCGAAGTCGCCATCCAATCTTTTTATGACTGGCACAGAGCTTCAGCTGTCCCGCCTCCAGCGAGAGCTCCCTAGTTTCGATAACGCCTGGGCATCCCCTACGTGTGCATGCGCAGCCAAAGCACGCCAGAAGGCATCAATCGTGTGCTGAAGGCAGGGCTTTCGAAAGAGATACCCTGCCATTCTCACGTGTTCGCTGTAAAATGCGCCTCTAAAGATTTTTCTTTTGTTGATGTGAAGTGCAATGTGGGGGGTCGACTTACAATCGTGTAAATACGGTACTCTTGCACTTCCAGGTAAAGTAAAACTGAATGTGTTAAAACTAGTATTCACCAAGTAACTATACCCTGAACACTCCTTTGAGACACAGTGCCGTTCGCTAAATGGTCCACAAGTTCTTTTTTTTTTTTTTTTTTGTCGGGTAGCAGGGGTAATTTGAAAACTTTGTTTGCACTGCATCTTTCGCCAGAGCAGCTTTCCGTGGGGCACATATGAGGATGCGGCCCTTGTAGACGACTTTCGACGATTTACTCAGAAACCTCGACTCAAAACGTCTCTCGCAGACGAAGTCTGTTGGCTGCAGCAGGTGGTTGGTCTTCGCGCGGGATCGCGACACGCCATACTTTTAGACGGTCCTCTTTCGGAGTAGTAAAAAGGGTGCATCGCACTGTGGCATGAAGCACTTCCTGGAGCCGAAACTGGCCAGAAACAAAACGATAGCCTCGGAAAACTGTGCAGCGCTGCAGCCCAGTACACGCTACCGCCTAGGAAAAAACGGCCTTGGCAATGGTGGCGCACCCTGGCGGCAGAAGAGAAAACAGCATGCTGATTTTTCCCACGACGGCTCTTCGGCAGAGGCGCAGTGTTACGCCACCTGTAGTATTTCGATCACCGTATGTCAGGGTTCGGTTATTGTTGTCATTGCAGCGATCGTACACGAGCCACCACTCGAATGTCTGCCAAGCTATAGGAAGTATTCACTGGCGGCCATAGCTGTGTGCACGACTGCTGAGCGCGTGCTGATGGCGAACTTCCACAGTCCTTTTGTAACGTGCATTCCGCACCCTCAAGATTGCCGGTCTTAGCCGCCTATTAGTGTGCGCTCGTTCTGAGCATGCGTTGTAGACAGCACCCACAAATATGGCACCCAGTGAATACTCCTTATCGATTATCACAAGCCCAAATTAAGTGCTCACGCAATGCCCGGGGTTAGTTCATGAGTCGCATTAAAATATCGACACTCAAGGGACTACGCCAACACTGCGATTTCCGAGCTAAATACAATCCCAGTAAACTTGTGTAAAAAAACAGCAACAAATTCAACCTTAATATTGTTGCACTGCCCTTTAAAGAGTAAAGAAACTAGAACACAAGAATGCACTCGGCCCCTCTCATTAGTTTGTAAGGAATTGTGGAGCATGAAATGATCTTAAACCTGTTTACCATATTGGTGAACAACATGGCGATTTATAGACTTCTCCATTAATAATTAGGCGATTTGTCTTGTTTTCGGTAGATTAACTCTTCCAGCATTAACACTACGCGAAATAGAAACAATTTTTGATTGAACGCTAGACGACACACAGTTTTCAACATCCACCAAGGGCTTCTTTACCTCCAGAGCCGGCATTGATGACGCTGCCACGGACAAACACTTTCCCATGCTTGGCAGGCTCCTCAAATGAGGCAAGAAACTCCTCGTAAGCTTCGGCAGCAGCTTTGTCTTCCTCCTGCAGTGTGCGTTTGAAGATGCAGTTAACTATTCTGTCAGCGCTATGCGTATTTACTACTGGGCAAGGACAGATTGCTTGGTTTGGACTGGTGAAGCACCACACAGCTCGATTCAATGAAAATTGTGTCGAAGCCAGAAGCACTACTTAGAAGTGTTTAGGTAAAGAAAATTTAGGTGCTCAAGAAACTCTGATGTTCGTGCTCCGAGAATCTTATCCACAACTCTTAAGGTTTAAAGGTTGACTCCTCAAACCACCTTTCATGCAAATGCCCTTGGCTTTATGCAGATGTTTACCAAAACGTAGTGCCTAGAGTACCCTCCGAAAACACTCTTGCAGAGCGTTCAAGTGCCGTCCGAAAGTTTCGTATAAAGCGCATTTCAAAACTAGCTTTTCCGAAGCTGGTGCGTAGCTTAGTGGTAAGATGTCTGCCTCATGCACAGCAGACCCGGGTTCAATCCCCAATGTGATATTACTTTTTTTTCTTCTTTTTTATAACATTTTTTGTCAAGGCATTTGGCGATATTTACGACATTGTTGTCGACGAAACTTCGCTGAACAAAATGGTATGGGACTCCCTTTCCGGAGGTGCACAGGGAACAGCGGTGTTGGTTTGCCGGCTGGACGCCGCGGAGCGTCGTGTACGACGGGGCAACGTGGGTTAATAGTTTTGTAATTAGGAGCCGCATACTATCCCCACGAAGCGGCGTGAACGCAGGCGAGAGGGTGGGTTAACAAGCTCTCCAGTGATACACGCACTCTTTCGGACGGCACTTGTAGGCGCGAGTGGAGTGCCGTCGGATGGCACTCTAGACACAGCCTTACCACAAGTCTTCAGCAGTTACAACATTTTTAAGCTACTTTATGATTGCTAACTTTAAATTGATGCTGAACCGAAATCTGGATTCCACAAAACACAGCAGCAAAAGCGTGCAAAGGGATGAGTACAGACACCAAAACATCACTTCTCGAACGGATGATCGTATTTTTCAGAAAAAGGAGGCGCATTTGACAGATATGTTTACACCTCGTTTCTCCGAGAAGGAGATTGAACGGCATCGCATCTTCTCCGCCTCCTCGCCTTTAGGGGCAAAGAGAAGAGAGGAGGAAACGAGATATCTTGACGTCACACGCCTCGTCGGCCTCGTTCAATCTCGACCCCTTTTTTCAAAAATACGGCCGTCCATTCGAGATATCGCCTTACAAGTAGTGTTGTAGGAATTGTAGCGTCCCGCCAACAGCTCCTGCATTGTTTTCTGAGATACAAATTTCGGTTCACCATCCCTTTAAACCCTCCGTTCAGGCGAATACCTGTCGGATGTCAGAGAGATCAAATAATATCCATATAACTCGCAACAAATGCCCTGCTACTTTATCTTTGACCAGGCATAGCAACGTTTTGGACGCTCCACATTCATTATTACTGCATGACTCTACATTAATCCCTCAAGCCAGCCACACACCAAAGATACCAGAATCTCAAACATGCTCTCCCATAAACCTTTTTTAAAAGCGAGGGCTACTGAAGAGGAACCACTACTAGAGTGACAAGTGTTGTTTGGATGCGGCATTGTTACTCACCTCTTTTCGGAATTTGTCCTTAATTGGAAGTTTTTTGGCCAATGGATTGATGTTGAATGCCTTCATTTTTGGTCCTCCCTGGGAAAAAAAAAAAAATGCCAATGTCACGCCACACGTTTTAGAACCCTGAACCATGACGTGACCCAGCGGAGAGAAAGATACGCTTGCACAACGCTAAGAGACGTATCGAACCATTGTAATCCGACACCAAACTAGCTCCAAAAACCGATCAGTTTTAATCTGACCGTTCGGCTTAGAACGGCGAGTACCAGGATCGAAAAAACGTGTTCTTTTTATTTTTCTCTCTCGAGTCACTCATCAAAAGGTGATCGGAAGATCATGCACTTCGCATGCACAGCTTGAAGATTTCATATGTGCCGGGACAATCCTATCGCCGTTACGCGATTACTTGGGCAGCACAGCCGAACGAGTACAACCAGCTCGAAAGTCGGAAACTATGAGGATCAGTTCGACGAGTACTTTCCAAAACAACCTAATACGTACAAAGCGCGTAAACAAGTAGCAACGAAGTGTCGGTTCATCGACGAATTGGAGAAATCTAAGCCTAAATCTACGATGCACAACGGCTTGTCGAAATGCTGGATAAAGCCGTCGCATTAAAAGGAAACGAATGAATTCAGAGAACGTAAGGATAGGATTCGTTTTCACTCACTGATCCACTCATGATGTGACGGGCTATTTACATTACAAACACAAACTTCACTTGTGAACAGAGAAAACCACTCCTCGAAGGCTCCACATTGAGTGCACTCGTATGTTCCACAATTTGAGATCGAGGAGTTTAGAGTGGGTACTACGTGTGGATGAACTTGTTTTGTGACGTCAAATGCTTACCAATGCTTGCAAAACTTACGCGTTGTTGTTTTCACGTGACTAACCTCTGCATTAACTTCACTAACTCTTCTTGTTAAAAAATTGAATAAGCGAACACACCGAATGCTTTGTTTAGCGAAGAAATACACAAATCAACGAAACATTAACGGAAAATTTTCACTCTTATAACTGTAAGCATAAATTTTTTCAAAATAACTAATTTAGCTCACAGATTTTATAAATAAGCTCTAAACATATTTTATTTCTTCTCTTACCTCCTCCACTTTCCGTGCACTTTCCCCCGTGAAAATTCGCGAGGGGTCTTTTCAAAATGGCAGCGTCCAGACCGCTTGTCGCTGGTAGGTAGCATTCCAACTTCTAAACGATTTTTCTTCCTAATAACATAATTTCATTGGCATGCATAGCTGTTTGATCGGTGTAAGTTATGAACTTGTAGCGTTCTCAAGCCCCTACGTTTGCTTTAGTGATCAGCAAACAGGAATTTCACGTTGATCCTAAAGAGATTCGAGCCGGCACATGCACGCTCCGAGCTAGTTTCTGGGCTGTTACCAACTCTTGTCACGAACAGTTACGTGATTTTGCATGTGCGTGTACGGTTTGAGTGTAAATTTTAAGGTGGGAGAGCTTGTCCATATCCTAAGATCGATGTTGTGCCTTAATGTGCAACGTGATGCGGCATATGGACTGCCTCTGATATCTGACGATCTTTTCATGTGTCATGATTTCCTTTCAGTTCGTGGTACGAATGGTGTGGCACTCTACCACGGTCAGCCGGACTACTCGGAAGTCAGTGGATTTCGCAGGTGAGCTCCTGTTTTCATCGTAAGCGCCCACACTTGTCACCGTAACCTAACCCCCCCCCCCCCCCCCCTCTTTTTTTGTTTTCAACCCCTTTTAGGGACCCAACACGGAACTGCAGGGTCATCGCATTTAGCAGAGATGGAAAGCTTCTAGCCTGGACCAACGAAGAGGTGTAAGCGTCATAGACCCAAGTGTAACTTGGGTCTATAAATGCTCAACTGCATCTGTTATTTAACTTTCTGATACTCAGTTTCAGAATCTGGTCTATAGGGAGTATTCACCTGCGGATTATTTATTTATTATTTACAAGAAACCCTGCAGCGCCTCAGTATTAGAGCAGGGGAGTGAGATAATAATACAATCATTCAGACGTCAGTATACGTCATCACAGTACACTTCACCAACAACAAAAAAAAAACAACAAAACATCCACACATTATAACCTTTTTTTTTTTTTCACAGTGATACTATATCAGCGGGCACACACGTTTGAACTCATTATGACAGGATGTTTACACGTTAGCATAACACTCTTCAATAATACATGTACACATTCACAATTCATTCAAGAGTTTTAAAAAAGTTTCATTATCAACCGATACCATATCTGCAGGCAATTAATTTCATTTGCCTATCGCTCTTGGAAAAAAAGAAAACTTAATGTAGTTTGTCCGGCATTTTATTTCATGTATTTTCTTGCTATGATCCTTCCTATTTGAGATGTAATGAGGCTTTTTCAGGTATACAGATTTATCAACCCCAGTTAAGTTATTGTATATTGCATGAATAAGTTTTAGTCTGCGTTTCCTGCGTCTGGTATCAAGATGTTCTATTTCAGTACAAGCTTTCATCTGCGTTGCACTTTCAAACCTAGAATATTTGTTAAGGATAAACCTTACTGCCCGATTTTGTACACCCTCAATCTTATCTATCAAGTATTTTTGGTGCGGATCCCGTACGGCGCTTGCATACTCTAAATGTGGTCTTGCCAATGCACAATATGCTGCTTCTTTTAGAAGTTGGGGTGCTGTACGCAGGTTTCAGATAACTAAACTAAGAATTTTACTAGCCTTATTCAAGATCATATCTATGTGATGATTAAAGGCCAAGTCTTCAGAAAAAATAACTTCCAGATATTTAAACTCTGACACTTTTGTAATGTAATGTAATATTTTATTTGCTCAGGAGAGCCACGGCACTGCAGAAAGGCAGGAGTTCGTACCAAGGAGGCCCGCGGTGCCGTGTCTAGTGATGGTGATTATGTGATGATGTAATGTACAGATGAAAGTTATGGTGTGTTAGGCCTAGCAGCAATCTTCACGGTGATGGTCTTCGCGGTGCTGCCATGGGCTGCTTACTTCTGGTAGGCCGGTCTCAAGCGCCTGGAGAGGGCTCTTCGCGTGCCATACTTGCATACGAGCCGGCCGAATTACCGGCGGCGCAGGGAGTCCAGCACCCCCGCAGAGGTTGGCGCCGGTGTTGGCCAGGCGGCGGTCTTTACGAAAGTGGGCCTTGGAGTGTCCCAGCTTGCGGTCCAGCTTGTAACTGGGCAGCGTGAGAACCCCCTGTCGATCGAAGACATGGTCTGTGGCACTGGTTTGGCTGGCCTTCTGACGATCGAAAAGACATGTCTTACGCCCAGGTGGCTTCTTCTTTACACTTAGACTTTTCGAAGGGGGTCCCTTCCAATATTGTAAGATGAATCAATACTACTTTTTTTTTTTTTTACTAAAGGTAACATGAACGCATTTTCCTGCATTTAAACATAGTCTCCAGTTCTGGCACCATATACTGATACAGTCCAAGTCCTGTTGCAACTGTAGTACATCGTTGGTAATTCTTATAACGCTGTAAATAATGCAGTTATCTGTGAATAGCCTGATATTAGAAAGGACAGAGGATGCTATATCATTAATAAAGATTAAAAATAAGAGTGCCCCCAAAACAGATCCCTGAGGGACACCCGAAGTTACGTCCACAAATTTGGATTTTTTCCCCCCTAAGACGACACATTGTTTCCTTTCACTTAAGTAATCTTTTATCCATGCGAGTACAGTACTATCAATATTAAGTGTGCTAATTTTATGTAACAACAAATCGTGCGAAACGGAATCAAATGCTTTACGCAAGTCGATAAAAATGGCATCAGTTTGTAGCCTATTTTCCGCTGCACTAACCAGATCATAAAAGAGTTCTATTAATTAAGTACTGCAAGAAACGCCCTTACGAAAACCATGTTGGTTTGGACAGAAAAAAAAGATTATCTTATGTGCGAGCCGCCTCGGTGGCTCCGAGGCGAGAGCGCCGGCCTATGGATCCCCAGGTGGCGGGTTTGAATCCCGACCGAGGTGCCCTCAATACGACGGAGGCTTAATGCGGAAAAGGCGCCGTGTAACCGAGCTTTCGGTTGCACGTCAAAAGATCCCCAGGTGGTCCAAATTAATCCTCAGTCCTCCGCTGGGGCGTGCCAGATGCCCGTCGTAGGTTTGGCACGTAAAACCCCCAAATTTGATCTTGCGTGCGCCTTGCGCCCGGTGCATTCTGGGTGCACCGCTATGTTTGGGTCTGACAGCAGACCGCAGACAGCTGCACCTCCACAACTGCACCAGGACCAGCTGCACTACTCCGCAAATCTATTTCTGGTTTCGGTGACACCGGAATTTCCAGGGCCAGTATGTGCCAGAAAAATTTCCAGCACCAGAAAGAAGAGGAGAGCAAGCTTACGGACTCTTGTTTGTTTAAGATCCCAAGAATCCGAACACACGAGTGCGAGAAAGCACGGTTGCTTTCTGTGAGGAATGGCTTGTGCACATCAACCGGAATGACTTCGACGAAGATGTTGACAAGTACCGAGTGTGTTCAAGGAACTTCGTCTCTGGTAGGTGTTGCTTCCTTTCGTCGAACATCAGTGGTAAGATTTCCACAAAACTCTGCCCGTTGCTGCTGCTCATCGCGACGTGCGTCGCTTCCATGTGGAAATTTCGACGAACCGAGTGGCAGCAGGTCCTGTCGCATCGTTTGGAATTGATGAAAAAAGGGCCTTTGGGGAGCACAATGAGAGTGTGATTCATTTTGCCTGAGCAGCGGCAACAAAAGGGTGACAGAAACAAACTCATGAACATAGATTTCTTTCGATGCCGGTTTTCTGCTGCTCCTGCGATAAGCTGACATTCAAGTTTCTTGAGCACGTTTCTTTGTCACGATTGAACTTTCGCCTCAACTCTAAAGTATGAACCACATATGAGCGATTCTTCCAGACGAAGTGATGCAACAGGACCCGCTGTCGTTCAGTCCGTCGAAACGGTCAAAACCACATGCAAGCGACACACTCCGTGATAAGTAGCACCGACGGGCGAAGTTTTGTGGAAATCTTGCCGCTGGTGTCCGACGAAAGCAAACAGTGCCGACACTGACCCGAGATTAAGTATCTTGAACACACTTGGTACCTGTCGACATCTTCGTCGAGGTCTTTTCGGTTGGTGCGCGCAGGTCATTCGCGTTGCCTTCTCACGGAAAGCGACCGCACCTTCTCGCACTCCTGCGTTCGGACTCTCGGGATCTTGAACAAACAAGAGTCCGCAAGCTTGCTCTCCTCTTTCTTCTTCTTCAACTTCGACTGTGTGCGGCAGCTGACCATCATGCACGACACCATACTGGTGCAGCAAATTTGGGATGTCACTGAAACCAGAGAAAGATTCGTGGGGCAATGCGACCGGTCCTGATGCGGCCGCGCGGGTGCGGCTGTCTGCTGTTGGACCCAAACAGACCCAAAAATGGCCATGTACCCAGAATGCACCGTGTGCAACCCGCACATAAGTCGCAGGTGTGTACTCCCTCCACCTTTCATCGTCTTCTCTAGATTAGCTGTATTTCTACAAGTTCTAAAATTGGCTTCGAGGTTTGTTTCAGGTAACCATGATTGCATATTTCCATGACATTTATTGCAATAATGCTAGCATAAACAGAGATACATACAGTATATTGGAACCGAGGGAGAGAATATGTGACATACTGGGACACTTATTTTTTGTAGAGATAGCATTCGATTGGAATTTTCCTCCGTTGCTTGCTGTCAGCATCACATGAAATGAAATTTTTTTCATGTTAGTTTTTTTGGTGTAAATATATATATATATTTTTATGTTTCAGGGTGCAAGTTGTCTCGCTGCCGTCGTTCGAAAAGGTCTTTGAGGTTGCAAAGCCCAAAACACTTTACCTTGACTTCTCTCCAAAAGGGACCATCTTGTGCACGTGGGAACAGTACGCAGGTGACACCAGAGATCTTCCTTAATTTTATGCAAAACTTTTGTGACATTCTTTTTTATGACATGCTTTGACAACTTGTAATAAAACCAAGGCTGAAACCAGAGCTCATGAAGTGCTTTTGCAGGCTCCAAAGAAGCTCCGGAGCAGCCAAACCTACACATCTACGACATTAAATCAAACAAGTGCCTGCGCTCCATTGTTCAAAAGAAGCAGAGCAGTTGGTAAGTTTTCTTTCTGACATTTCACTTCCTCCATGTGTGATGCCATATTTCTGTAATAGGGTGCTTTATTCTTATGTCACTTCTAATTGCAACTTCCAGGACCTAATAAAATACATCATACATTTTTAAAATCTTTTTTTATGAAGCCGGTTGCTTTGATTAGCTATGGATACTGTACTAAGAAACAGGCAGAAAAACTGGCAGGGATTGGAATTGGGTATTCAAAAAGAAATCCTAGGCAAAACTTCGGTAGAGTGGCTCATACTTCTCATGCACACTTAGCTAGTTGCTTTGGAGTTACTAATGCTTTGCCTACGCGCATATATCAGGGGTGGAACGGCTGCGCCATTTGCGCCATTTTGCGCCATACGCATTTGTCTGCGCCATCCTGCGCCATGTTGCGGAAATTGCGCCACAACCAATACCTGGCGCCATGATGCACCAAATCGCAAAACGTGCGCCAAAAAAAAAATAGTATTTTGTTTTGGTTTCGGTTTCTATCGACTCGATTGGCAACAATGAGCGCGTTTAGCTGGGTCGATCTTGCAATAATTTTATCTCTTTATTCTCCCTGTGTACCCCGAATCTTGAAGCGCGCGAAAGAAATCGGAGGTCTGATTTCAAGCACTACATCACCTGCTACTACTCTTCAACCATAAGCGGCTAAGCAAGTCGGCCGAAGTGAGGTCGAGCCGTTAAGCGTCAGATTGCCTCGGGCTCTGCGGCCCGGGATCCGGACGTCAGCCAGTTAAAAACAAATGGGCAAAAGATTCCTTTTAGTACTTCATTGTTAGAAGCTGGAACCGCATTCCCGCAAGAAAAATCGTGATTTGATAACTTCTGAAACGCGGCCCAATCCGAAACCTTGCCGGCCAGCAGCTCTCACGCAAGCGGTAGATCTGCTCGGCGTACTTTAACCTTGTTCCTTATTGCTTCGAATACGATAACTCCGTTAATCGTAGTCTGCTGCTTCGATATTGAGTTGCCCAATAGGATAAACTCAAAATTTGTTTACCTGTTCCTTCGCGCACCTGCACGCCCGTTGCTTAAGCACGTCACGTGGTTCACACGTATAATTACTATGTCGAGCACGTGTGGGTTTTGCGATAAGCAATGCTGCTTTGCATTCTGAGCTGCTGAAAGCCAGTCAGAAGATATCAAGGGCGCTATCTTCAGAAACATGTGGTTATTCCCTGTTGGTTCTCATTAAGGCTCACACAGTTTCAAGTTTTCGCATCCTTCACAATGTCATCCGATCTAACGAGGTCCCTAACCGTGCACTCGTGTTCATATGTGCTGCTAAGCACAATTGAAATTGCTCCCGTGCTTGACTAAAACTCCAGCTGAAATGCAATGAAAACTAATCTGAGCTGCTCCTAACCTGCTCCGAAATGTAGTTTTAGCTGCTCCCAACCTGCTCCAAAACAGCTGTTTCAGCTGCTCCCGTGGCTGCTCCAAAGTACATTTCGTGAGTTCCACCCCTGATATATGCAAGTGTTTTTTTCAAAACAGAATGGGGGTCCATGCACGAAAAGTAGAATGTCGTTTTGAGTTGGCGTGCATTGAAAGAAAAAGTGTGCTTGTAAAAATGGAAGCCTAGATGCATAGGTGCATGACAAATCAGTTATTGTTTGATATACACTTCCAAACAGTTAAGTTTAGGTCAATGAAGGAAGCATTACACAATATTAAAGATAATTGGCGACATAGAAATAAGCTGTCCCTGGGTCTCTTATTGAACTTGGCAAAGGCCCTTGGGACCACTTGACATGCAGTGTTACTGAACAAGCTCAGAAACAGTGACATTTGATTAGTAGTCTTTCATCTTAGAGTATGAGGAGTTGCTTGATTGCATGTCACTGTCAATCACATTGTTTTGTCCAAGTTAAGTGTATAATGTGGTATTCCTCAAGGGTCAGCTTTATGGGCTCAATTATTCCTAACAAGCACACTTTATGTGCATTCAAAAAGCATAGGACCCAATGTTTTCTGTTCTGAATCTGCCATGTGATGCATTTGCTGACGACTCCGTGTGTTCTGTTCTTACCTGAGATGGGGCTGTGACTTTGTCAGCTGCATTTTGCCTGTTTTCCACCCTAAACTGGTCAGCAGGAAAAAAAAAAAATCGGGTATAAATGAAAAGAGGTATCAACTGACAATTCTTATTTTTCAAAAAGGCAGCTTCAGTGGTCGGATGATGAGGGTATCTGCGCACGAAACTTGAACAATGAGGTTCATGTCTACGAGAGCAACAACTTTGGTAAGTTGGATCTGTTTGTGTCGTTTCCTTTGGGCGCTGTTTTCTTTTAACCTTGTGTTTCGGAAGCTAGTAATTGTTTCCAAAGACATAATCATTCTATAAGAAGCTATTTAAATAGCAATTTATGGAGTGTCGCTCTCTGAGAAAGTGGTTTGCCAGAGAACAACTGACAAAATGCTTTGTAAACGATTTTCATTCTGCCTTCCCATATGGACATTACATTCTTTCTGAGCATTCAAATTGTTCAGCATTTCTATCGTGGCCATTGCTGTGCAATAATAACTCACTGTGTGTGTGTGCGTGTTTTTTTCTAGAAAATTTCAAGCACAAGATTCACCTACAGAAGCTAGCAGAGTACAGTCTCGCCCCGGGAAACCAGCCACATCATGTGGCGTGCCACGTGCCAGGCAGCAAGGTACCCACGACAAGCCCTGTCCCACGTCATACATTCTGCACCACCCATAATTTCAGCATTGCTGTCCGACATCACTGCTGAAACCACAAATGGTCTCGGCGTTCGTGGTTTCTTGCACTACATTCTGCTGCCAGTTACGAAAAACAGGACAAGCTCGTCCTTTAGTCTTTCCACTTTAGCAGAGTGAAGGCTGGAGAAGAGGCGAGGGAGAACTTTCTCCCTCTCCAACGTTTTCTCTGAAAAACTGGAAAGAGTGAAGGAGGAGCTTGTGCTGCCTTTCTTTGCCTGCGCCAGGGTATATAACACATTCTTCATGCAGGGCCAGCCCTCCTTTGTTAGGGTCTTCAAGTACCCTAATTTCGAAGGACCAAACGCCGGCATTGCAAACAAAAGTTTCTACAAGTCGGACAGGGTGGACTTTTACTGGAACAAGAAAGGTGGGTGGTTTATGCACCTTTCCAGTGCCTTCTTACTGCCTCTTTAAGGGGGGATACATACTACCCAGAAAAAACAATTTCTGCAAAAAAAGGTTGATTTTGAAAAATGTGATATTTATATCCACCAACATCTAGAGAGTATTCCCAGAAAGTTTTATTAGTTTACACTGCATAGTTAATTTTATATAAATTATTCCTATGAGCTTGTATTTTTATTTTTGTCATTTTTCATGCTCAAGAACTAAAATTTGGACAAAAAATGGAAATCCCAAAAAACAGTACTTGTGTTTATGTGGCTTTTTGTCATGAAAGAAGGTATAATATAGACATATAGCTCCATAGCTATCTGCTCTGAACTGTCCTAAAGCAATATAACACATGAAAATGACAAGTTTATAAGTAATTTCAGAATGATAGTTTTCCTACGCAGACACGCCCACTTTCATCTTTGACCATTTTTGTTCTTTGAAGCGCCATGGAGTGGGTTATCTTTTGGGATATTATGGTATGCATATTTTTGTAAATTGACTTGTATACAGAGGTTCTATTGTGTAAAGCATAAAATGTCTCCTTTCCAGGAACTGGTCTGTTGCTCCTCACCAGCACAGAGGTGGATAAGACGGGAGGCTCTTATTACGGAGACCAGGGCCTCCATTTCCTTAGGACAACCGGTGACACTGCCATGGTGAAGCGAGGTACGTACCTCGCTTCACTTTGCAATCTTCTATGTAAAGAAAGGAAAAGTCTTGCACGAGTCCTTGTTTTTGAAGAGAAGCAATGTCTCGTGCAAACACATGTGTTTGAGCCTAGCTCAGCCAAACTTGCTTGCAAGTTTGGCTGTGCTGAGCTATTTGTACCTTTGAACTGTGAGACGAGAGTGAGCGAGTGAGGTTTTGACTGAGGAAGGGAGAGTTGACAGTGCAGCAGTCGGTCCCAAAAGACTGACTTCTTTCTTCTACTGTGCCATACACAGCCATACTGCAGCATTGTAGTCACACTTTGCAGAACTACACAGGGCCTCTCACAGTGTTGTGTAGAGGATTAGTCTTATCCTTATTGAGTCCTTGAAGTTATTCAAATTCATTCAACCCTCTCATTTTGTTTTCCTTACGCTGTTTTCATCATCTTGAGACACTAAAGAATCAACGGCACTACTGCTATCTTGGGGGCTTTCCAGTAAGTTTCTGTCTTTTAACGCATAAAATCTTTTTCATAAAATTAATAAATCTTTTTACGGGGGGTTTTCCAATAAACAGAGCATATGGAAGTCACTGCATCAGAACCTGACCACAAAGGAGTGGACTAATAGACCACGCATGTGTCCTGTGTACTGTAAAAGTGATTGGTTGGTGCTGCATAAGTTTGTAAGTGTACTCAAAAAATGTTTGTTCTCTCTTGCAGGCAAGGACGGCCCTGTCTACTGTGTGGAATGGAGCCCAGAATGCGATCACTTTTGTGTTGTCTATGGATGTATCCTTGTTGGCTCACTCTGAAGTTCCAAATGCTTTTCAAAAATGGAGGAAATCATATTTGACAAAATTGGCAGCCTGTGCTTGCTCAAGTTGCATTTATGCTCACCTCATGCATGCTTCCTGGTGTAATTACCTCTTGTTATTTTTTTTACTTTTTATTAGCCTAAGAAATACAATTGGATACACCACGACCATGGTGGCATAATGCGTGGCTTTTGCCAGAAACGCCAACTTTTTAGTATTATTTTGAAGTTAATATTTCACCTCAGTTTTTGTAAAACCAAACAATCTAATTTGCAAAAAAAGAAAAAAAAAAGCTTTTTAAATCTCTTTTATTGTACATAAAAAAAAAATAAGTTTTATGTGTCTTTGGGTCATTCCCCTTCTTATACTCCGTTTCACCTTCAGTCCGAGCGCAGTGGACGCCACGAGCCATCCCAGCCGATCCAGCGCCGGGAGAAAGTCGCGTGACCTGCCGGTGGGGCGGGGCGACACAGGGAGCTCAAGGTCGCATGACACTCCCTCAACGCCGCATTGGCTGGGATGGCTCCTAGCGTCCGCTGTGCTCGGACGGAAGGTGAAACGGAGTATAGTTTAGCCTTAAAGTATAATTCACAATCAAAGTAACAGGTCACAGGTTGATTGCAGATTTGATAGTGAATTAAAGTTTCGTGACTGACTTCGGGCAATATTGTGAAACTGCTGGAATATAAAAATTCCTTTAATAATTTAACCTGAAACTGTAATTCACTACTGAAATAAAGAACTAAAATATTGATTGTGAATTTGATAGTGCATTATAGTTTGATGGCTGGCAGACTCCATTTGGCAACATTATAAACTACTTCATATGAATACCTAGGCAGTATTACAGCATTTGTCTCCTTTGAAATCGCTGTCCATACTTTCCTTAGCGTCAACTCTCCAGTCATGCCGGCGAAAGCGACCCTGTACAACCTGAACTGCGACCCCGTGTTTGACATGGGCACTGGCCCCAGGAATGCAGTTTACTACAATCTCCATGGCAGCCATATCCTTTTGCTTGTCGGGTGTGAATTTAGGGAATTGCATAGAAAACTGTTGTGTGGCATAGTGTCTATACATCGTTTAGGACAGTTCGACTCCAAGTATGCAATGTCGGGTGCACTGGGAAATGGCTTGAAAGGCACCTAGAATTTCTTTTGATAGGGCACGACCCCCAAACAAATGGCACTGTTTTTGGGCTTTTTTCTGGTCAGAGAGAAACGACCATGATCCAGGTGTTTTTTTGAGAAGAGGTTCTTGACTGACCCAAAGTCTAGCTTTTTCAGGAGCACATAAAACTTCGGTTGAAAAACAGGGATTGGATATTTCATGAATTCTTTCTCGGTGAACTATGTTTCTTAGTTGTTGTTGAAATTGAACTAAATTCAAGAGGTTTGATACGGCCTATTTGTGAGCTGTGCAATATAAAAATTTGGAGAAAAACGCTTGGCTCGCACATCCTCTTAATGTGCCCATTCCCAATCTTGCTTCATTAAAACACTGGAGGTAAACAAAAATTCTGCCTCTTATTGTATGACTAGAGAGGTCCAAAGAGTTAAACAGTAAGCTGTTTCAGTGTTTGCAAAGACAAATTCCCTTCTCACATTTACTGTAAACACTATATGCCACGAGCACAAGGTACTCTAAAGAAAGTTAACTTCACTGGTGGGAAAGTTAGCTTCACCGGTGGCAAGTTGAACAAATGTTTAGTGGGCGACTGGTTAAGAAATCAGTAGATGCTCTGCGTCCGTCATGAGCTCTCTGCCTTGATAGCATTTTGTGGAATGTGCAGCGAAAACTGTTGGAAGGTGAGCGCTTTGCAGGAGGTTGAGCTTCTACTTAATCCTTCGCCTGTTACCGACTGCACTCATTGCAAACGTCAAACCTCGTCCCTACTCGTGCTTTGCTCGCTCCTTTCCCATCCTCGGGTTAACGGCGCCCGAGAGTAGGTCCTTTCTAAAAAGAGCGCCTTAAGACAGGGACAGAAAGTAAGAGACACAACACACAGCGCTTTGTGTTGTGTCTCTTACTTCCTGTCCCGGTCTTGAGGCGCTTATTGTCAAAAGGAGCAATGCACCAGCTAGCCCATCTGTCACTGTTGAGTACCGGGTGTCGGTCGTTCGTTGTGAGGCCCTTAACCCTGTTCCCTGCACTGCTCATCCTGGCCGGCTTTGGGAACCTGAGGGGCAACGTAGAGGTGTGGGACGTGAAGGGGCGCAAGCAGGTGTCCAAGAGTCAGGCCGCCGACTCCACCCTGCTGTCCTGGTGCGCCGACGGCGAGCACTTTCTCACGGCCACCACTGCCCCGAGGCTGAGGGTGGGCAACGGGTGAGACGACTCGTTATGAAACATAGAAAAGAAGTTGGAAGAACCCGTCTTGCAGAGTAGGGTTAGCGGGATAAATTTTGTGAAATAAGCTTAAGGGGGGACATAGGCCTAAATTTTAAATTTTTTTGAAAAAATTCATTTTTCAATTTTAAGGTTTTCAGCTTTATAAACTTATTATACACCCTTACACCAAATTTGATAACCATACGCCACATAGTTACGTTGATATAAAATATTTTCAACCCATTGTGAGGCAGTAACAAAGTAAAGGAGTTCAATGTTCCAATGCATTTTTGTCAGTTCCACTTTTTGCTGCAAAATTCATACGAAGGAATCTTTTGTTCGGAGGTAAAAGTATTTGGATACCACAATCAAGATGTTTCTGAACTGAAATTTACTGGGGAATCGGGCTATCTACTTTATTTTGTTTTAAGTTGAAGTCCTCAGTGATAAAAAACAAAGTTTTCAAAAATTGACATTAGACACATGCATCTAAAAATTTTGAGGTAATAACTACTCCTAAAATATTTACATTTGAGGTATAAAAGCTAGATAGCCCGAAGTACCACATCCCCCACTTTATATTCAAGCAGTCGAAACAGCGCTTAATAACTCCATTTGCATATCATAGATTTCTTAATGAAAAGTGACACATCATCTTATGCAGGTATGTAAATTAGTCCTAGGGAGCTGAAAGTTTACACAGTACACCTACATCTGAAGCTAAATCTCCCCTGAAAATTTCACTTTGATCACTTGAGTAGTTCAAAAGTTTGACCTCTAGCCAGTGTCCCCCCTTAACCGAGCGATTTTTTCTGCGGACCGATAGGTGTGGGAGTGAAAGGTTAGTTTTCATCAAGGAAACACTTGATTTCAATGATAGTTGAAGCAAATGAAACACACCAGTCTGTTTTGTATGGCTTCAAATGATGCAATTAGTGAAGCCAGTCCAGGATCCCAAATAGATGATGCATACTGTAGGTTTGATCATACAGGTGTTTAGTACAGTATTACTTTTAGTGATTGTGCTGCTAATAAGAAGTTTCTTTTCAAATATCCCAGCATGCAATTTGCATTGTTGGTTACATTATCTATGTTAGATTTCCATGTTAGTTCAGACGTGATATGTACACCAAGGTACAGAGCGCGACACTGTTAGTGCGAACAAGCGATCGCCGTTTTTTTTAGTTTTTCTATTTGAAACCAAGGGATGTCATCCAAGTTATTGTTGCTATGGAAGAGCTCATTTAGTTCTATAATGTAAGCGATAACATTTTGTGCTCGCTAATACTATTTAGAAGTAAAATGCGAAAATGCGCCAATGTCGTGTTTGCGCTAACTGTGTCGCGATGTGTACTTGTACTTTGAAACCAACTGTAGTGCAACTCCTTGAAAATCATAATCTGCAGGTGGTGTCGTACATTGGGATACGCTCATAGATTTACATTTAGTTAAGTTTTTAGTTGCATGGACCGTGACTCGCGCCAAAGTGATACTGCGCTGATATCATTTTGTTACTAGTTTGAATCAAGGTTATTGGTTATTTCACAGTATAAAACACAGTCATCAGCAAATATTGAAATGTTTGATGAGATATGAGATTGTAGGTCTTTGATGTAGATCAAAAATAGCAAAGGACCTAAAAGGCTCAAGGTACACCTAAGCAGTTCTTATGAGTTGTGAATGCGAAAGCATGCATGTCATTCTTCCGCTCCCTTATTTCGTCTGCGGCGTACTAGCGTGGGAGGCCGAGCGCATGCTCTCCTCGCCGCGTTGACCTCGGCAGTGGAGCCACTGCCTCACTTGGCGGCCAGACGTTTCGTTTTACCGGCGCGCTGGTGGCGTGGACACACAGCGCCATGGGATGGCAGTCATTGAAACTGACTGCAGCAGCCAGTGGGAGCCTCATTCTTTGAAACTATGACTCTCGCCAGCCAATGGAACCAAAGCCGAAATCCATTAGATTCGGCTTCACTGCGCTTCATTGGAAGCGGGGAAACTAGGTGCTGTTTGGCTAGGCTTTTTGCGCTGCTTCAAAGCTAGGAGCCATCAGATCACAGTTTCAATTGGACAAAGGAGTTTAGGGGCGGTTTGATGCGGCTTCAAAGCCGATGATGTCGGCTCGCTCCATGGGACAGTTAATGCTTTAGCATTAAACTGAACCCTGTAGGACTCCTGAAGTAACAGAGACTAATGCGGAACTGTAATTATTGATGGTAACCAGTGGTTTGCGGTTTGTTAGGAAAGAGTGTATCCAGGTGAGAATGTTAGCATCAACATTTAGCTTACCGAGTTTTAATAGAAGTAGTGTGTATTTTGTGAGACACTTTATCAAATGCTTTTGAAAAGTGTAAGAATATGCAATTCATACTCGACCTCCGGTCAAGTATTGTGTGGAGGTCATTGTGAGCATTAAGATACTTAATGGATCCTTAATTAATTACATCAGCTCCCGCACCAAAAAAACTGACCTTTGGACGTCGTTCCAGCTTTGTGCGGTCTTTTTGCTACCCTCAGTGTTCTTTAATTAGAAATGGATTTTCGCATCTGGAGTACATCTTTTTGTTTAATTGGCTTTCCCCAGATACAAGCTGTGGCACTACACTGGCAGCCTGCAGCATGAGGTCCTGTGCAAGGAGAACGAAGAACTCTGGGACGTGCAGTGGCAGCCCTTCCCGCCACAGGCCTTCCCTGCCAAGCCTGTCTCCTACAAGCAGGTGTCTGGCATCGAGTCGTCACAACCACAGGGTACTGGCATCAACCCTGTCGTTTTTACCCCTTTTGGCACGGGCCTGCGCTCTGGTGCGAGGCTATTCTCAAGTGTTTGAGATTGTAACACAGGTACTCAAGTGCTTGTGTATGCAGAAACCTACTGGAGATATTTAGCTGTATAATTTGACATTGTTTGCGCTACGCATTAGGTTGTGGAGTGCTGCTTTTAGAGTTGAAAAGAAGCTTCAAGTGGATTCTTACTTAAATGAACCACTGCTTTCTCTAACATCATAAGGGCTGCAGAAGTCAATATATATATGACCGTTAAATACCGGGGGAGCGCGCGCCTAACTTTCACTGAAAATTTGATTAATCTAGACATGGGCGCTTGTCCGGTGAAATCGGGTGCTTAACGTATAATTTTCAGAATTCCCAAGTTTAGGAAATTTTAATAGTGGGTGCTTGAATAAAGTGGGTGCTTCTGCGGTATTTTACGGTAGTGTATGTTTGAACCAATAATTTCGGAAGCCCCGGTCACTGCAATGCCACTCGTGGCAACTACCGTTTTGTTGCTCCGAAAGTTGACATTGCTGTACAAGGAAGAGACAGTAGCAGCGACACGGGCTTGTTTAATTGAACCATTTGTTAGTCTTCTGTGAGAAACTGTCCCTTAAATAAATTTACATATATTTTTCTAATTTTTGTTTGTTAGGAAAAGAAAATATTTCACTTTGTTTCTTAGTGAGTGTAGAACAAAATGTATTAAAGGTGGAACGAGTCATTAAGTTATTCCCATCAAAGACTTATGTTATGTCTCATATTCTCTTTCACGCAGAACAAAATCTGAGAAAACTGAACGATTAATTTAAAAGTGCACGCTGAAGATGTGCACAAAGGACTCATTTGAAATTTGTTGCTGTAAAAATGTTACAACATTTCAAAATGCCCATCTTTAGAAGTTAATGCACTAGACCCTTTTCATAATTCAGTGCCATCTAGTAGCTCTAAAAGCAGTTTCACTTACAAGGAATTAATGGCGGTCGTGAAACTTTTTTGCCGGGCATCGTCACTTTTGCACGCAAATGGCAGATGAGAATTGGTTCTTTGACCCCCTCATAATTTCTTGATTTGTTTCAGTTTCGAGGGTGTGAACATGAGAACTGACCAGCACAAAGCGGCGACCCATAAGCCTCTCGATTGAACTTTTGCCATCAAAGGTCTTCAGAGCAAAACCTGTGCCTAGAAATTGATTGGACCACATTTCGAAATTAATGCTTATGCAGCCGTTGTAATTTGTGCGTCGTGTTGTATCGGCATCTCGAACGAATGGGCCTCGTATATCCTCTGCTCGGTAGAATCTTCAAGTTCTTCTTTCATTAGACTCAAGAAGGCCGCCATTAGTTTGGCACAGATGCCATACTCTGAGATGATGGCAGTGATCAAATTTGACAAATCGAATTTCAAAAAGGGGTCCATTCTCCTACAATTCGTTGATGCATGCACTACTATGAATTATGAAAGAGTGAAAACTTGAGTGAGTTTGAGATGCATGGTGTCGTGTTGGCTGCCGGAGAGGGTCAACGTCTGGCCCAAGTCGTCGGAAAGAGTCGCACTAGGCGACCGAGACCAGCAAAGTACAGGCCCCCTTTATTTGCCCGCTTCATTGTACTATATACTCCTGAGGCGCCCGGCAACCGCCGCAATCTTTCTAAAGCAATGACGTCGCTCGTAGGTGATCGGATATCATTTTCAATGCCGGAAACCTACAACCGCGTCCACATTGCGAGCCGATATGGCCCGCACCTTGGGACAGAGTGTCTGGTTAACACTACACATGGCAAAATGAAAACGGCGCGAAAAGAGACAAGCTACAAGTCAAAGAAATGTACCTCAGCAGACAGTACGAGCCGAGACACACAATTCAGTCTTTTTCTGCACCTGCAGCCCTCACAAGCTCTACTATCATATCTCATTTTTGTCGAGTAGTCCAAAATGTGGGACCTAAACTCCGCATTCGATTCCTAGTTTAGGACACGACTCTCTCGAAAACAGACGGGCACGCCGAAGAAGCACAAAGGACCATTTCGACTCATGTTGTCCGCGACAGTATGCCTCAGGTGCCGTAAAAGTGCACACGCCGGCACCTGGCGTGTATCCTTTTTCCACCATTTTCATTTTGCCGTTCTTTGTACTGATCTCCCGAATTTGGAGATGCGCAAAAGACGGGGTCGCTTCTGTTGCAGCGTCCAAGCAGGTGTACCGTCCCCCCGGGGCCAGGGGTCAGGCACCCTCGTTCAAGGTGAAGGACGACGAACCCCCCGCGTGCGGCGACAAGGCTGCCGACGCAACAGCCGTCCCCAAGTGCGCTCTCAAGAACCAGAAGCGAAGGGAGGCCAAGAAGGCCAAGAGAGAAAACGAACAGGCAAGTTGGTTTTTCTGGCTTAGTCATGGATGCGCGTCTATGCCAAGCCGGTACCATGCTTTGTTTCATGCGACGACGGACTGCGGCGGACGCTACGGGCCATCCGAGCCAATCCAAATCAGCGACGTGCTAAGCACATAATAACATGATATGATTGTGTCGCCAGATTGGTTGGCGACGCAATCTCCCAGCGTCTGCCATGGTCCGTCGTAAAGTGAAACAAGGTATGGTCTCGAGGGGGCTAACTCCCTGATGTTTCAGCAAATGGCGCCTTTCTTTTAGCCAGAAGTGTAGTAGCTGAGAGAAGTTGCAGCATGGTGTGGTGCTCATGCTCTTTTGGATAAAAATGGTAGCTGGTACAGGTATTTCTTCGATCCAGATGCCTGTGCTCTCTTGTAGTTATATTCTTGATCTCGACCTTCAATAGCTAAAAGTAATTAATTTAAAGCCCAATGTGCAAAAATAATTTTCCGCCCGACTGAAAGCTTGTTCTTGTTTCCTTCTCGTGGATGTTGGGTGTTGTTGTGAAAACATTCTTTGTTTGGTCTTTCCAATCTAGCAGACCATGAGCGCTAGATTTGGAAGGCCAAACAAAGAATGTTTTAACAACAACATCCTCGTGCTATCCTCCTCTTACCCTAATCCAGTGGGTGGGAGATTATCCTTGCAAAAGGGGGAAAGGTATTTTCTTCTTTTTGGAACAGAGGGTGAAATTGTGCTGGTTTTCTGCTTTGCGGTCCTACGTCGGGCCTCGATCCAAAGATCCATGGTCTGCTTCAAGAATGACCTGCAGTTTTTGCTTCCAACCCTTTGAATTTTGCACATTTCTTAGCGTTCAGGTGACAGCTATGAAATGCTATGAAGAACATATATTTTGCAGTGATTTAATCTTCTCACTGTTTGCAAACAGAAAACAATAGCAAAAAATTGGTCATGAAAATATGTCCTATTATCGATTCAGGAAAATTTGTCAAGTATTAAACCCGTAACTGTACCATCATATACACATTTGCAAGTACGGCCTCAGGGCGTTGCCATCTTACTCAGTTGGGGTGCTCTTGGGCCCGTCATAATCCGATTAGGATGCCTTGCTAAGGCATCGTAATCGGATTATGACGCGCCCAAGCGCACCCCTACTGAGCAAGATGGCAGAGCCCTGAGGCCGTACTTGCAAATGTGTATATGGTTTTAATTTTTGCAACACTCAATATTCCAGGGTGGAGACAGTCCCGTAAAGGCTCCGGCAGCAGTCCAGAGGGTGGCCGAAGCGTCGGCACAAAACACGGATGAAGTTAGCAAGGAGAAGAAGATAAAAAACCTGAAAAAGGTAAGGAGAGCTGAAGTGTCCCCACGGATCTTCGAAAACCTGGGAAACCTTTGAATATGAAATTGCCCATTTTTTTAATAGCTTGGAGACAACTTCAATATCAAAATATGGTCCTTAAAAACTGTTCTGGCTCGTCCTCATTGCAGAAATTGGACCAGATTGCCATCCTCAAGGTGCAAGTTCAGAGTGGGAAAACTCTGGAAGCTAACCAGGTATGTGTTTATAACATCCAGTGCTGTCTGCTCTGCTTTTGAAGGTGCCATCGGCCAAATGCTAAACAGAATTTCACTTAGATATGCCTACCATGGTTACAGCAACAGTGGCATTTTTGTAAATAAATTGATGTTGTAGGGAAGCTCCTGCTACACTTAGCTATAGCGTTTTTTAAAAGCCATATTCAAACAATACTGGTGAGGTCCGTTTAACATGGCTACATGTTTCAAGAGGCAAGTGGCGGTACAGTGCTCAACATGAAACGGATCAGCAGAGCTCGTGACTTTGTCACGTACGTGCGTAAGAGGCAAGCAGACAGCTGCGGTTTAAATTTTCTGCACAACCCATTGATTGGCGATTACAGCAGGCCACGAACTTGTAGCACGAGCGAGTCTTTTTTAATGAAATCTCAATACGACGCTTTAGTGTTTTCAAGCACCTTGGTCAAGATAAACTCGTGCATGCATACCTAATCCTCGAGACTTTGGAAGGAGAAGGAAGATAAAAAATACATCTGTGCACAGGTGTGCGTGTCCTTTTTACGTGACTTCTTTCTCTTTTCTATGATTTTGGGCTTTAGCTATGTTTGCGATTCATGGGCTTGCCTATGCACCCAACAGCCCACCCAGTGACACTGGATGGGTTGTTGGGGGTCATGTACCAAGTGCAAACAGTTTCTGCACGATCGGCTCGGCTGTGTGCACATGCAACTTGCGGTGCACCGAAACACACCGATGGTGTATCAGGTATCCGAGGCAATGCATTTCACAGGCAAGTTTTGTACCACAGAGCACTGTACACTGAACGCATTTTATGGCATACACTCGCAATGCTCGCCCCGAATGTAACTAAATAAAAAATGACCACATCTCCACGTGGTGAATGATGTTGATTGGGGCGAAGCTCTGGTCATGCTTGTCTGCGTAGACGCTGAGCCGCAGCATGCCGAGCCTTTCGTTCGTTTTCATCCATGTCAGAAAGAGAATGTGTGGTATGGAACGTGGTTATATAGGTATTTGAGCATTTCACTGCAGGGCCCTCTCCTGTATAGACGTTGAGCGGCTACATGCAACGTTTCGTCCACGACTTCCCCAGCTCGAGTTACTATTACATCTCAGAGCCCCCCCTCGTCCCGCAGTCGTGGCCGAGTGGTTAAGGTGATGGACTAGAAATCCATTGGGGTCTCCCTGCACAGATTCAAATCCTGTCAACTGCGCAAATTTTTTTTTTTTTTCGTTTTTTTTTTGTTTTACACGAGCACGTGAGCTCACGAGCACGAGCACAAGCAAGATTGATGTGAGCACGGACGCCGGACGGACAAGGCTAGACCCTAAGGAGCTTCGCCCCTAATAAATAAATTCTCGGGAAAGGTCAAAGGGTCGTGCTTTCAGGTGCGAGTGTGCCATTGGCACTGGAGAAATAGGCCTTCGTCCACGGTTAGGTTGCTCTACTATTTGTGAGAATTCTTGGGATTTTAGTCGTGCGTGCACTAGGGTATAAATATTAACCCGCAGTAGGTTTAATTGGCCCGGTATTAATTAGAGGAAGAACACACCATACTATATTATGTAAAATACTTTTTGTCGCCGTCTTTTATTTTAGCTGGAGAAGATCAAGAGGGAGAAAGACCTTTTGGACGAGCTTGAAGCACTCCAGCTGTAAAGGCGGCCATCCACAAAACACAAAGATTGTTACTAGGTCTAAGTGTAATAAACTTATTGAATTTTGTTTTAGTCGTCGGCATGTTGTTTTGCCAGAGCTTTTAAGCAATGCCTTGCTTACAATCATGTCTTTGTAAAAAAAAAGTTGAAAATGCTACTCTAATGTGGCGAGTTATACGGCCAGGGAGACATAATATAGGGGGCTAATCATCGCAATAAGACGAACAATCAACTGAACTTTGTTACTTAACCTTTTAATTGGTCATAATAAACATATGGTTCCAAAAAACCGCTCACTAAATTACCCAAGCATCAAAGAGAATGTTGGGAATGTAGGTACATGCACTGCACGTGCCTGCCTTCCCTAAAGAAAAGGTTGGAAGTAAATAACAAAACTGAAGCGTCCGTGAAACGCATGTGCAAAGTTCCGTTTGTTCTATATTTTTGCTTTTGAACAGTTGGAGCTGAAAACGCCAGCGCGTGTTACGTTCCCGGCATTTCTTTTTATGCTTGGGTAATTCGGCAGAAGGTCGATTAGAAACTTGCCGAATGTCATTGAAAACTACTAAATCTGCGTTTGTACACAGCCAGCTTTGTGCCCTTGCTAAGTCTTGCAAACACTGCAAGATTTAGCAGCGTTTGGAGAGTGTTCAAACGAAAAGGAAGTTGGGAGAAAGTCTGGAGGAGCCAGAACAGCAGGTAGCATCACCAATAGCCTGCATAGTGTAACTTAGCAGAGGTTTGCGGACCCAAAAAGTCCAAGAGAGGATGACGCAGTTCCAGAGTATTGCCATGAAACCTATGAACATGGCACCCTCGGAGCAATATTACGCACTGCCGAGAATCCGTTTCATTTGGTCCATGCTGCAATGCTTGATTACTAATACCAGCTTCGTGTCTGTGTACAGTAGTAGCGTCTAGTGTAACATTGAAGCTGCTCGAAAAAAGAATTCAGAGGTTTATTGTACTGCCCGGTAAGGGTGCTGTAACAGAAGCTCCGGGCCTATCTGGCGTCCGATCGCCTGTCTGCGATGCGGAGAAGGGACTACTGCTCCATGCCCACTCATCCTTGAACACCTGCAAAGAAGAAAATATCGTCGGTGATCGGCTATGAGTGATTGACCAACAGCGATTGGCTGTCAATGCCTGGCCAGCTGCACAGAAGAACCGCTTTTACAGCAAAGCTGTTCATGACTTGTTGGTCAGAGTTTTTTGTGTCCGTCGACAGAAAATCATTGCGCGTGCGTTATCATCCATCATGTGGTTTTGACACTTGTTTCAATGAGAAAACCACAAAATAAGTGTCAAAACCACATAATAGATGATAAGGTGTGCGCCAACAATGCGAAGCACGTAGCACTCCCCGCATGCATTTCTCAGTAAAGATTGCGGTTGCATAAGCTGCCGTGGAAGCGGCAGCATACAATGTCTTTCATTTATGAAAAAGTTTTGGTACAGTGCATTTACTTTTTTTTCGACAATCATTTGGTAAAGAGCCTTTTGCTGTTTACAGACATGAGCTGCCGCTTGCGTCCCAAGCGACTTTCGGTCGCACCATCTTTGCAAGCCTGTTGAGCTTGTTTATGACACCAGTGCTAGAGAGCATAAATGCTACACAGACAACAACGTTGGAGATTTAACGAGGGCCTTCGGCTGTACAATATTACATCTTGGAGGGGGCAAGCTGGTTTACAAGAACACTTAAAATATTTTAACAGATCTCGCACTCCTTCGCTCTTTTGGTGTTCACCTGGAAAATTGGTGGTCAAACGTTTCATCTAAATTTCAAGCAGCGGTGTTAAGAAGGTCCTTGTTCATTCTTTTTATAAACTGGAAGTTCTCTGGGACGTCAGACTGGAGCACCACCTGGTGGCTTTTGCCATAAAAAGGGTCTATAGTGCAGTCGGCAATCCTTGCAGGTGATACGACAGCTTCGCTGGCCAACCACCTTCGCAGCATGGATTGGAGCCTTAACTTGTTTCGTTTCTTGTGGAATGGAGTTCTGTTCGGTTCCATCCCCTGTTTTCGCACATCAAAACCGATGGATGATCCAGAAAACTACCTATGCAAAGTTGAAAAGGTTGTCTAGTGAATCCATACTTTTTTCTGGTTTTCCGCTGTTATCCGCTTTCTAGCATTGGCAGCGTTTTTGCACAGGTTGATCCATAAGTGTGGACAGCTTTACCAATTTAACAGTGCCAGCTTTCCAAAACAAGATTTTTGTCAAATGACAAACATTTCAACTTAGAGAAAAAAAGTTACAACACAGAAAATAGGAGCAGGCGAAACAGCCTGATTGTGTATTGGGTTCATGAAAAGACAGACCTCCCTGGAGAAATGTATTAACAAAAAGTATTTAAGGGTATTCTAAAAAAAAAAAAAAAATGGGAAAACAACTGCCAGCACAGAAAGAATATACTACTATGACTAAGCAGAAAAAGTACAAACTAAACCAGGTCAGTCATTCTCAAGCTTCTCAATGAAAAAACTTTCAGCCTTTCCACTCTGGTGAAGAAGGAAGACCAGCGGAGCCGTACAATGGAAAGTAATGGCCAGCCGCAAGTCGGCAAGCCAGAGTGGAAAGGCTGCCGCCATCTATGAGCGACGGCGGCAACCAGGTACGTGGCTTGCCGCCGTTGGTCCTAGCTGGCGGTAGGTGTCCAGAGTTTGGTGTATTCATTTCTTCGCAGGGGACACATTCCTGGGGAAACCAGCCCTTAACAGCTCCGCTGTAAAACAGCAGAATTTCTGAGCAGTTGCTGGCTCTTGAAGTGTTGTATCTTTAAAATATTTTAAAAGTTTTCTCCTATACACAAATAAAAAAAAAAATAAAACAACTCGAGGTACACGTAAGGTTTTTTTCCGAGTTGTAAATGCGAAAGCATGTACTCTCCGCATGTTAGCGCGCTGACGGACACGCAGTGCCATGGAGTGGCCGGTCGTTGAAACTGACGTTGCGCACCAGTTTCAACGACCGTTGGCTAGCTTTTTGCATGGTTTCATAGCTGGGAGCTGGCTTGACTTGGAGAAAGGATTTAAGGTGCCGTTTGGTGCAGTTTCAAAGCTGATGACGTCGGCTTGCTCCATGAGACTCAGTTAATGCTTTCGCATTAAAAATGCTGTGGGTTGGTTGTAAAGATCTACAAAAGCGAAGATAAAGTTGCCTTATTTGGCACCGTGCCAATAAATGGGCAGACAATCCATTTTCACTGGTCCATGTGTGACTAGTCTATGCTAGACATGATGAGCGCTTGGCAACATGCAGGAATTTCTGCAGCTTCAAACCAGATGCCTAAGGCTGAAATCAAAAATTACTCATGGATTTAACTACCAAACCACTTAAACTAACCTAAATGCAATAAGAATTGTGAATAAAACAATTGAATTACAGGGTTCAACTGCTTCAGCTAGTAACTTAATTGTGACCCCAATATACCTAGTAATAATTACAAAAACTTTAATTACCAATAGCATATCTGATTCTGAGATTGTTCCACAGTCCCATATTATGTACATATAAATGAAACATGCACCAAGTTCCATTTATATTTTCAACACTCGACGATTGAGCGTGAGCCATGATGCACTGGAGGAATGCTTTCCCTCTATGCACCAGCTGTACTGTGGTGAAGCGTAATACGCAAAATTGCAATGTCTACTCCGTGGGTGTCGCTTCTCTGCAGTGCAGCAGTGCGCTGGAGCAAGCACACTCAACGGAGCTAATTTATCCACACTGACACAAATGACAAGAAAGATTGCAGAATTTCCAAGTATACTGTCAGTGTTCGATACAGAGGTAAAATGAAATGTCACATTATTCGATGCGATAATTTGAAGTTTGAAAAATTTCCACAGGCCTATGCAAAAATCCGGCAATGTAGCACAGCCTGATATTCAAGCATCAGCAACGTTTGGTGCAATGTTGGTGCCAATTCGTTGCATCTTGGTGAAAGGATATAGCATGGTAAGCACTTTGGCACAGACGGTGCAGCAAACACACCATTGCTGGTTGCAAGGTTCTTTTGAAGTAAATCTTCAGAAAGTCAGCTTTATGTATGGACCACCATGACTGGTACCCCACATTAATTTCAGCCTTACGGTATCCACATACAAGGTGCCAGGACTAAAAGAAAACATTGACGCCAAACAGTCTAGCACCAATGAGGCCAATAACATGTACATGTATTGGCGTTTTCTGAATAGTAAATTTTTCCACCAACCTGAACTGTAAGTTCGGGAACTAGACCCGATAGTCGGTCAACAATGTGTGCCAGGACGAGCTGTTCGTCTGCATCTCTGCGTACTCGCACGTGCACCGAACCAGCCTGCAAATGAGAAAAGTAAAATCATGATGCCAAAATTGCTGTTGCTACGCCGACTCTCGATGAAATGCGTCGGCATTTAGTGCAGAGATTCCAAATTGGCGAAGGATGGGAATTTCAACCTCGTAACGGTCAGCATACTGTTGACTTCGGAGAGCCAATCTTTCCTGCTAGGTGTTGACGGTTTCACGCAAACAGCATTGTCGCTGCACCTTGGCTTCACATTGTCGCTTACATTGTGCATACTGGGGAAACGAAACTATGTGTCTATGTCCCAGTACCGTCGTAAGAGGAGTGCGCATCAACAGCGGCGTGTCACTGGAAGCATGCAAGAACACTTTTTCCCTTTTACATATGAAAGAAAGTGGACGTAACGAGCGAACGAAGGGAGCGAAAGAGCGTAGCGGGAACTGTGCTGCGGTCTCACAAAACCGGTCCAGTCCAGTCTAGTCCAAACCAAAGACTGCATGCACCAGGGCAATAAATGCTATCGCATTTAAAAGAAGAGCTGCCGTTGCCGTCTTAGATTTGAGTTTTTAGAGAAAGCAATGCATTCTCTAAAAGATTTTAGAGAAAGCAATGCATTCTCAGTTGCTGTGTTTAGATTCTCTCGATTCAAATTAGTTAATTTCAGTGATTCTGTGAGGGATGGAGGCATGCCCGAGTGTTTTGGAGCCGTTTTGTAATAGCAAAAAAAATGTCTTGGAGCAGGTTGTTAGGAAAGATATAATTCCTTAGGACTAATTTTTCGTGTTGCACGAAACAAAAATACTACACCCATTGCCAACAGAACTTTAGGAAGTTATGTACGTTCCACACTTTACACTCACATGCAACATCTACCTGGGGATTAATCCGACAAGCGATGTGCCTCCAACTTGCTCTTCAGTGAGGGTGGACTCACAGAGCATGCTAAGTTTGTCATTATTGACCCTTGACAAGTAGCACAAGAAAAACTATGTACATATAGAGCCTAATCATATACTAACCTACTTCTCCAGCAAAATGAAAAGTGCAGTTCACAATTTAATTCACACAATGCAGTGCAATACATAGAAGCAAAAGTAAAAAAAATAGGCCTAAAGGGGTACGGAAACGAAATTTCAGTGCTCATTTTCTACGGGGATGAGTTGAGCTAGTTGGTTATGATGCTGATTTTTGTTGAAAGGCACAAGAAAACTAAATTTAAAGCTAATTAAACAATCTTTCAATGTGCACCTGGTGGATGCCCGTGAAGCTTAGTTGAGAGGTAATCTAGCAACATCGGGGATCTTGCTACGTAGGTCATGATGAAGCAAGTTCCGCACTAAACATTGCAGCGCTGATCTTTGGAAGTACGCTCAACTGTTTAAAGCAGTCATGAAACACTCTTTCAACTTCTTTTACAGTGGAGCTGTTAAGGGCTAGTTTCCCCAGAACCGTGTCCGCCAGCAAACAAAAGTCGACACAACACTCTGGGACAGCTACCGCCATCTATGAGCGACGGCGGCAACCTTTCCACTCTGGTTTGTCGACTTGCGGCCGCCCATTACTTAGTACAGCTTCGCTGCTCTTCCTTCTTCACCAGAGTGAAAAGGCTGAAAGTTTTTTCGTAGCTTTCCTCCCAGTGATTCCCCTACACCCCTCCTACGGGGTTGTACCCCTACCCTACCCCTCCCCCCCCCCCCCCCCCCTCCCCCCCCCCTCCCCCCCCCCCCCCCCGTTTTTCTTCGAAGGCACCGCCTTAATTCACAACGACTCCTCTATTCTTAATACCCCCTCCCCTCCCCCCCCCCCCCACCCCAACACCCCCTGAAAATTTAGACACCGCCCCTAATTTCAGTTCCTGGGGAAACCCCTGTTTCCTCCTTAACTCGCAAATCACGCATTATACCAAAATACCAAACAGTTCAAGAAGACTAAAAACAGGGACTCCCCTCTTGCTTGGACCCTCGTTTGTGTAACCGGACACTGCCATTCTCCCCCTAGAACAGTGGTTCTCAACGATCAATGTTTTGCGGACCCCGTGTGGATCGGCGGATATGGTGGAGGACGCAGTTCGTGGTGAGGGGAGAGAAAAGGTATAGGTTAAATATAATAACGATATAAAAATGGATATAACTAAGGGCTAGTGTGAAGTAGACTTCTCTTATTGACATACACACAAGAGAACTCGCTTGAAAATTGAAAAATTTCTTCTCTATCTGAAAAAGGACGACTTTTATTGCCGGGTTTGACTGATGAGGCAGGGCTTCGCGGACCCCCAAGGCTCCGCGGACCCCCATTTGAGAACCACTGCCTTAGAGGATTAGCCCATAGCTCAAAACACAGACAAAAGTTGCTTTCCCCACCCTGTTCACCCCTAAGCTGACAGTGCAGTGGAAGCTATGTGCTCCTTGGGCCAGCCACACACTCGTCACCCCACGGCTACTTCGAACGGCTCGGTTGTAACGCGTTGACGGTATTGACACCACCACAACGCTGACAACGCCACCAACAGCAAAGCTCATAACCACATCAGCCTTGCTACGTCATGAATGCGGGGAATCTTTATTTTGTTGTTTTTGTTTGTGCCAGATATCCCATGACGCATCACGCTTTCCGTTTGCTTCTCTTCGAGCGCTTGCTCGAGTGCACCGTTTGGAACGAAAAATATAGTCAGTCGTTGAAAATACAAACGTGCGATTATCATTTATGGACATTATCCGTCATGCTTGACCCATTTCCGAGTGAAATTTGTATATTTCAATTTTCGTTTTTGTACCCCTTTAAATAAATACAAAATTAATATTTTATGGAAGATTGAAACAGAAGTTGGAAGCAAGTCAAGCTGTTGTGTCTGGTGCATACATGCAAAGATATCGGCAAATATCTATCACAGCTACAAAAGCGGCAGCAAGTGCACCTACTCTGCAATACCACACAAAACAATTTTCTTCTTTTTTCTAGCCTTTGGTAGCACTTCGAGCACAGTCGCCCATATTTCCACAACCTCAAAACGGTCGACATTATAGGAACGAAGGAAAAAAGGAGATCTGGGGTTCGATTTTGGTCACCGCAACAGAGAGAACCTAATTTTCCTCTCGCAGAGTGAGCGAAGGTAGCATTCATAGACAGTTAGTCTGCTAACGCAAGCAAAGAATGCGGGTTGTCTGCAACAAAGCTCTATTCGCAGTTGGAAATAAAACAAAAAAAGAACAACAAAACATTCATCATCTGCTAACAGAGCAGAAAAAAAAGGAAATCGTCTGCTACGAGCCGAGCGCCGAGGCAAGATCGAAAGCTGATTAAAGTTGTGATCATCTGCTATTTCACAGTGGAAGCCATTAACAACCCGCGCTTCGTTTGCAAATCTCAAGCCGTTCTGCTGCCATACACAAGCCAACATCGACCGGTTAATGAAGGAGTGCTAAGGACAAGCACACCGCAGGCTGCGAGACATCTCGCTATTTGTATGTTGGCGAGATGTTCTCACCAAAATAATTCCCGATTGAGCACTCGCGAATGGGTCAGAAATGTCTCATTAGTTGATCAGACACAAGTTGTGGTTCCACGTTCAATCAGCAGCCGAGAACGCTCTCGCTCTTACCTTGACCAAAATCAAGCTCCAATGACGACAATGATCAGAGTTTTTTTGCCACAAGGGGCCCAAAGACCGATCACGACCGAACGAGGGACTCCACCTACCAGGCTTCCGAGCGAAAGACTCCAGAACTGCTCGTGCCTGAACTCCAGGACTCCATCCAGGGTGGAGGCCTCGCGAAGGCACTTGTCCAGCTGGCCCAGCAGAGGCCCTGGCGTTGTCTGCACACGTGAGCCTCAATATCAGTCCAGAGTGCTCCCTAACTGAGCTACACAGGGCGTGTTTCTAAGGCTCTACAGATTTAATTTGAAAAAGCCACGAAATCTACACTAGTGCGGTCTGTGCAGGGGAGTTATACAAACAAGGTGACATAATGTAAGGCGATGGTTGTCCCGATAAGTCGGTTAACTAAGATTTGTTAACCGTTTAAAGTTTGGAGACAAAGATATGGTCCCAATCAGAAACTTGCTGAGCATCGAGAACTACTAAATAGATTTTAGAAAGATTTTGGGCACGAGCGAAGCGCAGTTTTTTCGTCGCTCATCCGCGTTTTTGCACTGTCAGCACTGCACTCGCTGCACGAGTGGTGACTTTGGCACAGCACCGTGCTTGCCACGCGCCCCAAATCTTTCTCAAAATGTACTCGTTTAGTTATTTTCAATGACACTCGGCAAGTTTCTAATTGAAACCATAGTTTTATTTTCACTAATTAAAAAGTTAATTAGTAGATTTTAGCTAATTATCAAACTTATTGTGACAATTATCCCCCTATATTATATCCCCCTCAACGTATAACTCACCTGCACAAACTGCATTAGTGTAGCTTTCACTGCTTTTTTTAAAACACATCTCTACAGCGTAAAAAAAACAAAAAAAAAAACAGCTCGTGTAATAGCACTCACGACAACCATTCCTTGAAATGGTTGCCGGGGGAACATTCCAGGCACCAGTCGACATACAGGCTTTCCTGCAATGCAGTTTCTTTCTCAATGTTATACAGAAGCACACGAGAAGAGGAGTGAGGGACAGAAAGAAAACAGTTGTTAGCCTCTGCCGTACAGCCCTTGCGACGCCTTTCGAAGCCAATTTTGGGCCCTGCACCTATCGCAAGTGGCACCACTGAAAAATTGTTTCGACAAGTGTGGGATTTAAAGAGATGCCGATGCCCGTCTTAAGTAAAAAAACAATTGACCGCATCTCTACGTAGTGAACGATGTTGATTGGGGCGAAGCTGTGGTGGTGCTTGTCTGCGTAGACGCTGAGCCGCAGCATGCCGAGCCTTTCGTTCGTTTTCATCCATGTCAGAAAGAGAATGTGTGGTATGGAACGCGGTTATATACGCATTTGAGCATTTGACCGCAGCGCCCTCTCGTCTATAAACGTTGAGCCAATGCATGCAAAGCTTGGCGCGATTATATACGCATTTGACTGCAGCGCCCTCTCCTGTATAGACGTTGAGCGGCTACATGCAACGTTTCATCCATGACATCCCCAGCTCTTCAGTTACTACCACATCTCAGAGCCCCCTGCTCGTCCCGCAGTCGTGGCCGAGTGGTTAAGGCGATGGACTAGAAATCCATTGGGGTCTCCCCGCATAGGTTTGAATCCTGTCGACTGCGCAAACATTTTTATTCATCATTTTTTTTTTTAGTATTTTTTTTGCCCTGCACGAGCACGTGAGCAGGTGAGCATGTGAGCTCACGAGCACGAGCACCAACAAGATCGATGTGAGCACGGACGCCGGACGGACAAGGCTAGACCCCCCAAGGAGCTTCGCCCCTAAAACGAGCTTCGATTATAACGTCGGCGATTAGTATGTCTCTTGCTTATATTTCAAATGTCTCAAAAATGGGCGGTGGGTGCTTATTGCGACGGAGGCACAAGCTCAGTATTTTATGGTAGACATTCTGTAATATACGTCGATAGATCCGTTCTGAAAAGGGGATTGACACCAGCAGTCATGCTGGCGTTTTCAACGAACCTGAAGTAAGATGAAGGCACAGTGCATGCCCATTGGGAGCATGGTGGCACAGGCCATGGCAGCCAGCATGGCAGCTCCCACTGTGTCCGCACGTTGCCACCCACTGTGAAAATGTGTCACAAACGTGTCGCAACGAGTCTCTGGTCATAAAATTTCCACAAATTAAGTCAGCATAAAAAAAGTGAAAGCCGTTTACAACTCCCTGTAACATTGAATTAGAGCGCAGCTCTTGAGGAGGAGGAGGGAAGGGTACTGGGGGGAGGGGGGGGGGGTGAAGTGACCTGGGGGGGGTCACGTGACCTTGGGGGGCCACGTGACGATGCCGATGATGTCATCAGTGACGTCACTGATGACGTCATCAGTGACGATGACGATGCGGATGTCAGTGACGTCACTGATGACGTCATCCGTGATGATCACGATGCGGATGCCGGTGAGGTCATCAGTGACGTCACTGATGACGTCATCAGTGATGATGACGATGACGATGCGGATGCCGGTCAGGTCATCAGTGACGTCACTGATAACGTCATCAGTGATGATGACGATGACGATGCGGATGCCGGTGACATCATCAGTGACGATGACGTCATCCGGGAGGTCACGTGACTTCGGCGGGGGTCACGTGACCCTGGGGGGTGGTCACGTGACCTCGGGGGGTGTCACATGACTTCAGGGGGAGGGTCACGTGATCTGGGGTCATCCCAAGGTCACGTGACCTTGGGGGTTGTGCGACCTTGGTTACGCCGACGGCGCCGCTCAAGCCAAGAACGGGCCCCTAAGAGCTGCGCTCTAAAAAGAGTACTTCGAAACAATGCTTTCTTCTTGCGCAGGAGTTGCGGTGACATCAGAATAATGCCGAGCTGATTGGCGTTGATTGAAAGGATAGTGGGTAGACCTCAATGCTAGATGCCTTTAGGTCTACCCACCATTTTTTTCAATCGGGCAATAAGAGCTCGGCGTTCTAACATCGCAACCCCTGAGCAAGAAGCAGACGAACTTGTGCTCCGCATGGTCGCCCACCTGTTCCACTACAGCACAGCTCCCTGCTAGCTTCAATCATGTACGCCCCATAATATATAAATAGGATTTAGTGTTTTTTTTTTTGTGTTTTTTTGTGTGTGTGAATTTGGCTTATTTCTTTCTGCTTTCTACCTGGAAAGACAGTTTTCGGCTCTTTTCGACAAATAATGTGTACTCACGAAAGGTGACGTACAAAATATCTTTGCTCAACCCAAGACCATCTTTGCCTGCTTTTCGTGAGCCCTACACAATTACTATAGCTGTAGTCATTAACAAATTACAACGACTAGGGTGTATTGCCATGAGGAGCAAGCAAACGTCGCGTTGAGAGGTGACAATTCGAACGCCGAGGGATTGGCCTAAATTGTAGAGCAACATAGCTCGCTAACTGTGCCTCACTGCTCCAAGACACAAGACGTGAGAAATACCGAACCCCAGACATAACCCACAAAACAGAGAGCATAACTTTTTCTCGCAAACACGGACAGATGCGTTATGAGAGAATTGGGTCACTGACTAGGCCCCGACGAGGGAGTGTGCGACGAGCACGACGAGCGCCCCGGCCCAGCCCAGCAGCAGCAAGGGGTTGAGCCGAGGCAGCAGCAGCGACGACAGGCCGGGCACCAGGCGGCACACCCTGCAACAGTCGAAGTCCACGGTGGGCGGATGGTGCCACCTGCCTCCCAATTCGAGGCTTCGTCCACTTTCCCATCCGGGGAACGGAATCGCACTCCGTTTCACGTCTAGTCCAAACGATCTGACGAGGCCGATTGAGCGGTGCCAAAAGTGCGTCGTTACGGTGCTCGGCGCCTCGTGCATTTGTAATCACCAACAGAAAAAAAGCCCAGGATCACCCTGCCCTCACTGTGGGCGATAGGTTTAGCAGGCAAGAGCAAATGCACAAAGCCGACGAGCGCCGTGACGATACACTCTTGCTGCTGTTCAATTGGCTCCCTCGGACTGGGGCGCAGGCTGCGGACAGATTTAAGGTAAGGCAGAGTATAAGAGCTACCATTCACACGGCTGACTGGAGCTGTATTGATGCCGGCAAAGTTGAACGAGTCGCGGTGAGAAAGTATGCAAAAACACGATCGAAGATGGATGATGCTCGAGGCAAAGTATTTTCGAGCGTCTTGCACAACCCTTGCGGGTTGTCTTTGCATCTAATGTCGACCCTGCTCGCATCACTGGAGTCTCACTCGTCTTTACTAAAGGTCAATGATAAAATGCTTCCGAGCGCCTAGAAAACCGAGCTTCGGAGCTCCGTCTAACAGGCTCGCCTTGATGCCGTACATCGATGCTTGCACCGCCAAGCGACAGTGAGTATAAGCGTTTGCCAGCAGCTACTCTTCAAAAGCTAGTCTGGCTACCGTGAGTAGAAAACACTTTGTTGGGGCACTGGACTGGCAACTGCGGGCACACCTTAGTCATCGGACGATCTAGGTCACACACGTGTAGCAAGATGGCGGCACCCAGAGGCACTACTTGCAAAACACTTGTAACGCTTTTTCATTTACCCTTGTATCCAACCATGTAGTTCACGTATCTCGTGAGCGGGACAAAATAAGCAAGATCTTACAACTTGGAATAAGCACAAAAAATATAAAAGAAGGAAAACAAGAATGAATAACAGCTGCGATTAAAATGAGAACACTTCCCAGTGGCGTGGCAAGAGCAATACAATGTTTTCCCCCGTACTGGAAGCTCTGCAATTCAAGATGGCAACGCTTGCGTGAAAAAAAGTCTTTAGATAGGGCGACCATGATCCTTGGAGTAAAAAGTGGGAAATCGAGGGGGGCGGGACGGACACAAAAGCTCTGCTACTATGTACGGTATTCAGTTCAACCTAAAAAAGCACAGGAAACACAAGTGCCTTACTTCTTCATGTTTAAGCAATGAGACAAAAATCTGGCCAACTGAAGCATGCCAAAATCAGCAATATAGAAAAAAGTCTTAGATCTAACTGCAGAAAGAGTTCAAAATGGTGCTTATATGGGAAATACAATTTTTGTGGTGCATTTAATTTTATAAAATTACATCTATGATGAGTAAACATCTCTTTGTTTCTTCCGCCACCTTGGCATTCAATTGTGCTTCTTTCCACAGAATGGGACATGCGGCTTCGTTGAGACAAAATGACAAGACGGCAGAAACAAACCTCTAAAACGGGATGTTTGGTCAACCTATCTACAGACTACCCAGAGTTTGGGGTCGGTGCCTGAACATCCGGCAATTGCAGATTGCGATTGACACAATGACGAGCACGACTCACCCGTGGCTCAGGTCTGCCATGTGCTCCTGCAGCCAGCTGGAGCTGCAGGCGGTCAGCACGCGCCCCAGCGAGGGGTGCTCAACTCCCAGCTGCACCGCGAGGTGGCAGCACAGGGCAACCAGCAGGCCGGGCAGCACAAGGCCCCTGGCGTTGGAAACAACGCATGTGCAGTTCCCAGAACACCCGGAATCAATTTAGAGCCAAGTCCTAACCAGTTTGCAGCGTGCATCACGAATCTTGTTTCACAAACTCCTGCCAAGTTGTGGGTGGGTGTACGTAGGACAAACTGGACAATGTTTTAATGACAGGTGCATAGCGCCGACTAGCTCTAAAACAACTCAGGGGAGGGGGGGGGGGGGGCATCTTGCTGTGCACTGCTCGCGTTGCGGTTGCAAACCACCGTTAGAATTGACAAAATTTATCAAATGTGCCAATGATAACACCAAAAAATTAACATTACCGGAGCGATTTTTTTATCAAATCTTCCTGCGCAACCGCGCAGGCAGTGGTGGCAGGTGGACCGCTCGATAAAGTGTTGATTAAATCGGTCAAAGGTTAGCGCACGTCCATGTAATTTGTGTCTTCTTCATCCATGTCTTTTCCCCCCCTTTAATACCGCTGAAATCATGTGCTGACGAACTCAATCCACAGTTTTAATTTTTAACCCTATTTGTATAGCGCACTTCCAAACGAGGATACAGAAGGGCTGCTTTTATCATTGGAGAAAGGACACAAGTTGCTTTTATCATTGTGATAGCGCCAAGAAGTAGAAGTAGACAACAAAGAAATCCATGCTCCAGGACCGGCCGCACTGCCCTCCCTTTGTAAATATTATAAATAGCCCTTCACCTTCTTAACGCACCGTATCTATCTAATAGTGTTCACGCCTAACAATTAAAGAAAGTCTCATGCCCTGCAGACACATTTCTCATCAACATCTGTGAGGTTGCACTTTACGCTTATCTGTTACTTGACTGGTTTTCCCCAGAAGACGGGCGTTCGAGTGAGGAAGCACGTGCATTACCAGTTTGTAGGTACGGTTGAATCCACTTCCGACAAACCCCGGAACGGAGAAATGTTGGAAACAGGGAACTTTGAATGCATTTTAGCCCACACTTAATGGGCGAAATATGACAAAACAAATTGCCCCCCTTTGCAAATTGCATTCCTTGAATTGTAAAAACAACTAGAAACATGTATCCCAGGTATAATCCATTCCGGATAAAGAGAACAAATTTCCAATTTGCGTCGACTTGGTTATAATCGGGCTTGACTATGTGGCAAAAATATGCTGAATATTGCTATTTTGCTATGGTCATGCATAGAGAGATGCAAAGCACGCACGGTCACTCACGTGTGAACTACAGGTTGCTGCACCAGACGCATCAGGCTGTAACAAAAAAAAAAAAAAAAAAATAATGCGCTCAAACTCTTTAGTCTTTGTTTTCAAAAAACGTCTCTCCAAATCTAATACTTGGGTTTTGCCAACATTTAAGTAGTAGTTTAGAATAATATGCTGTTCAATATTCGCTTTGAGAGGAGCTGCGATATTCATAGTTCTCGAAGCGTTGATCATGGCGGGTAAGCCTCGTTGAGTGCGCCTCTCACCGAGCACCCGCGCACTACAGGGAAGAAATACCCGTGAATGCCTGCGAGTTCTGCGGGTATTGCTTGCCTGCAGTGCATAAATGCTCGGTGAGAAGTGCACTCAACGGAACTAACCCGCCGTAATTATGCAAGAGGCCTTGCTGGTAGCAATGTCTTGATAACCTGCATACATCATATATGCTTGTTTTTTTTGTCCAATTTGAAATTGCAGAGAGAATATGTGCATATAGCAAGGAAATTTATAAGTCCCCTCAATTAGGATAGCTGCGACAAATCTGTTGCTTACATGCCACTTCATAAATATAGTACTAGTTATATTAAAATTAACTGAGCTTAGAAGTGGACAAGTGGAAGGTTGGGAACAACCTTGATGAGTCCAGCTGAATTTCTGTTTTTAAGCATGGTGCACAGCAGTGAAAGGCTTGAAGAAACTACCTCGTCAATATTTGATTCGAAAATATTCAGCCAAAACAACTATTCACTGCAAACTAGAAATCTACTATTTGCACATGCCTATACATTAACATCAACATTAAGACCTTTTGCAGCTGCTGCAAGAATTGTTTGGTGTCCCCTAGAAATTTGCGCACAATTTTACAGTTAATTTAATCCTTCGTAATAAATAGGGTCTCAAATCCGGTTTCCAGACAAAGTGGAATTCAAAGCATCGCACATTTAGTAGTAGTGAGAGCTGGTAGAAGGCAGTGCTGATGATAAGCTGCGCAGAACTACATTTCTTCTAGTTGCATCCCTGTCAAATCTACATAGTCGTAAAGCAGTGTGCGTCCGCTCCAAGATAAAAGGCAGCCCAAGAGTGATGTCACAATCGAGTGCCAGCGGAGTAGATCTGCCCACATCTGATGAACCCAATAACCTTTGTGCATGTTCTCTGGATAGTGCTCTGAGCACATCGCCCAGTTGCTGAGGTGAAGCCACAAGACCTCTACCTCGCTGGCACCAGAGTATACGCTGTAGAGTTGAGGCAACCTGATAGTGACGATTTTGAGAAACACTATGACTTCCTCGTGCTAGGTGCTACGTATTTGAAGCTCGCCTTCGGAGCAAATGTGAGAAAATAGCGCACCTCTCTTTGAGCAGCAGAAAGGCCCCTAACTGAGCCAGCATGGTGATGGCAAACAAGGACAACACCTCCCACCTCCGGCACCTAGAAGATACAACGCAAGGTGAGAACGAGGTTCAAAACGTGTGTCCAGGGAAAGGTGACTTTGCCAGCAACTCGTGTTAGTTGCATTCAATATCCGTTTCTTACTGTCACAATCCTAGCAGCCTTTCAACCCATGTCAGGAAAATAAACAATGTCTGGTTTTGGAAGGCAGCAGTGCTTCCCAAACCAGCACGATTCTGTTTTCTGCACCACTCCAGGATCCCAGTTTCTTTCTGCGTCACTTCACTTTTTGGTGCTTACAGGGTGTCCACTCGATTAGCGTAAGCACAAACCGGCCAAATGGGCGTCTGAAGATTTTAGGTTAAGAGGTGGCCCAGACCTGAAAATGGGGGATATCGTGGAACTGAGGCCCCAACGTAAACCATCTCGTTTCCTTGAGTGCAATACTCGTGAACCAACTTTTCCCTGTTACAGCTGAGTCTTTGTACAGTGATCAAAATGGAACTTCAAAGCAGCACAAAAGTCACACTTGACCAAACAAAGGTGTCGTACTTTACACGCTGCTCACACATCCGAGCATTGAAATATTTTATCACCGCTGTATCTTTTAGACCACGCGGGAGGGAGTAAACACTCACCCGAAGCTGAAGCTCGGTGCTGCCCTGTGCTGCGACACCCAAAGACCCAGGAGGCAGTTGCCGAGGCTTCAAAGACAAACTTCTCTTACAAACATATTCACCCCACAAGTCTACTACATTGATTAATCTATCAATCACTCTGTATATCAATAATTTAATCATCACTGTTCACTTTAGACATGTTTGACATATTGCTACTTCTTACAGCTGAGCTCCTAAGACCCTTATGTCATTTGTCCCTCTTCCGTGCTTTCCCAGTCTGAAGATTTCCTATGTGGTGCGTTCCACATAGTCTTGCGTTATTACAATTGAGTTCCATAGTGACAGCAATGCTATAATTTTAACAGCCGGCAATTTCAAATGTATGGCATTGCAACAACGACTATACAGCTGTGCACAAGTCTCAACTAAATCGCAAGCTGTGCTGCGACCATGAACAAACTATGCAATATAAAACGTTGACACTATGGGAAATTATTGTGTACAATGTGTGTCCTAAGATACTGTTCTAATCGAACAGTAATAGTTCGTGCAAAAATCTTAGGTAGCCGATAGCAAGGGTAACATAGTAGTATGAAAATATAGAATGATATACCAGTGGCATAGCTATGCAACCCAGCACCAGGGGCCCTTAGCACTTTTTGTCACTCGCCCGTCCCCTCCAATTCACTCCCCGAGAGGAGAGCAAGGTTGGGGGGGTACCGCCAGAAATGGCCCGCCCGCCCCCCCCCCCCCCCCCGTGACTGGGACGCCTAGTACACCCATGCCCCCCCCCACTTTCTGTTACTATGCCACTGTGATGTACTGTAATGAATACTGTACTGTAATGAATAATGCAGTTGCAAAACCACTCACCAGAGTAGGTCAAAGAGAGTGAGTTGTGCGAGGGCTGCCAGTGCTACAGGAAGGCACAGAGAATTAGCGCAAAGAAATGACATGGAGAACCCTCATTTAAGTGTTCAGCTATTCAATCCAATTTCTTTTTAGTTAAGCTGAAAGTATGAACTTTTGGAGATTGCAAAGGTTAAAATTAAGAAATCCTAATTATCACGAAAATTACATAAAAAACAAATACGGTTGAATCTTTGGCTTCTAATCAGAACTCCAGTGAGAAATCCCATAAATAAAAGCAACTGGTGCTCCACAACTATAAAGATTTATATAAAGTATAACTGAAGGCAACAAAATGTTCTTTAAACATTTTCCCCAAAAATGTTTTGTTTTATTCTAGCCCAACCTAATAACTGAGAATAATGCAAGAACAAGAAGCATGTTAACGGCATCTCAAGGGGTCGCAAAAAACAGCTCCATGGCTAATTGGAGATCCTTGTTGTTGTTTTTTTAATTATGAAAAGATAGAAGCACACCTAAGAAAAACAAATGACCCCATAAAACAGTAAAAACATTACAGTGACAGGCATTTAAGTTCAGTCCTCTGGCCACTCGATTGAGGGAGCACTGAAAGAGGAGTGAAACACACAACCTCTAAACTGAATTGGTGCCTTTTCATCGGCTAAACTGACCAAAGCAATCAAATTACAACTTGCTCAATTAATTTTGTGCATCCCCCATGTGCATTTGAGCAAGCTAGTGTATACCTCTCTTTTGCCTGTAGGCAGACCAAAATGCAGGCACTAAAAAATTTGCAATACTGGCTAAGCACTTACCCAGGCTGTTCGAGGTACGGCTCCAGTAAAAAAGCACTACGCTGCACAAGGCATTCCCCACCACGAACCAGAGGATGTGCTTTGCCTGCAACATTTCATTTACAAAATTGTGATGCTCGCACACTTACAGTCAAAGCAGGTTGCCACATGCACACTGCCCCCAGATGTCCTAAAAGAATATCCAAGTAGTAAAAAAGCCTAAAAGAAACCCAACTAATGGCCATCTTTATAATTTCTTGTTTGTATTGAACGTTAAGTACCCAGACATCACGTAAACAGTGCAAACTGACAATGCAGCTATTGCCATCATAAACTGCCAAGTAAAGTTTACACATGGCACTTGTATTGACTTAAATAAAACTAACACATGACAGAACTACGTTCCTGTTATGTGCTTAAGCACCAGCCCGCAACACCGGCCCCAATGACTTTCCCAATGCTCCCTAACATAGCATGCCATATCAATGAATAGGCTATAGATTGGATGAGTGAGAAGAAAAGAAAAAGGAGGAAAGGGAGCTCTCGGAAACAACAACAACAAGCGAGACAAAGCGCCAGGTGGGCGAGATTTTAACTGATTAAAGCAGAACTTTGGGCTAGTTGTTTGCAGACATAATTAAAAACAAAACAGCACAAAGACAAGGACAAAGTAAAAGGTAATCGAAAGGACACAGCGATAACTCTCAACTGAAGATTTATTAACTGGATGCTAGCATAAATAAATCTTCAGTTGTGAGTCAGCGCTGTGTCCTGTCGGTTACCTTGTACTTTGTCCTCGTTTTTGCGCGCTGTTTTGTTTTTAATTACAAGATTTTAGCATTTGGGCTTCGTATAGAAATCCAGATCGAAAGACCCGTCGAGAAGCAAGACCCAGGTTTTGCTTCAGGGAACAACCAGACAAGAAAGTCGAGCAATGTTGAGAACATTTCCCAAAGATTTTGTCCCCATATACCATCACCCAGTCTTCAGCATCCATCAGCTGCTGCATCAGTGCAGCCACTCCAACTTATTTTAATTTCGATTATTTAATTTTGTGGTATCCAGGGGCGGTTCTAGAGGGGGGGGGGGGGGGGGGAGGGGGGGGGTCCGGATGTCCTGACCCTCCTCTTGATTTCTGCATGCGTAAAAATTCAGGGCGTGGGAGGGGGGGGGGGGGGGGGGTTCCTAAAGATATGGTATGCTGACCAACACCTGACCCCCCCTCTGGAAATTCCTGCATCTGCCCCTGGTGGTATCCACCTGGCTCGTTCGTTTTAGACATTTCTTTTGTACACTTACTTGGAGATATACGATTTTTGCCTTGTTATGTTACAAATTGAGTCATTACGTTTACGTCTAGCGCAAAAGCAGATTAAAATTCGTGGTTATATTTTAGGGGACGCCACAGCGGCTCACCATACAGACTACACACTTGGTGACGCATAGTGGTGCCATGTTCTTAACCTTAAACCTGCGTTCTCGCTTTAAAGATGCCAAGACAAGATCCATGACTCCTGCGTGTCAGGGTGATTCTCTAGTAAAAAAAAAAAAAAAAAAAAAAAAAAAAAAAAAAAAACTATGAACCTTGGACTCCCTCAGGACGGGTCGTAGTTCGTTGACGAAGCAGGCCACGGGTCCCAGCGTGGGCTTGCCGAAAGGCTGGAATAGGCCCTGCGTGCAAGGGGGAGGGGTGTGTGAACAGTAAGCCACCAAAGGTAGTCTCTTGAGGACATTTAAACCTAAAAAGGAACCTTCGTGGAAGCTGCTCGGATCTCTGATAAGAGACTTACCGTGGCACTCTCGTCCTTCGAGAAGTACGGAGACAGCCGCTGCCTCAAGTCTGGAAGGAAGGCTCCCTGCATCGCTGGTGTCACTACAGTCACTAAGGTATGCAAGTACAGTCACCAGCGAACGCGAAGGACATAAAATGTTGGACAGCTCATTTTTGGACGGGAGCAGACGATTCGTGACGGAGTTTTGAGGCACCACCAGGGACCAGCGGACATACTGTTCCCGTGGTTTTCGAAGTAACAGGAACTGGTTTGTTACGGGTTGTGTCCAATGTATCTTCGTGATTAAGATATGATAAAATAAGTTGAACAACTTTTGCCAGTGTCACAAGCTCAAAAAACCATACCGACCAAACACGATTCACGAATACAAACAGTTGTACTGTACGGCTTGGATCGGCTTTGCTTGGATGACTTAAACGTGGCTTATCCTGGAAACTAAAGAACTAAAGTCACTGTGGAACCAAGGGGGATGTGGAAACTAAAGTAGAAACTACGCTCAACAAGATTAACTACACCAAGCAACACCGGAAGAAACAAAATCACTGAAAGAAAGACCTGACAGGAGAACACTTTGATACAATTCTATTAATAATGGTGAAGGCGTGAAAATTTCATTTTGAAGTATTCCGGCTTGTTATTGGAAGAGAAATCAATCCAGTAGAATCCGATCCGTGAATTCGCATGGCCGCCGGTTTGCGATCTCTTGGAGTCATGAAGCTCCTTGTTATTGGTGTTCAGCCGGTTCAGCCACGTAGTCGTTGTATTTAAATATTTGTAATGGACACGACGGAAAAGCCCGAGGGGTCCGAGGAGGCAGCTCCAGTGCCGACCCCGGCTGCCCCAACCACTGCGGCTCCGGTCAAATGTGCCGCGACAGCCGGCATGGCACGAATCAAACCAGAGTATGTACCCGACCATGCTCCAAAAAGTTCGACGTTTCCAAAGAACATGTCGCACTTGTGACTACTAATAGGCTAACTCTGATAGCTGCCGATAGGATATTTTGCTAAACTGGTGAGCACACCCTCACAGCAGTACATACGTCTGCAAAAAAAGTACGTCTCGTTAAAGGGAACGTGCTTATTCACGTGTCATCGCTGGTATAGAAGCTATAGTGCCCTCAAACGTGCTGAAAATCCGGCTAAACTGCATTCAAACTTTTTCTGAACTCGGGAACACGACCAGCGTGTTCACGAGGTTGGTTTGTTGGTGCTGCAGCTGATGCAAGAACCGAAAAGAAAAAAAAAGAAAGTTGAGCGGGTTGGTAATATTTATAGTCATGATCAATCATAACCTGTCTTTACACCCCCCTCGTGTTCTCCAGGTTTGTACAGGAGATCAAGCCCCGCAGCGCGGACCCCGCATTCGTAGCCCCTCTGCAGAACGGCCAAGCCGCCGCCGCCGCCGCCGACGGCGCGCCGCCTCGCAAGAAACTCCGGGGTCAGAACCGCAGCCGGCCCCACTCGACCCCGCAACCGCGCTCCTCCAAGCTTTGCTTCAAGTTCCTCTCGGAGGAGGGCTGTCCGCACGGCGAGACGTGCCGCTTCGGCCACGACGTGGATGCCTTCTTGCGGGCCAAGCCCGCCGATTTGGGTGACCGGTGTCCGCTGTTCGAGGCGTACGGCCGGTGCCGCTACGGTGTCGCCTGCCGTTTCGCCGGCGCGCACCTCACGGACGACCGGCAGAACCGGGTGTCGCCCGAGCGTTGGAGCGTGCACGTGGGGGCCCAAGTCGAGCGCAACACGCTCAGCCGCGAGCTGCAGGCGTCCCTGCGCAAGCGGCAGTACGACTTTGCGGCCGCGGAGAAGACGCTAAAGCACATTGCGTCGGGGGCGTTGGCGGTAGCGGCGGTTGACGACGGGGCAGGCGGCGACGACGTGCCGCTCAGACCGGTCGAGAAGAAAAAGGTGGGCTTTGAAACAACGGTAGCATGATACTGGATTTAATCCCCAACAAGGAATTCCTCACTTTTTTTTTTTTCTTGTAAATTTTTGAGTTACGGTCACATCCGTCCCCAAGATTGACATACGTCCCTTTAAGGAAATGCTAGGAGCGCCAGCCATCAAACAGACTCTTTCGCTAAAAAAAAGTGGGTTCAAGTTCTGGCCAGGCTCATGTTAAAAACAACAGACAGGGTCGGGGAAGGTGGGGGTAGGAGGGGGGGGAGGGAAGAGAGAGAGAGGAAGAGGAGAAGGAGAGGGGAGGGGAGGGGAGGGAGGGGGGTTTGGTCCAGAATACTTTTTGCTTGGGTCAGGTTCGGGCTGGATTCGAGCCAAGACTAAACAGCAACAACTGACAACAACCAACATCAAGTATGGTCAGCATGGATGCGAAGCTTTGGCAGACTGCAATCACTTGCTGCTCGGGCAGTAAGCAGGAGAGATTCCAAGCCTGCCAAGGTGCTTTTGCGTGCATGCTGCACGACATAAGGTTGGGCAGTGTCGGTTGCTGCTGTTTGGCAGTCTAGGGCTTATGCGACGAAAGCATGAGGACAAAAAGGAAGAGGACACCAGAAAGCAGAACTTTGAACTGAAGTATTATTGAAAAACCACTATCTTTTGTCGGAGAGATGTACTAATGAGTACTTATGCATTTTTGGCACCAAGAGTACTAATATTAAAAACATAAACATAAAAAAAAATTTATCAGCCATTTTGTTTCTTTCTTAACATTCAGACTTGCATAGCAGATAGTCTAATTAACCATTTTATATTGTAAAAAAGGTTTTCGGCATTTGTTTGAGTGGAAGCCTCCTCTTGCAGATATTGCTGGGAGAAAAGTTGCTTTGTTGACTCTCCTTCGAATGCAAAAGATCAGCTAAAATGGGAAAGAAGTTAACCTGGTTCCTCATTCCAGCAAAATTGCTGCAATCTTGAGGGTCGAAAAAATACCCAAAATGAGCATCATCAGTCTTTCCGATGCAGCTGCACACTAACAATGCTCAATTTGGTGATGAGACTGGCTTAATTTCAATAAGATATTTCTAGATGTTGCAAGAAAATGAGTAGTGCTTATAAAATTGCAGGCTAAATTGTGAAATCCTCATTCTCAGTGTGATTTTGGTAAATCACATTGTTTCTTTAAAGGGGTAGGGAAACGCAATTCCAGCGCTTATTTTCTAGCTTGAATATGTTGCATGTTGCACCCTAACCTCAAAAACACCAGTCTTCCGTTGAAAGGCACAAGAAAACTAATTTAAGCTAAATAAACAATCTTTCAATGTGCACCTGGTGGATGCATGCAGAGCCTATTTGGGAGGTAATCTAGCAACATTGGGGAACTTGCTAAGTAGTCGTGACATAGCAGATTCCTTCGGAGCAGCGCCGCTCTTTGGCATTGCAACATTTTCCTTAGCTTTCCTCCTGAACTCACAAATCGCGCATTGTACCAAACAGTCCAAGAAGACGGAAAGGAGGGACTCCCCTCTTTCTCGGACCCTCGTTAATGCAACCGGACACAGCCACTCTCCCCCTAGAAAATTAGCTCGTCGCTCAAAACTCGAATAAAAGTTGCTTTCCCCACCCCGTTCAGCCCTAAGCTGACAGTCTTGTGGAAGCTACGTGCTCCTTGGGCCAGCCACACGCTTGTCACCCCACGGGTACTTTGAACGGCTCGGTTGTAACGCGCTGACACTACTGACACCACCACAACGCTGACAACGCCACCAAGGGCAAAGCTCAAAATCACGCCAGCCTTGCTATGTCACGAATGCGGGGAATCTTTTCTTCCTGTTTTTGTTTGCGCCGGATATCCCATGACGCATCGCGGTCTCCGTTCGCTTCTCTTCAAGCGCTTGCTCGAGTGCACCGTTTGGAACGAAAAATATAGCCAGTCGTTCAAAATACAAACGTGTGATTATCATTTACGGTTATTATCCGTCATGCTTGACTCATTTCCGAACGAAATTTGAATATTTAAATTTTTGTTTCTGTACCCCTTTAATAAGCCTTACTTGATGGAACCTTTTAAGTTGCAGTGGGTTTTAAAATATTGGCACTTGATTGCATTTTCTTTTTATTGCAGGTTGATTTTGATGGAAAGCTTTTTTTGGCTCCTCTGACTACGGCAAGTTTTCTTACTAATTTAGTTGCTAGTGTTTATACCGATTGACATGTTACGAGAGATTGGGCAATTATTGTGCCTTTTGTTCGTTAACAAAGAATTACCGAAATTGAAGCAAAACATTCTATGTCCTTTTCGATGTACTCAGCATCACGGAACAACAGGACCAATGTTGGCTGAATTGCCTGTTACCCGCTATTCTGGTGGAGGCTGTCTGCACCCTTCGATGGCATTCTAGATAAATGACATAGGTTGAGAACATTGGCGTTTCACACTCACGACATGTTAGTTTACCTGCAAGCTCTATGCTACGTTGCTACACGCTTTCTGGTTTGGTATCGCTGCATTGTGTCATTATTTACTTCTAATTTGTAATAAGATGACATACATTATATTTTGTTCTTTTGTGTGCAGTGCAGTGTAGCTAATATTTTTGTTGTTTAACGTGCCGGATTCTGAGAAAGGCCTGCAGTATTTCAGCCAAATAAATATTAAAGTAAATTAGCGGGACCCTACAGAGAACTGCAACGGGCTGGTGTCTAGCAACGGGACACAATTACAAAGCTTCTATAGTTTTGAGTAGTTCTGAGCGTACAAAGTGGGCCAGCAAGAATGTGCTGTCTTCGCAGGTTGGCAACCTTCCCTTTCGCCGCATCTGCAAGGAGTTTGGGGCGGATGTGACGTGCGGGGAGATGGCCATGGCCAGCAACCTGCTGCAGGGCCAGCAGTCGGAGTGGGCCCTGCTCAAGCGACATGCTTCCGAGGACCTGTTTGGCGTTCAGGTAATCACGTGTGCTCGTCACGCCATGTTTCAGAGAGGTTCTAGACACGGAAGTCAATATTATTTTCAGCTTATGCGGACATCTCTTCTTGCTTGTGTGCGGCATGAAGTGCACAACACCTAAGCGAAGTGATAAGATGGTTGAATAGTTAGTTAATAGTATTGTGAGACATGACTTTAAAAAGTGATTGGAATAATGTTGATATCGAGTGAGCATGGTGTGCCCTTGCTGTCAGTGCTGGGGAAAGTTTCCAAGCCTGAAAAGACCCATGGCTAGAGTGCCTCACAGGCTTCTCTTTCCTGTCGAAACAGAGATGATGCTAGAATAATTTTTTTTTAAAATATTGCTATCTTGCTTTTGTTGTGGATTATCTGCAGTGGTAGTGATTCAGCACTGCGAGCAGACAAGACAGGAGAGCACTCTTTGGTTGCCGCATTTCGCCGCAGCAAAAGAAACCACATAAATAAACAATGCAGCATGGCCGCATTACTAGCTGAATGTGTGGTCATATCCACCGTTGTCATTCGACTCCTTTCTGGGAAGAAAGGAGAGCAATATTTTCAGGAGTAGTCACAATGCATTGTCTGCATTCTAGTCAGTTGATGCTTATGCTGCATGATTAATTTCCTCGAGAACCTCGCGAAACATGCTTTGCCATTTCAGGTTTGTGGGGCACATGCGGACCAGATGACGCGCTGCGCCCAGCTTCTTACGGAGAAGTGCAGTGTGGACTTCGTGGACATCAACATGGGATGCCCGATTGATTTTGTGTACAAGAAGGTCAGTGGTACTGACGTCGTAGCATTGTGCTGGTCATGCCGTGCGAGAAGATGCGTGTTGCACGGTTCGGGTGAGAGAAATATCTACACTGAAGGAAGAGACATGGAAATATGGACATTAATAAGGCGTTGACTATGAGAGTCAAACGCTGCGAATTGAAAGGTATGGATTGTATATTTGTCGGCATCTACGTACGATTGTTTCAGCTACGCTATGCAGTAGGGAAGCTCTTATCCTCTTCGCATCCCACATGCTGAATTGCTGCAGGGATCTGACTATACTAGCACGAAAGGATGTGAGTATATTTAGTTACACCCAATTGTGCCTTATAATTAGGCAGATGAAGATAAGGAAATGAAAATGTCTTATCCCTTTTAAAGGGCAGAAATATAGAATTTGGAGAGAAATGTCACAAACCTCATGGACTGGGTAGGTATGGGATGGTAATCTAGCTAGAACTGAAGGTTTGTTCTTGGTGTTAAGGTTCAAAGGAGGTCGCTCGCATAAAAGAAAGTGCTGAAATGTTAAGAATGAAGGAGCAGTCGCAAAAAACATGATAGGAAAATAAAGTGTTTTTTTTATTGCTACATCTGTCCTGCTAGCCAGTTTTGCATCTTTTGAGGTGTTTATTCGTTTTTATTTCACATTTTATTTAACTTTAGGTGGATGCATTGGAATTCATAGCACTGCACCACCTATTGTTTTATGCATTTTTGTAACATGTATTTTTTTACAGTAATACCCCAGAAGAGCACAGTAGGTATTAAATAAATAATAAACAGAAGTAACAAATAATTATAGCCCTAACGTTGAATTGGGTTGAGGTAGAACCTGACTTTTCCTCGTCTGTCTGCAGCAAAGGAATGCGGCTTCACATTTGCCCCTTCACTTGAGCGAAACATGCAAGCTGTAAACGTGCCCGTTTGTTTTACAGGGTGCCGGCTCGGGCCTGATGGGGCGTGCCAAGAAGCTGTCGGAAATTGTGTTTGGCATGTCGTCGGTGATGGACGTGCCACTGACGCTGAAGATGCGGGCGGGCATCCAAGAGGGCCGGCAAATTGCACACCAAGTCATCCAGGACCTCAAGAGGTGGACTGACCGGGTGGCCCTGATCACCGTAAGCCTTTTTCACCGATTGTCCCTCAGAGGTCACGGTTTCCGCATGTCCCGCGGTCAGGGGCAGACTTACCAATAGGCAGAGTAGGCAGCTGCTTAGGACGGCAGAATTTTGGGGGTGGCCACTTTGTGGCCGCCCCAAAATTAATTGGCTCTTTATAAATCTAGCTCCAAATTTAGCTGCTTTGTGAATTCTAGGTACGTTTGAAAATTTTAGCTCTACACTAAACTACCCCCGATGCCCCTGCTTCCCCCCCACGATCCCCGCTCCCCGTGCTTACTGTCCATGGGGAGTGGGGGTGGGGCACTGTGAAAGGCTGTTTAGGGCGGCAAAATGATAAGTCCGCCTCTGCCTGTGGTTCTCATGCGCGAGCAAGGTTTGAGATGCAAGGTTTTTATACTATGGTTCTCACATTTGGTTCTGTGGTACTCGTGTGCTACGTGAGTTACGTGAGTAACGTGATGCAGGGTTCTCAAATGCTATGGTTCTCATGTTTGGTTCTATGGTTCTCATGTGTGAAGCGAGATCCGAAATGCGAGAAAAATCATTACGTAATTGTTAATGACACTTTAATAGCCTTGCAGATGATTCTTACAAGAAAAATTAGGCAAAAACAAATTTGGAGTTTCATACTAACTTCGATGCTTCAGTTGGTCAGACACCTATTTTTCTCTGAACAAAAACAGGAAACAAACCTTTTTTATGCGAAAGCATTAACTGTTGCATGGAGCGCCGCCGACATTGGTTGTGACCGCAAAAAAGAGCAACTATTTCGCATTAAAAAGAGAAGGTGCCAGCGAACAAGTAACGAAGAGCAACTAAGGAGAGGATGTGCGCTTGGCAGCCCCTCTCTCCCCCTCTTGGATCATGTGTAGACCCTCTCTACCCCCTCTTGGGTCATGTGTCAGACCCTCTCTCCTCCGTCTTGGGTCACGTGTCAGACCCTCTCTCCCCCGTCTTGGGTCACGTGTCAGGCGTGGCCAGAGGACCTGAGGGTGGGGGGGAAAAGGGGGTGGTGCACGCTTGGCAGCCACACTCTCCCTCCTCTTGGTCACGTGTCGGGCGTGGTCGGTGGCCCAGAGGGGGAGGGGGCTAAGGGAGAGCTGAAATTCTCGCTCTTCCTTACTCGCTCCCTCTACGCCCTTCCTTCAGCTATGTTGTGCTGCACTGGAGCGGGGCGCGCTGCCGGCTGTCTCTACCCGCCGAGGAGCGGGCGCACTGCTTGTAGGAATGCGCTGCATGTAGGAATGCTTTCGCATTCCTACACGCACGCAGTCTTAAGTGTACTCCTGTAATTTTTCTTCGGTAGCTTGAATATTCAAGAAGATTAACTTTATCTCGAGTCTATCAGTGAGGACCCTGCTGGTTGCAGGTAAATAATAATTTAATACAATTACAAAATTACTTCTTTTCTTGTTGGAGCAGTTCAGCTACAACATTTTTGATTTGGTGGTGCGAGCAAACGAGCTGGTAACAAAATAACAGCGATTTGCTTTGTCAAATTATGAAGTAAGCTGAAGAGCCAGAAAGTTGCGGACGAATCGCACGACAGGGCTTGACCCTGGTGGCCCCAATGTGACAATTGAATGATTCCTTTCCAGATCCACCCCCGGTCCAGAGAACAGAGGTACACACGGTCTGCAGACTGGGGCTACTTGGAACAGTGTGCGAAAGTGGCTCACCCCATTCCCGTCTGTGGTGAGTCGGAGACGTCAGTGCGACGTTGCAGCCATCACAAACGCTGTCGGTGGAAAGCACGATGCCGTGCACTACCGGTGCAGTCTTTAGTCTCCAGAATTTATTTCTGATGCAATGAACCCTTTTGAAATTTAATGCCATCCGGTGGCTTAAAAAGTCCGAGGACGCCTAAGCACTTCTTATGAGTTGTGAATGCGAAAGCATGAATGTTGTTCTTCTGCTCCCTTAGTTCGTCTGCAGTGTAGTGGCATGGACGGTCACGTTTTGCAACTGCCGAGGTAACGGCCAAGCGTGCGCTCTCGTGAAGTGGTCACGCCGCGCTGAGCTCGGCCGTACATCCTCTCCGGAGTTAAGCGAGCTGTGCGGCCAGGCCCGCACCGCTCCCGCACCGCTGCACCTCTTACCGGCGACTCGGCCGCTGCATGCGGTGCGCCGCCATAGAGAGGGCTTCTCCGGTGGCATTTCTTTTAACTACGCCTTGTGAAAGCCAGTGGGGGCCTCGTTTCTTGATGTCACGCACCAGCCAATGGGAGCCTATCATCAGATTTCTGCTGCAGACGACAGGCTTTGCTCCATTGGGACAGGAGAAGGTGCCTTTTGGCGCTGCTTCAAAGCTGATGACGTCGGTTTGCTCCATAGGACCAGTTAATGCTTTCGCATTAAAAAAGCAGTTCCCCGACAAATTAATGGCAGTCATCAAACTGTATCACCAAGCGTTGTCACTTTCACATGTTAGTGGCAGATGGGAACTGTTTCTTTGATCACCTGATAATTCTTTCTTGATTTGTTTTAGCTTCAATGGTGTGAACGTAAGAACTGACCAGTACAAAGTGGCGACCCATAAGCCTCTCAATTAAATTTACACCATCAAAAGGCTTTAGATCTACACTCTTGCCAAGGGATCGATTGGACCACATTCCAAAAAGAAACACTTGCGCAGCCGTTATATCTAATTTATGCATCGTGCTGTACTGACATCTCAAATGTACTGGCCTCATAGATCCTCCGCTTGTAGTATCTTCAGTTTCTTTCTTCATCAGCCTCAAGAAGGCTGCAATTAGTTTGGCACAGATGTCATACACTGAGATGATGGTAGCGATCAAAGTTGGCAGATTGAATTTTGAGAAAGGTCTATTTGACGCAGTAAATAGGCGTTTCTCGTCGTATAATCCGGATTGGCACAGTCCAAATGTCCAAACTGCTCATTAGCCTCGATATGGCAGGGTATGGCCTCCAAGATCCCGAAATGCGCGTGCGAAGGCTTCCCTGGCTGTTTTATTCGACTCGCTCCCCGGCAGTACGAGCGTAATTGCGCTAACTCTGTTGCTCACCGCGAAGTGGCGATGTCCTCTTAGTCGTCACAGAGCGGCGAGCCGTCAGCGTCGCAGGTAGAGATCTGCACTGGTACGGGTTAGCCCACAGGCCACGGGCCGGCCCTGCCTGTGGACAGGGCTCGGGCTTCATGGCTACATTCACAAAGGGCTTGGGCCAGTTACGGGCCTGGCATTCAAGTTTACAAAACGGGCCAAGCTGGCCATTACTTTTTTGTAGCAGCGTGTTCTTTGGAAGCGTGTTCGAGGGGTCGGGAAGTGAACCATAGCAAGGGAAAAACGGATGCTGAAGCATGTGTGTGTGCATGTATATGTTTTTGTACAGTTCGGTGTGTGTGCAGCGACTGCTCTGAGTTCTAGCGGTACGGCGTTCCTTTTCGTCCTCGGCGGTGCCGCCATCATACAATCGCTTCTCACCATGAGCACACACCCATATACCTACACAGTGTGCACCCTCGTCGGTGTAAACCTTCTGTACATATGTCTTACCACCATAATTTTTGTCCTAAACGTGCTTATAGTACAAGCAAACAACAATATGACCTGCATAATTTACGTAATAAATAATAACAAAATATCAAAAGAAGGACGGCACGAGGACTGCACTTGTGTAGTATCAAACCTTGTGCTCGGGGTTGAAAATCTACGTCAAGTAACGTGCAGAGATTAAAAAAAATATATATATATATGTACAGCATGGTTGTTTCTATATTTTTTTTTGCGTACGGAGCTAAAATTTGTTGAGTTTTATTTGCGCTACAAGAGATGGGCCATGAGACAAAAAATTCTAGGATCCTAATAGAGAAGTTTGTACGGCTATTCCTGGTCATTATAGGCATGACTACAAGAGACAGGGTAGCGTAACAAAAGAAACTGTTTCAAGCCACTGCTTCACAAAGTGCTTCTTGTCTAATCTAAAAATTCGAGTCTTGGAATCTGTAAATATAAGAGGTTGTAAGTTGGAATATACCGAATAAACCAGGTTGGAACAAGGTTGAAATTTATAAATAAACCGGAGTTATTTTTCTTGAGATCCCATTGTCTGTTTGCATATCAATTAATTTACATCACAAGGTGCACAACGAGATATGGTAGTTTGTGCTGCATGTGCCAAAAACTAGACGTTAAATAGCTAACGCCCTACCTTTTGATTCAGTGCCTACAATTATGCAGTTTATAAAACAAAATGGCGAAATCATTGCAACATTGTCGTATCTCACTGCCATAATTGTTTTCCCTAAATCCGGGGCCACACTGCTTATACATCATTCAAAAGACAGTCTGCAAACAGATTCTAATGCGAGTCGCCTGCTTCGAATATCGCATGGCAATACACGCGGCATTCGACTTACGGATATCGTGGTAACTGATATCTGCAGACCGTCTATTGTATAACGTATAAGCAATGTGACCTTGGCTTAAAGGTGCTTCTAATAGAAGCAAACACCGCAATATGACCCCCATTGTATATTAAATTATAAAAAAGATATTAAAAGAAGGACAACACAAGGACTGCAGTTTGCTAGTATCAAACCTCGTGCTCAAGCTCGAAAAGCTAAGTCAAACAATGTGCGGAGATTTAAAAAAAAAAAAAAAAAGTACAGCATGCTTATTTTTATTTAGAGAAATACAAATTTTCTATGTACGGAGCTAAATTTTTTTTACAGTTTTATATGTGCTACAGAGTGCAGTTAAATATATCAAAAGGCATGCTTATAGCGCTAGCCACCACATGTTTAGATGTATATTTCTAATAAAATAGGCATCACAAATTGCCTATTTACTTTCCTATAGCAGCTTTTCACCGTTCTACCACTAGACAAAAAGTCTATAAGTAGAAGCTGCAGTAACTCGACGTAACGCAACATTTTCTTTGACTCGTCTCCCTTGCACCATGCTGAAACCACTGAAACGGAGCATTTGATGCCTGTGTTGAGAGCGCCTTCCTGCAGAGAGACGCTGCCTCCTCCTCTTTTTCCGCATACGCACGAATGGGATGGCCGGAGAAGCGTTCGTGCTGTTCGCTCGCCTGGGAATCTCGGAGGCAATGGGCAGGGTTATGAAGGGTGTCTACATAAGACATTTTGGAATGCGAAATCTTGGAAATAAAATGAAAATAACTTCTCAGTACACCACATTTTGTAATTTTTGTAAAACTAATAAATAAAAAAAAAAAAAAAAAGTACTGTAAAGCTTTTTAAGAATGTTCACCCAAAGTACAGAGATAAATGGTGAAAAACATGGGGTGGGCTATCTTTGGGATACTACAGGAAAACTTAATGAAAAATTTGTGGTAAATACCGCGGCATCCGCCAGAGCCCACGAGGCACGGGAACTGATACAGCAGATCGTGGACACTGCAGATTTAAGTTTCACGGCGAAATAAACAAGTGGGAATCCGCCACAAACTTGCCTGTCACAAGAACCAATATCGCGTGCGCAGAACACGGACAAAACGCGGAAATCCACTACAAACTCGCACATCATTGGAATGAATACCGCACATTGCGGACACAGCAGATTCACATTTCACGATGCAGTATAAATGTGGGAACAACTCGTGTGTTACAGGAAACAATATTGTGCGCAAAAATCGCGGACAAAAACGCGGGAAATTGCTACAAACTCGCTCGTCAGACGTACCGGTACAGCGGATTGCGCACTTGATGCTATTCCTGTCAAACGTTGCGTGACGTCCAATGAGAATTGGGGGGAACCCCCTCCCCCCCTCCCCCCCCGATTCTCGTAACATTTACGTTACGGATATTTAACCAGAAAAAACAGGATGGGCGATATCTCGGGGGAGGGCTTCCCTACGGGTTTTATGGTAGTCGGCGTTGTAAGGGTGCACTTTCACAATTCACCATCAGTTAAGAGATCTCTTTCGATAATTTTATTTTTGGCATGGCTCTAATCGAGATTTGTTTCGTTTTTGTTCCACGTTCCCAAGGTGGTGGCGACATCCTCAGCTTTGAGGATGCCAATCTGCGGCGTTCTTCGACATCCGTGAGTGGCCTAATGATTGCCAGGCAAGTGTCTCCACCTCGGACCGCATCCGATCACGTTTGACTCTCGTAAACCTGTCAACCAATACAGGCTACATTTGAACATTAGGAACACACGCAGCTACTTCTAGAGAAAATCTCTTTTCTCATTTGAAGTTCGCTAGAGCATGAGGGGTGGCTAGTGCTCACGATTATACATAGTAATGGTTGGAAAGTAACTTAATACCCTCAGACTTACAAGGCTCCCCCGTTTAAACTTGGAGCACACCCATGGCAAAGAAAAAATGCCGGCAGACATGCGGGTAAACGAAAACGTTCCTGCCATACAATGGGCCCGTGTAGAGTTACTTATCTATCATCCACCTTAACTTTTTGTTGTACCAAGTTACTTGTCATAATACTTCCTTTTTTTTCTTACGAGTCCTGCATTGAGTGAGGTAGAAATAAACCAGACTTCCTTATTAAGTCTGATCTGCATATATGAATCCCTAAGATATTTTCTTTATTCCTACCCAACCATTCTTCACAATGTCAATTTGTGTTGAGCGACTGATCGCCAGTGTTGTGTGCTCTTCCAGGGGTGCCCTGATTAAGCCGTGGATCTTCACGGAGATCAAGGAGCAGCGACACTGGGACATCTCCTCCTCGGAGCGGCTAGAGATCCTCAAGAAGTACACCGGCTATGGCCTGGACCACTGGGGATCCGACACCGAGGTGGGCTGTCCTTTAATCCACTCAAAAAGCAGTTAAAAAAAAGTTATTTGCTCAATTTTTTTTTATTTCTTTATTTCCCCCTAAGCATGCCATTTCTGAAGTATTGTAGTGAAATGCAGCAACAGTATCTTACTATGCATGTTTAAAGATCGCGTGACTAGAGCAACCATGCTCTGCCATACCGGTCGGTTACGAGAACCAGAGGTCGCTGTTACGTCGTGCAGATTAGGCAATTTGGAAGAGTCCTCGTGACAATCAGTCCAGTCTTCTAGTTTGAACGAGCTGTTTGGCGCCCAGGGTCGTGAGCTCACAGTTTTGCCTTGCAGGGTGTGGAGAGAACGAGAAGGTTTCTGCTCGAGTGGCTGTCGTTTTTGCACAGGTGAGCTCACTTGTGTTGACTGCACCCTGCTGATGTTGTCTGATTCTGCTGTTTCTGTTGCATTACTCTCCTTCTGGGCTCTTTCTAGAGGATTCCATTATAGGACACCTGTGGCATGCCCCATAATGGACACTTGAGTGAGCCTGCCCAGGTTTAGGAGGTGTCGAGCTTGAACGGATTTGGAGTTGGTGGTAGCGTTGCGCGAATATTAAAAATTTCTAACTGTAGCTTCAAATAATGCACTATCCATTATCCGCTTCGAGATGAACTCCGACCAACGGGTTAACCCCAATGAGCGCGCTTCTTACTGAGCACTGGTGCACTGCGGTGAAGCAACACTCGATGTTGCTTCACCGCAGTGAAATTTGCAGAAAGAAGTGGAGTATAGCTGGACATCTTTATAGGTTTAATTTTGTGTCAAATTCCTCGTGTTCTAGCCATTCCAGGGTGTCAAACTTTCAGAGGCCACAGTCCATGAATATAGTTAGATTAAAATTAGCTTATAAATGGACAACTCCAAACTTGAGAACAACCTTCACAAGTTTAGCTGTGTTTACTTTTAAGTATGGTGCAACAGTAGTGAAAGGCTTGGAGAAACTATTCAATGCAAGATTTTAAAATATTCGGCCAAAAACTATTTGCTCAAACTCAGAATCCACTATTCACACGACTAGTTGGTGGTGATCGTTCCTCTTGAGGTTTGTTGGTTTCTTTAGATTCAATTGATTGATTGACTCTTCAGATACATCCCTGTGGGACTTCTTGAAGTGCTACCTCAGAAGATCAACGAGAGACCGCCGCCATACCGAGGGCGAGACGACCTTGAGACACTGTTTGCCAGCCCCTCCTGTGCAGACTGGGTTCGCATCAGGTGAGTTCCTCACCGGGCTTCATTAAAATACTTGGATGGATGGATGGATGGTAGCATCTAAACCCTTTGTGTGGGCAGTAGTTTGCATTACATAGCTTAGAAACTTTTCACCTCTTCCCTCGAAATTTAGCTCAGAATTCCATCCCTCGTTAAAGGGGCCATGCAGCAGTGTTTTTCAACTTCGGTCAAATGATTGTGGTATAGTTGTTTCCTGTCATGTCTGGGTTAAAGAACTGAAAACCGATTTTGACTGCGGGATCATTGTTTCTTTTTAATTTGACAAACAATTGACATTTTGGGCGCCTCCACACGCTCTCAACTCTTACGCCGTCTTCCGAGTCGTGCACAGTGAACACGCAAAGGGGACGCCGAGAATCCGGTTGGTTCTCTTTCAAAGCCTCCAACGTGCGCGACCTCTGCTCGCAACTGACATGGCGACCTTGAAGGTTTTTCTGAGCCTAGTCTGAGCGATGTGGAGAGAGGGGGACGGTGGGGGCGAAGTGCAAGCCTCGTTGTAAGGAAGTTGGACCGACAAGCGAGCGCACGTCAGTCTGTCGGAGGGCGAGGCTCGAGGGAGGAATGTTTCTTTTTCACCTCGGGCAGATGGCGCCACTAAAACTGGATACAGTACAACTTTGTCGATGATACAAGGTTTTTTATGCGTTTACTCATGTTGAAACAACAATATTGCCTTGCCAACTTCTTAGTACAATGTTCCTCTCCTCGCCAGCAAAACTTCCTCTGTAAAATAAACCAATTGAAGCAGCATCGTAGGCACAAACAGGCTTTTAAGATACTCTTTGCAGCCACTCGTTAAAGTTGGCGGAATGCTACTAAGTAGCATTCCGTTTGGTGCAGTACACTAGCCTGTTGCTTTATTGGTAGTCTTTTCTAAACTGGTGCAGGAAGTGTAGTAAGTGCAGGAAGTGCAGGAAGTGTTGTAAAAACAATTTGGAAAGTACAGATTAATCCAATGTGCTTGTTCTTCTAGTCTCAATCGATTGGGGAAAAAAACCTTGATAGAAAAGAGGCGGCTGTAATTCGGTACATCTTAATTTGTGGGCCTCCTAGGTTACCTCCGTGTGCAACGGTAGAAATGTAAAAAAAAGCCGATGGCACTCGGAGTTGACACCGCACACTTTTCCAGCGAGATGCTTCTTGGACCGACGCCGGAGGACTTCAGCTTCCTGCCAAAGCATAAAGCAAATGCATACGCATCCTAACGCCACAATGCTGGAGGCAGGTCAACCTTCATTCGGTGGTTTCTCTACCGACGTCAATTCATCTCTCCCGTGTGCCTACAATTGTAATATAGGGTCTTGTTAATAAAAGAAAAATATGCCGTTTATGCAATATTCATTTCTTTACATTCACGAGGGTGGACAACTCGAGCACCCGACCACAACTGGTGTCCCAATAAACTCCAAATACACACGAATCGACCGCAGTTATCAACACTCGGGGTCGGAGACACGTGGTTTTGCTTGTTTTATTGGTTGCTAACAACAGGATGTTTTGCACATGGATCGCTGGCACACGGCCACTACACTGGGATAACACATCGCATGTGGCCGCTTTTCTAAGCACCAGAACTGCACAGAGAAGACTGCACAAGGTCAGTGCACCTTCACTTTGGAACAACAAACTGTAACAGGAAAAGCCTTCACACTTTTGCCAATTCCAATTTGGGTCTGTCGAAGTTGTGCCCTTTAGCTCGTCTTTGCATCGAGCGAAAGAGCCTTTTGTTTTGCGTTTTAATTGTGGTATAATCAGCATGTCCCCAACCTTCCAAGATGTGTTGTTTTAATTAACAAAATCTTGGTGATAAGACAGGACATAAACTGACCTGCTGGCAAAGGCCGTTCCCGGAACAGCTGTGCACCGTATCACACAGTTACAAGCTTATTTCTAGTTTCTTCCAACAGTTACTAACGCAGCTAACGTAACACAGACTTGGCAGTACTGACAGTCGGGTACAGAGCACAACATGGCTAAAGCTAAGCCGCGTCCCCTCGAGTCTTTTGCCTTAGCGTCCTGAATTTGTTCAGACTTCCAAATGAACGATGGAGGTGCCCAGGAACAATCGAAATGGACTTGGAATTGGAAATGCCCATTTTATAACGGTCACTCTTCGACTAATTTAATAGCTGGGCAGAAGACTCTGGACGCCGAGACACACTAACGGACAAAGCTACGCCTAATTTGCTAAAGAAACGCTGGAAAGTCGCTTAATATCACGTAAAAAAATAAACTAGATGTATGCGGATTGATTGTCATCGCATTTGAATATAGGTAATTCAAATACTAACGAAAACAGTGGAGAGACACTTGCACCAAAATCAGTGCCATGTAACCTAGAGATATGCATCATTGAGGAACCTTTGCAGTATCTGCTGCAGGCACTACATTCACTAACAAGACGCAAAACGTATGCTACGGTCAAGTCGTGAACTAACGAGTTGTAACTAGCACTTGTAGCAAGATTCTTCAGGGTTATTCTTTGCTGCAAATCAGCAGAATATTTTGGAATGCTTTAAACGAGCCATATAATAGTATAATAGCCGTTGTTTCTATTATAATAGCAATAAATATGTTTGTACATAACAGCTAAACATGTTTGTTTCATAGCTTGTGGTCATACAGTCGGAGACAAATGGGGAAGGAGATACTCTGTAGAGGAGCTCTAAGCAAACTATCGGCCTGCACCATACAACCGTGCAACTAGAGAAAGCAAAATTTTGATTCTCTTGGAAAAGGCATATTCTCCGCAGGATGTTTCAAATTCAAGAGCAGTTCTTGACAGTGCTTCTCTTCAAGTTCAGTGTGCAGCCATTTCCAGAGCGGAAGTGTGTTCAGTGTATGTGTAGCAATTAAAAGGACCATAAAACATTATTGGGTTGGATTAGCCTACCAATTAATGCACTTATTGCAACTCATGTTTTTCACCACTTAATTGGTTGTCTCGGGTATCATCTTCATTGTCGTCATTGAACCCAACATCCAATTATTAAAAAGCTGGCGGTCAATTTTCTTTTGTTTATGCAGCTGACAGAATTAAATGCAAGCAAGCTGCCAATGGAAATATTGCCTGCCTGTATCTACTGTTAATTTCATTAATTGGTAGGTTATTTATCACAGCCACAAAGTACTGTTAGTGAGGTATACAGTCGAGCCCGGTCATATCGCTCAAGCATTTCGAAATATTGTTCACATCAAACGGTCCAAACATCCCCTTGAAAATCGGATGTAATACTATAGGAGCGTTGTTTTTTTGCACCAACTCCCCTGGCGAGGACTATGGATATAACAAACCAAGCCAGCATACACGCGGTAAGATAAACAGCAAAAAAGCAGTTGTAAAAAAAAAAAAAAAAAAAAAAAAAGAGTGGAGGATGGCAAAAGCTAGGGGAGGGGCACGCACATTCCCACGTTCCCACCCACTGTCGGAACAGTAGCCTGCGCCCTTTCCCCGAACACTGCTAATGCTGTACAACTCCCTAACCCCCCCCCCCCCCCCCCCAAAAAAAAAAGTATTTGGCTGGTTGTGTGCAAATGTTGTGCAATCGCACTTGGAACACCTTATCTCTGTTTACCTTTCTTTTGCCATTATTGCGTTGCCCTTTTCTTTTTTGCTGCCTGACATTTAGTAAATTTTCTTTTTGTTGCTTGCTTAACTTTTTTATGCACTTTTCCTTGTTTTTTTTTTTTTTTTTTTTTATTTTAATTATTTTTGTTTGTCGCTTATGCTGTGTGGAGGTCCCAGCCAGGTGCGCGTGTAAGTGCGGCAGTGTTTGCGGTCTCCACCGGCTACGCTTTGCTGTATATAGCGGCTCTTGGATGCTCTATTTGGTAAGCTCCCGTCTGTCGCAACCTTCGGTATTAGGAGGCGCCAGGAAATTTCAACCAGAGCTTAATTTAACATTTTTGTATATCAAATTATGGATATATCAAACTATTTTACGATCACCTTTGAATTCGATATATCCGGGTTCGACTGTAGTACAATTCATTTGGACAAATACCACATGGTAGCTGTTAGCGGCCAACCTTCATTGAAATATACTGTTCCTGCATTGCCAAGGCCATACGAATCCCAGCAATTGTATTTTCCAATTATATAACGTTGTACATGTAATTTTGAAATTCTGTCAGAATTGTCTCAAGCTTAATAGGCCATTTAGTTTATAGACAAAAGGTTAGTAATTGGGTAAAAATTATCCAGCAGTCCTAGCTTGAAAGATACATTGTACTAGCATACCGACACATTTCTGACCAGTATATTTGCACGCAATGACACAAATTCAAGTTTTGCTTCTATTAAAACTGCTTTCATTTGCTGACCAAAATTCTAATTACTTGTATGCCAACAACGAAGCAACAATAACAGTGAAGTTGAGGAAAGAACACAAATGACATAATATGGCATTAGGTCTTATCTTTCAGTGTTGTCAGATCTGGGCTTTAAATTTAATTGCAGGATCCATTGTCTCATTGATGGAAGAAATTACTCGTGGCTGCTTTTTGCCGGAAATTAAATTGCAAAAGGATCTCTAGCACGTTTGAAAACGAACTGTTACTTTGACTGCAGAAGCATGAGCAAAAAGAAAGAAAAATCTCATGTAAGCAGTCTTCAACCATCTAGAAGCATGTTTCAGAGACTGCCCAATTGCTGCCTTACATTATAAAGTTCAATGGCTGCACCACACCGATTCGTTTGTCAGATATTGATGAAACATGCAGGAAGTTGGACCACAGGAACATTGGTGAACATCAACATGCACGTCAGACATGCTGGAAGTCAACACAGCATGACAAGTCTGGTCAGGCCTAAGACATTCACTGGCACTAGAAAAAAAAGCTTTTGTGCCGGCATAATTAAATATGGGAATACTACAGCAAGCATTTATGGAATTTATAATGTGGAAAGAATTCTGCAAAGTTTATTATCACATTTTTTACATAACCAGAGGGAAATGTTCAGACAAACGCAGTATAATGAGTTCTTATCTGTTAATATAGAATTAATATAAGGAGACACTTCTGTATTCAGTCAGAGAACTTTTGGAGCTTTGTAATAGTCTGAAAGCTAGCAGCATTTTCCTAGCTGTCCACCTACATGCACTTGCAGGAAGCAAGTGAATGCAACATTGTGCAAAGAAGCTTTATGCTGTATAGACTCAACTTGACACTTGCATCGCCAAGGGCCAGCCGCCAGTGTGCAAAAAGCTTGTCAGCGTCAATACTCTGTGGCACAGCAGCAAGTTTAGCCGCACCAAAATGCACACAATGTCTGAGGCTATCTGGCACATCTATAGCAGACAAAAAAGAAAACCACTTCACAAAAACGCCACTTGGTACAAAGGGGTTGTTACACAAGCCACAACAAGTACCATTCACTGGGACGCACAATACCAATAAATAAAAAAGTAATCTTTATTTTCCATGCATCATTTTTTTTACTCCGACCTTTATTGAGGCCGGCCAGTCATGCAGGGCATCATGCGGTGCGTGCCAAAAACGGACCGCGGCAGTTTGGCCAGAATCCCCGCAACCCGGTCGGCCTTAAATGCTGCCATCTTCGGCCCACGTATTCCTTTTCTGGTGGACTTTCGACAGTGGCAAGCCAGAGCGACGCTGGTTAAAAAAAATCAAAATGGTAAAAAAAAGAAACGGGGGCTAAGTATTTTGCCACGGCTCCTGATGAGAATGTGAGCTGCACTCGCGGTCCTCTCCCTGACCCCCCAGCGCAGCTGGCAACAGTGGGCGAGGGCTGAAATCGACGCGGAGGGGCCGCCGTGGCTAGACAACACTGAGTGTAGGGGGGGGGGGGGGGGGTAGTGTACAACAGTAACAACGCTGGCAAGGACGGACGAACGCCGGCCCTCACTGGCAGTCAGTCTCGGGCAGGACGTACGAAATGTCGTCCCAGGGGTGGCGGTAGAGGCCCTGCTTCAGGCGCTTCTGGTCGAGGTAGTGACCTGCGACGAGAAGAATTGGAGGGCCGGAATGTCAGCCTCGCCGTCGGATCTTTTGACCTTGTGGGGGTTCGCCAGAGACACTGGATGTGGTGATCCGAAAGCCAATTTAAAACTACAAATCTCGAAAAATCACGGAAGGCACTCGAAGCTTGTACAAGCTTCGAGTGCTTTCAAGCGCTCGAAGCTTTCAATTCCCGAAAAAATTGCCAGCTGTATTTCGATCTGTCGACTGAGCCATCACATTCAGAATTGCTACGTGTCAGAACTAGATTTTTATAAGGTCTTTCTACTGGCACATTTCGACTACTTAATCATGCGACATCACGTGTCGCACAATGCGGTCAAGTGACGTCTCTGTCAAGGCAAGCTGTTGGAAAACGTTGCATCATATGGCACAGCGTGAAGTGGCCCAGTATTGTCTCGCGACGTGATCATCCGACGTCTCACGTCGTCACAGTGTCAAGCCACGATGTTGAGTGGCAAAATGTCATGTGACGCCGTAGCGTCACGTGACTTGACACCTTTTGCTAAATGCAACAGCATTTGTTGACGCCTAGGCTCATAACCACGACGTCACGGTCACATGATGTGCCGCGCACTTCACAGACAAACAAAATCCGAGTAAGCCTCCATCAAGGTGCAGTTCTACATTAGAAGCGTATGCACACCGTAGCAAAGCTCACCAATGAATCCGATGGTGCGTCCGAGCACAAAGAGGCCGTTGAGGGCCCCCATCTCGATGTACTCCTGAGCCTCTTCCGGGGTGAAGCAGCCGACGCAGCGCAGCAGGTCCACCACCGCCACTCCAATCAGGCCGTCCACATTGAGAATCAGGTTCGGCTTCTGCACACCAGACAACGGCACATTTCGTCGTCGTCATGGCCACCGACAACTGCCCGAACAACTTTCCAGTTCGCCTCCAAATTCCATTGTGAGCTAAGCGAACTTGAACTCTTGTGTCACAGATGGAAAGACCCAGCAAAATTGTTTTGCTGGGTCTTTCCCCGCCCCACTCCACTTCGGCACCTTCAAGAAAAAAGCGAGGCAAGGTAAACAAAATGTCTAACTGAACGACACGCAAAAGACTGAACAACCAGAAATTTCATATATAGTACAGAAGTTAGTGCCAACATTCATTACCTCCTTATTTTGTCAGAGAATGCAAGTTTTCCTACAACTTTCTAGAATAATAATGCAAGAAAAATGTCTGTACGAAAATTGTGTAAAATATAAGAACTGCGCGTTCGTACAATGGCGAGATGCATCCAAGTGGCGAAGCCTAACCTTGGATGTGGTGATCTTTTCCACCTCCAGGGCGTAGTCGAGAACGGGCGTCGACGGGAAGTGCCGCTTGACAAACTCCTTCAGAATCTTCACCCGCATGTCTGGGTTATTGATCTGCAAACACAAACTTCCTTCAAACGAAAGAAAAAATTGGCAGTGACCTTTATCTTCGAAGGCCTATAATGCATCAAAATGCAGCATTTAAGGAGTGATTGTTTAAGTTTGTTTTTAAGACACTAAACGGTCGTTTTGAAGAGTGAAGAACCTATATTTGTATCGATTTCCCCTCCAAATCTAGAAGGAAAATTGAGTTGGTGAGGTCACACAACACAAATTTTCTGCTAGTGGGAAACTTCATTTGGTGTATAGATGTCGTGACGTCGGGTCTTGTGACAGCAACTTTACTGCTAAATTTAGTGGGGAAACTGAATTGGTGTACGGGTAACGTGACGTCAATTTGCTCGCTAAATTTAGTGGGGAAAGTAAATTGGGTCTCGCGACATCGGGTCATGTGACAAATTTCCCGGCTAATATTTGGTGAGGGAACTGAACCGGTGTTTAGGTTACGCGACGTCGATTTCCCCGCTCAATTTTAGCGGAAAATGCATGGACGGACAGACGGATGGACAAAGGTTGGGGATTGGGACTTGAGTTAAAGAGCATTTCATGCTTTAAGAAACAGACATCCTCTGTCTGACAGCTGCAGACCGAGGCAGAGGAAGAAAGGAGCACTCACCGACTTGACTCTGTGTCCGATGCCCATGATGAGGACACCCTTCTTGCGCATGACGTTGACAAACTCCATGGGGATCTGCCGGCTGTCGTAGGCCTCGCTGAACTGCTTCGCTGCTGCGTCAAGGGCACCGCCAAACCGGTCGCCCTGGAAGGACGGTACGGTCCTGTCATGGCTCGCCTTCGAGCTGGGATTTCGCTCCGACGTGCACGTGAAAGAGGCTACTCTGCCGGCTCTTGGTCGACCCAGCATGGCCATACTGAATCAGGCTTTGTTAGACTCTGTCTCTCAATTCATGGCAATCTTTTTTCAGGGAAAAAAATATTCATTATCAGTTTTCATGCACATTCAGCATAGCCTCTCTATGAAAGTATCTCTACCCTCGTCTAACCTCTCTCTCTATAGAAAAACAAAATCTTGTATGCAAGATTTATTGCCCTCGCCCAACACTTCGTCCTACAATATTTTTGGACAATGTTATGTATCACTGCGCACCAATTGGCTAAAATTAGGGACTTCCAACTATAGCACCTTAACTTGAAATGCCTCTTTACCAGGCCCAGGCCTCCACTGAATGGAATCGCCTTCCCATGCTCATAGCCTAATAGCCGATTCTGTTAACTTTAAAAAAGCAATTTTTAATTTTTACACAATGTTTCATAGCATTTTTTTTTTCCCCTGTTCTATTTATGCATTTTTTGCTTCTCTCTATAATGCCTTCAGGTCCTAAGAAAATATTAAATGATGAGTAACATCTCAAATGTCTATAGCAGTATTACTAGCATACTTGAACTTTGCTGTACCACCTCCAAAGTATTGAGCAAGCACCCACCCAAAAGTTCGAGATAATTGCAGATAAATGGGAGCTTCTCAGGTTTGAAAGAAGAAAAGCAGAAGGGTCTGATCCTGACAAAATAATCTAGAAGCAGTGTAGGGGTACAGTAAAACTCCCCAGTTTTTAAAGCAGCCGGTCCACCCATACAAAGCTTCAGGGCTTTGCGCAAGCATGCACGAGAAAAGCTTCAGCGTATTGCACCGGCGCGCACATAAAGCTCTACCGCTTTGCACCAGTGTGCACAGGTAAAGCTTCATCGTTTTGTATTGGTGCACACTCAAAAGCTTCACCATCCTGCACCGACAAAGAGCATGTGAAAGCTCGATAATGCAATTGATGCAAAGGTGCAAGCGAGCTGAACAAGAATAACAATAATCCTAATAATCTTTTGTTCCCCCACTCCAGCGATTATTATCGTTATGTGAAAGCTTCACCAGTTTGCACTGGCACGCTAGGAGAAGTGACCGACACAGAGGAGCACGTTGGCAAAAGTTCGCCAGGGCGCACTCCTATGCATCTACTTCCATTTCAAAATGTTTCAAAAGTAGGAGGTTGGGCACTCGGCGAAACGAGGGTGCACAGACGTTTGAGCCGGCCGACTCACGATGGTGAGCAGTCCCGACACGAGGGAGGAGATGAGGTCCTTGCCCGCCCGGGCGCACACGATGGTGTTGTGTGCCCCCGACACGGCCGGCCCGTGGTCCGCCGTCACCATGAGCACCATCTCGAGGAACTTGCAGGCGTATTGGGGCAGCCGCCGCTGGAACCACAGCAGGCTCAGCACCCCGCCAATGCCCAGGTCCTTCTCGATGACCGTTGTGATTGGGATGCCCGCATAGAGCAGCTCTTGGCCCCGTTCGTCGCAGATGCTCGTCATGAACGAGGCTGGCTTGCGGATCAGGCCCAGCTCCTGTTTGGGGGAGGCGACTCTTCTCAAGGTACAGTTTAAAATCTTGAACAGAGGTCTTCAAACTTTGGCTAAGGGGCCGGATTGGGGACCTGTGGCAGTTTTGAGGGTCGGAAAATACTTAAGACAATGTAAATTAAAAAATACTAAATAAATAAGCCTAAATAAACAGTTAAGATACAGAAATTGAAACTACTACAAAGATTCAAAAAGAAATGCAAGATGGATGAAAGCATCTATTTTACTTTTAAATGTAATACTATGTTGCTAATTATGATATTACAAAAGACTTGTAACTTAGAGAACTCACCAGGAACAAATCAAAGTGTATGGGAATTTTGGCATATTCACACAGGGCAGAAGACAACTGAGATTGGTAGATCTACTGATGACAACAAGCAAGAGCAAAGACACGGGACACTAAGCCCGATATTCATGAGAACGCTAAGGAATTATATATCGTAGTTACACAGACATGAAGCAGAGAACTACATATAGTAACGCTGGGGATGACAATGGACAATATTGATGCGAAAGCATGAACTGTTTCATGGAGTGAGCCGCCGTCATCAGTTTGAAGCGCGAAAAGGGCTCCTAGTTTTCGCGATTTCGCCTTCGGTTCCATTGGCTGGCGCGCGTTGACGGGGCTCCCATTGGCCGCTGCGCCATGGCCTCAGAGTTAGCGAAGCGCGCGCTTCGCTAACTCGGGCAGATGAGCAGACGATAAAGGGAGCGGACAAGCGGCTTGCATACTTTCGCATTCACAACTAGTAAGAAACGCTTAGGTGTACCACCCTCAAGCTTTCTATGGCGAGAGGTCCTGCATTTTTATGCAGTTATCTCCTATTCTTTTTTACATCTTTGTTTGCAATTTTAATGCGCGTCATGGTGCAATTTGTTTTTTCACGCGCGCTTATTTTTGCGTTTGTAGCAGCGGGCCGTGGGCCAAGCATCAATGGAGATACCGCGTCCACCCGCGGGCTGGCTGGAATGCCTCCGCAGTTCTCCATGGGTTCTCAAAAACTGGGTCCTATTTCCGCCCCCCCCCCCCCCCGCCCGCCCCCGCCACCCCCCCCCCCCCCCCCCCCCGCCCGCCCCCGCCACCCCCCCCCCCCCCCCCCCCCCCGCCCCACCCCGTAAACTGTATTTCAGCAGATCTGAGCAACCTATTAGCGCATAACTATGGGCCAAGCACTCTATTAATGTACACTTCTGTTGACTGTGTTTCTAAGCTTCTGCACTGCTTTACTGCATTTGTGCCAAGACAGGCAGGAGTTCCTCGAGATCTAAAAGTGAGGGGGCAATCTTGCATTTGCGAGGCTATCAATTGCAATAACTCTGGTACTGTTAAACTGCGTGAATTGAAAGATAAAAAAAGTACCAGAATGGCGCTTTTTTATACTCTTCGGTCCCTCAAGAGCCTGCACCACTATTACAAACGTGATACAAAAAGTACTTTACTATAGAGGTTTTTTATAATCTACATTTTAGTTCCAACTGCCACCTAACAAAAGCAGTGATTTAGTTTAATGCAGGGTGATGCCACCGCTATGCAAAGCACAAGTTCGTCTGCTTCTTGCACAGGGGTTGCAATGGTGTCAGAACGCCGAGCTCTTATGGGCTGATTAAAAAAAATAGTGGGTAGACCTCAAGGCATCTGACATTGAGGTCTACCCACTATCCTTCCAATCAAAGTCAATCACAACTCCGGCGCCATTCTGACATCACTGCACCCCCTGCGCAAGAGGCAGACAACTTGCTCTCCGCATATATCTCAAGTCTAAGGGCAGGACGGGGAGCAGGGTAACGAGCCTAAGAATCCGGGTTTGACACAAGATACAACACGAGTAGACTTTGTGCGGAGGATTAAACGGGGTGCTTACCCTGGCCCAGTTATAGTCCATGGGTACAGTGGGAGGGGGTACCTCTGGCATGGGCACAATCACACCAGCCCCGACCAAGCCATCGTACACTTTCCTGCAAAAGAGAGCAATTTTTCCTCTAACGGCAGTTTATGCTACGCATCGAAGGTCACAGGGCAGTGCTTGCCATGTTAGGGGTGTAACTAGTGCCTCGGCTGGACTGCTCGTTTGCACGATCGCTTAGGCGAGAAAAAGAATCTTAAAAGACAGCCCCCTTTGTTCCCCCAACGCCCCAGACAACTTTTGAGACGAAGCATGGGCAGCCCGACGTGGTAGATACATGTTGCAAAACGTGCGGCGCCATCCGTGGCACCAAAAGGAATGCTGGAAACGGCATGCACAGAATTAGTTCTTCCAAAAAAGAGAGGAAACGGAGGAAACTAGAGCGAAGACAAGTGAGCAACGGCATTGATTTCTCTCTCTCTCTCTCTCTCAAGTGTCGCGTGGTAGATCCTGTGAAGGCGAGCAGGAGTGTTTACTTTGGCAAGCTTTATTTTGCTCCAATTTTTTTACGGGAAGAGAACTACGCCTCATTCATGTGGCAAGACCGACCTGCTCAGTGCACATTCTGTGAACGTTTTAGCTTTCTATGTGCAGGTGGTGACTTTTGGCGGAAAGTCCACTTGGTACACTTTATATGCGATGTGCAAGTTCGTCTGCTTCTTCCGCATGGGTTGTGGTGACGCCAGAACGCCGAATTCCGATCGGAGGATAGTGGGTAGACCTCAAAGCAAGCTGCCTCGAGGTTTACCCACTATCCTTCAATCAGAGATCAGTGTTCCTACGACACTGCAGCCCCTGCAAGAGAAGCAGACAAACTTGTGCTCCGCATAATCTTAACCCGTGCAACGCCCCTGGCGTGTCACTCGCTCGCGACGCTCACCTTGGCGCTTGTTCCCGACAATCTTCTCGCGGACAACGACCCACAAAACATGTTCCGCGTTAAAAACGAGGAGCTGTTGGCACGCACTTGATGGTGTCCCCGAGGGCGTCGAAGGTGGGAGGCACGTGGGCCCCGGCCTTGGCGAGGGCCTCGTTCTTGGCACTGGCCGTCTCCCGGTTCGAGTTGGCACACGCCCCGGCATGCCCGAACTGGACCTCAGACGCGAACATGCTGGCGCACGTGCCGATGCACCACGCCACCAGGGGCTTGCTCAGGACCCCGCTTTTCAGGGCCTCGCACACCTCGTACTCCTCCACACCCCCAACCTGCGTGCGTGCAGCCACGAAAGTCACCACGGTTCATGTCACAAGCGTCGGCTCCTCTTTCGTCGCAAGCACACATTTCATGCGACACTCAATGCGGCCAACATCTCGCGAAACGGCCATATAAAACTCGCTACCACAGGCTTTGCCAAATCCTATCCCCTTGTACCCCATTACACGAGCAGTCTTAGCAGAACACGATTCCCTCTGCTTTAGAAAATAACGACACAAGCCCAAAGCTGTCATCCACAAGATGCCTTCCTAGCCACTTCACAGCGCATGCAACTGCACGCACTGTGAACACAGAAGGGCAGTCACTCACCTCTCCCAGCAGCACCAGCATCTTCACCTGGGGGTCCTGCTCATACCTCGTCAGGTGGTCCATGAAGGTGGTGCCCGGGTACCTGTGTGGGGCACGCGCAAGGTATCCGTCGGTTTTTCGCGGTTTGGTTTTTTCATATCGATATGTCTCTTTATCAAAATTATTACCTCAACATTTTTCGGATTTTTCGACCAAACATCAACACTTCTACTCCGCTTGGACATTTTGAATGACCCGATCCACAACATGAATATATTGTGTGCAGTAAAAGGGGTCAGGTTGTCCGTGATACGCACAACTTCAAAATTAGAGCGTTCATGGTAACCCTGGGACATTTGAAAAAGCACTTCTTTTCCAGATCCCATCCTTCAAAAATTAACACTCCCTTCCAAAAGAAGACGGCAAGGAAGCACGAGCACTCGCCTGTCTCCACCAATGGCTACTCCCTCGTAAACACCGTTGGTGGACCTCGAGATGATGTTGTTCAGCTCGTTGGACATGCCGCCAGATCGGGACACATAGGCCACGCTGAGTCAATCGAAAAACCAACTATTAAGAACCCTTCAGTGTAAGCACAAAAGCTCTAGTGCTGAAACAGACAAGTCAAGCAGAAATCAGCAGCACGAAGCTGCTAACCTGCATAAGGCCCCAGATTCTGACTGGTTTTTAGCACCGTGAATGGGAGAATACTGGCCCTATGTTGCGAGATCACTCCTGCACTAAACTGCATACTCTTATTCAAACGCTCCTGCAATGTCCTCTACACGCATTTATTGAGAGAAAGCGTGGAATGCTTCATAACAAAAGCTCCCACCCTCAGAAATTTGCCTTCCCTACGCCCATGCATACTCCATCGCAGGGCACGTAAGCACAACCACCATATAATGTGATATCGCGTAACATGCATAACGTGACACGGGTCACATGCTACACGACGCCAGGTCACGTGACTGACGGGGCATCAGTTACGTAACCTGTGCCACCTAACACACGACGCAAAATCACGTGACCCGACATTACAGTTACGTAACCCGTATCACGAACACGTAACAGTGCCACAGGATGCCGCGCCAGTAGACCCTTTTGAAAAATGTGCGCCAACGCCTGTGCACCATTGCTTGATCACGCACTCTGAGCATGTACTGGACATGAGGGCACCGTCAGCGTTCAGCGTGAACTCGAATCCAATTGCGCTCTATGTCCAAGCAATGGCGACCGCCAACGTTGCCTGATGGACTTTTGAAAAGGGTCTTTTACCAACCAACACGTTCTCCCCTCCCCGACACAACTGTTAAATGTCTCCTAAACAAATATAAACAATTCGTCCTTAAATACTTCATTCCATGAATTATGACGGGAGATAAAGGTGGTTGCACCATTTTTAACGAATATTCTGCTGCGCAAGCTTCGGAGAGGCTCCCAAGTTCACCTACTTTCCGGGCCGGTACAACTTGGAGGCGAGAATGTTGTCCATCATGCCACCGGTGTTGCCGATCTTGAAGCACCCGGGCTTGATGCCTCCCACCTGCACAGCAACGCTCGTCTCAGCGATAACAGAGGCCACACAAAAACAGTCTGGGGCAAGCTGCCGAGATCTGAAACGACCCGTTTTTCAATGTAACCCCTTCCCAGCCCACAAAGGTGAAGAGGCTCACGATAATTCACACAGTTCATACTTCTGGTTAATTCAAACAAATTTCAAAATTTTGGTTGTCTCGCTATGTTTTAATGGATTCATAAGCACTTGAATGCCATTTTTATGTAATTCGCACTTTGTTTCTGCGGCTCCCCCCCATCGAGTGTGCTTCTTTCCGAGTACCGGTGCACTGCAGAGAGGCAACACCCATGGAGCTTGGTTTTGCTGGTGTTGCCTTTTCGCAGCGCACCGGTGCCCAATGATAAGCGCACTTAACGAGGCTCAAGCAGGGCACACATGAGCCATAAAAATGGGCACCACGCAAAAATTTCCACAGCAGCTTGCACGGACGCTGCGACGTGGCGGCAAGGCATAGGTCCACGCCACAGCGTCCGCGCAAGTTGCTATGAAAACTGCTGTGCAGTGCCCGTTTTCATTGCTCATGTTTCCCCTGCTTAGTAGTTCACATAAGACAACTTCTTGGCCTGATGAACATACCGTAATATCCCGAGTCATCGCCCACCCCCCTACCGCCTGAAATTCATTAAAAAAAGTGGGGTGGGCCATGTCTCGGTGGGTGAGCACAAACACTTGAAAAAAAGCGGAAAAAACCGCCTATTTTTCTCTGCGTATCTAGCGTATCTAGCACAAGAGATACATCAAACTCAAAACTCGATTTAGTTCCCTTGTTTCATAGAAAAAAATGCTCACAAAAGAATATTTTACTATAGCGAAGTCCGTTGCCTGCATAGGCGCTAGAAACACCGCCGATCTGCATATAGTGCGAACGTTTGTTCCGTGAAAGAATGTCACCACTATGTTCTCCTAGCTAGTAAAAAAAAAAAAAAAAAAAAGAAACGTCTGCAAGAAAATAGAAAAACCGACCAGGCGCAACGAGCGAGCCAGCGAGCGAGCGGACCAAAGAAGCGACCAAGAGCAATTCTGGGAAAGCGGGAAAGCCGGCGGTCACGTTGGCAAATACTTTGGCGTCGGGCCAAGTCGGGCGCCTTGTCAATCGCAAGCTCTTGCGCAACTTTCTTGTTTGGTGCGTACATACGTGCGTCCGTGCACGGCGGGCTATCAATGCACGGTTGGGACGCTCTGCAAACGTCTGTGTAGGGCGTTCCAGCAAAGCTTTATTTACGCGTTAAAATATTGCACAACCGCGGTCGCGACGGGCGGGAAGAAGGAGCGGGTTCGCGGTGACCTTACTTCGGCGGAGACAGACTTTGACCTAACACTCCGCGGTTACATTAACAAACTCTTATTTTGTTATCTCCATCGTTTTCTTTTCGCACGGATACACGACCACTTTGGGGTCGCTCACGGAGGAAATGCGTAAACAAAAAGAAGTGTCTTTCCCTCCTTCGTTTTACTTTGTCACGGAGGTCCTCCAACTGCAAGGTCCGCGACCGCGTCATTCGGGTAGGATGAGTGTTCGCGGATCGCGGAGTCCGCGCTGGGGTATTTGAAGGGGTGGGCGATGACTCTGTGTTTGTTCGGAAATCGATATTGGCCCAAAAAATAGGGTGGGCGATGGCTCGGGGATGGGCGATGACTCGGGATATTACAGTACTTATTTTTGTTTTAAGTTGTCACATGCTGTCTAGACAGTCAATCAATCAATCAATCAATTTTATTTACATCATCATCCATGATAGTCCATGATAAACAACATTTTTGAGAGAGAAATAAACTTTCATCATACATATCTCAAATGTTTCGTGTGTGGCATACTTGCTTATGATCAGTAGGCCTATGTAAAGAAAATCATCAAATATCTGCTTTGTATGTATAGCAATTCATTTGGCAAATTGTGATTTTATCTTGCATCCATATTTAGATAAATTTCTAATAATTCAAACTTCTGATAATTGAAACAAAATTTGTGGCTTTCTGGAATTTGATTTTATGAGGGTCTACTATATCCAGACGTCTAAATTCAATGCAAAACTTTTCAGATATGATTGCCCCTTTTTTTCTCCAATCAGCAGCTATATTTTGTTTCACCCTATGTCCAGACCCAACACTACAGGTTGATGGGACCAATCAAACTCTGTTAAAAGTGTGAGTCACTAGGTCTTTCTGTACAAGATTGGTTCAGCAATGCTAGTACACATACAAAAACAAGACAACCACCATGTTGGTGCACTTTTGAAGCTGCATGATTAATCCCATCAGCTTGTAGCGTTGACAGCGTCCCTACTTAAATATGAAATCAAGTATAGTAAAATTTAAAAAATTTGTCCATGAAAGATGCATGTTCAAGTTCCCCCGTACCGCACCTAGGTAGTACGGGGAAGCAGAGCCCACCAGGCAGGCGAATGCAAGCATAAGGAGGGGTTTTTCTCCCCAGAACTTCACGAGCTTTGCAAAGAAAAAAAAAAAGAGACTATTTAAAAATGTACCCGATTATCGACCCTTGTTGCTTACATAACATAAACAGAGACAAGCTGTAGTGAGACAACAGGCTACTCACAGTCGCTGGGCCAATGATGTTGACCCCTTTGCTGTGGGCTGCCTTGATCATCTTGCGAGTCATGTTCTCAGGAATGCCCTCTGCAATGATGGCGATGCTGCGGATCTGTAACAAGAAACAAGGAATAGAATTAGGTTTGTGTCTTGGTCGCAAGCAAATCTAAGTAGCACACCAGATCAAACCTATAGTGCCATTTAGTCACGCTGGCCAGGCACTGGCACTGCACCAGGTAATGTTGGCATTTTCGTTGCTCTTCCACCCACCTGTTCATTATTCACACCAGCTGGGTGTTCTGGCAAGCTGCACCATAACGACAAGTCAGCCAACATTCAACACAGGGTCGACTTTGACCGATTGTTTCTATCAAGCATAAAAAATCCAAACTAGAAAAAAAAAAAAAAAGGTATTTTACATGTAATTGTGCTTGTCACCGCAAAGCTCAGTTTGGCCGATTCTAAATGAAATGAAGAATCATTGAATAAAGGAACTAGATAACGCAGAACACATATTTTGCTTGCATGTAATGTCCTCACCAGTAGACCCTCTATGATAAATAAATTAATAAACAAATAAACACGTCGTCCCTTCCATTTGCATTCAGGGTGCCTCTAACACTCAAAAGCTCTGCACTCACCTGAGGATACTGGAGTGTCTCAAAGGTGCTCTCATATGCAGAGCGAAGGGAGGCAAAGTTGATGAGCACATCTGCATCAGCGTGCCTCTTCATGGCATCAGCCATGTTTTTGTACACTGCGCAAAAGGATGAGAAAGAGGGTTAGATCAATATACCAGAAGAAACATGGCATCTTAAATAAACACTTCCAACAAGAATAATACCCTCAGCCTTATTACTGTAATCAGACTCGGTGACTAAAGATGTGCATATATCATTTACAAGCTATACTAGATATAAGTAGGACCCTTCATTTTCGGGTTTGATATTTTTTCCCTAACCGAGGGGCAAAATTTTACTGCTTTGAGGCCAAGCTGGTAATCGGGGGAGAAATCAGGTTTTAAAGTATCATTTGGGAATTCTGGTTTTTCAAATTATGTTTATACATACATAAGTATACTTAACAATAAAGAACATTGATCAATATAAATACAGATTTTTCTTTTTTTCACAATCAAGCCATAGAGTACACAAAATGGAACATAATACAAGAGCTCTTCGACTTTCTAAAATTTTATCAATCCTTGTTGCTTATATAATTATCTGCATGAGCAGCGTCTGTGCCTCCATCCTAAACCTGTCCAACCTCGACATCACAGCTTGGATACATTTTCGACAGCACCTAGTAGATATCAGCCACCGTACAATCCTGAGCAAGAGCCCAATCAAGATTTGGAGATAATCATGTAAAACAGGGGGATGCGGACTCCTTAGGTCAACATTATGTAAAGATACAGGTCGTTCGTGTATTTTTAGTAGCCGTACCTGTCAAAACAAAGCTATGAAAGTAATTTCTCATCCTTTTTGATTTTTTTTTTTTGGGGGGGGGGGGGAGGGGAGTGGCTGGTAGAAACAGAAGGAAAGAAGGGCGAATGATACTTCACAGTGGGCATAAAAGTGACGTTTTGCAGCTTGATCTATGTCACCGAAGACCACTGATCCCAACAGAACCCAGATTTGTTTCCGAGGTCTAGAAATACCCTTTGTATTCTTAGGAAAAATTTTTGGAGCAGAGCAATTTAGAAAATCCTAATTTCAGAATTCAGGGATAAAACGGGTGTAACCCGATTTCCAAGAAACATGTTCAAAGCGCAAGTATCAGGAAATATCGGGTTTTACTTGAAACCAAACGACCCTATACTCCTTTTCACCTTACGTTTGAGCGCAGCAAATGCTACGAGCCATCGGAGCCAATCCAAGGCAGTGCGAGTGTCACATGACCTTGAAAAGGGGGCACAGCGAAGCGCAGAAAGCGTATCACGGGCTACGTCCACAAAGTGGGATTGGCCAGGATAGCTCGTAGAGTCCGCTGCGTCCGGACGCAAGGTGAAACGGAGTATAGATAAAACATACAATATAGGTTGCACACTGTTTAGGGCGGTTAGTGCAGATATGGCATTTGCATTTCTTTTTAATTTTGCTGATCTACATTACTGTCAAGCACCAAATTCGAAGACAAAATTGCTGCCTCATATATGCAAAATCTACTTCACCAGTATTTTTGCTGATGGCATAGAAAAAAAAAGCAATATTAAAACTGGTCAACGTTTGTGCTGACTCCGCCACACTTTGTACAGGAAACAATCCCATTTTCCAGCTTCTCATTACTGACTGCGAGTACAAGCGGAGATTTTCCTTGAATTTCGACTACCTTCTCAAGATGTTGACATGAGAACGAAATGGTTGTGCTTGTCCGACGACAGACACTTCCGTATCTCGGACAGCTCCCCATGTCACACCCCAAAAGCATAGGACTGCTATGCCGTTGGACTGTGTTGCCATCCAGGGACATCATAAATTTTGAGCGGAGCAAAAAAAACAAGGCCCCTACCTGGAATGAGGACCTCCTTGTGTCCCCAGTAGAACTTCTGCTTGTGGTCCCCGGTAAAGGGGTAGACCATGGCCACCACAGAGCCCTCCTTGCGCGAGCATACAAAGTCAAAGTCCAGCATGCTCTGCACTGCCCGCGTCTGCATGCCCCAGATGATCGCCTTCGTCTTCTGCAAGGGGGAGATGGGTGAGGCATCAGATTGTTCAGACTGGCAAAAAAGGGTGTTACCATTGAAGGCGCCGTCTTTGAAGGGACAATGCACTCCCGAAGAACACTTTCTTAGGTGTCTAAATGGGACATGTATGCCACAAAATAAACATGATAAAAATCAGGAATTGCGCAATATTTATGTTACAGGATTTGTTTGAGCATGTCTCCATTTCCAAAGCATGTCGAAAGCATTCCAAAGCACGTCTCCATTTTGAATCGTCCCCCGCGAAATGGAAGTATGTTTCGAAATCGCTAGAACAAGTCTTGGCTCCCAACATGCCGGAAAAGAAGCAAATCAGAGGGGGGCACGACGGCCATCAGAAACTCACCGGGGTGAACCAGGGCTGAGCAGCCTGCTCTGCGTTTTGACTGAAAGGCCTCCTGATGTCCTTGGTGGGGCTGGATGGCGGAGGCGGCGTCTGCACAGACGGCAGCCATTGGTTTCCTCAATGACACCTTCTGCGCACACTAGCTCGGCTGCCCTTTTATTTGGGCAGTGAAGAACAAACAGTCACTCAGAAAAGTCATTATATTTGGCGAAAGTGGTCGTTCACCCTACCGTAGATTACATTGCAAATTAGATGTTACAGTGCCATCAGTCACATCAACTGGAGCGAAAGTAACCCAATATTAAATGTTACAGTGTCATCAGTCACATCAACTGGAGAGAAAGTAAACCAAAAATGCATCGTCAGAACCACAGAAACTGAATCAAATGAGAAACTCTTTTCTCTGGCTGCTGCCAAAGGAGACGCAATGAGATAGCATTTTGGATACCTTTGAACCTCTTCAGACGTCCATCAAGCTCTGTGCTTTCAGTCTGCCTCAGTGTGATGCCATTTTCACGCCAATATTTCTAGATTGATGCGGTGTATAGCTATATTACTAGTCATGTGCAAATAGTAGAAGGGAATTCCAAGCGAAGTGGTTTTGGTCGAATATCTATGAATCGAATATCGAATAGTTTCTCTGAGCCTTTCACTTTTACAAAGTAATTTTAATCAAACTATATTTATAAACTGTTTCCTCAGAAAGTCTGATGCCTTGGGATGGTAACTAAATGACGGATTTGACAGAATCAAACCTATAGAGATGCCCAGCTATACATAATTGAATGGATTTACAAACCTTGCTATATACAAATATTCTTTCTTCCATCTCAAATTTAAACAAACAAACAAAAATCATGAATGATGAACACAGGTTGTCGTGCAGAACAGCCACAGTTTAATTTAGAAAATTTGAATGCACTCCTTACCGAGCACCGTTGCACTGCAGGGAAGCTCGCTTTTGAGGGTGTTGCTTTTCTGCAGTGTACCCGTACTTGGTAAGAAGTGCACTCAACGGAGCTCACCTGCCGCAATCGACACTTCGAAAAATATGAGCATCGCAGTTCATCTGGGAGCAAATATTGAATACTGCACTATTCGAAAGTACTATTCTAAATTTCAAATATTTGCACAACACTACTATATACACCTATTCAAGTTTTCCCTGCTAGAGACAAACGGACACAATCTCACAATGCGGTGGCCCTAAAAATGCTACCGCATTTAAGAGAGGGAGTGAATTATGCGCATAAGAACGGTCACTGGCTTACTCGCCAACTCAGAAGCTAAGAGACACAGCCTCCCAGTTAACCCACTTTTGCAAAACGTCGGATGAACGTCCGGAGGCCATTCGGCAGATTTCTTTTTTAATTTTGTAGACCAGCTTCTGCTGCCCCCAAGCAGGTAATTTGTGAAAGTGCGAAAGAGACTGGAGAGCCTCACCTTCATGCCTCCGGGCAGGAGAAAGTTGGCCGTAGTGACGTTTGGTTCCGGCATGTCGGGGACATCCCTGCGCCCCATGGCCATGGCCACGATGGCCGTCATGTGCGTCTCGGGGCCAAACACGTGCACGGGGACTCCCAGGGTGCGTCCTGCACCCAGATGCGCACATATTGCTTAGCAGAAAAGGCCAAACGGGGGGGAGGGGGCACACCATTCCAAATTGCCACACCCTACAGTTTGTCTACTCTTGACATGAACTACCAGCAAATGGAGGCGCGATTGCGTTCCCCGATAAGGTTGCGCGAGACAATCAAATCCAATAAGATCGAGCTTGCCTTTGCGGTTAGTCTATGTTACGGGGAGAGACAGTATAGCTTCCGTGCTTTTACTGGCACCGGGTCACAGATGCCTACTAGCCTCTTATTTTCAATCCTGCCTTGGCTGAGTTTTATGAGAAGTCATCCCAAACCAGCTTCTGAAAATACAGCCCATAAACAAATGCATGGTTTGTCACATGTATCAAACATATTCCCAGTACACGAAACAGGTGCACTTGGAGGAAAAATTTGTGAAAAGTTGTTTTTAAGGCTCCCGAACTCTCCACGTATTTTCTCTCTGCCTCACTTTCTGCTGTTGAAGCAAGTTGTACTTGAATAGGCAAGGCAATAGGAAAGACAAACTATGCTTCCCTGCCTACTGCATTTTTTTTTTTTTTTTTTAGACAAGAAAGGTTTTTATTTATGCACTTTCAATTATCCATGTAAGCTTTGCAAGAGTTTGAGAAATTCAAGAACTCAACGACTCCGATGGTCTAGGTCGCCAGCATATGCAAGAGGGCTTCCAAGTTCTTGCACAGTATAATACCGCCCAAGCTTTGAAGTTGAAGGGTGAAAAAGCAAAGATGTAAAGCAGCAGTTCTCAAACTGGGTTCAGCGAGTACCCAATTGCAGTGCCCCTCCCCCCTTCCATGGACTGAGCCACGGATTGAGTTGCTGTTGCGGGAAAAGCAACCTCACCCTTTCCACCAATATGTATATTTTACACTGTCCCCCAGGTTAGCTCCTCCACCTTCTTGCTCAGTCTACATGTCCTCCATCTTGTCTTATTCTGTCAGTGCAATAAACTCTCGTTCACTATCTAAATGCCTTTATCGCCCAGTATTAATGGTTGGCAACAAGGGGGGGGGGGGGGGGGGCGGGGCTCCATGGGACTTTTTTTGAGGCTGGCAAGGGTTCTTTGGGATGAAAATGTTTGAGAATCCCTGATGTAAAGAAACAATCTTGCGAAGTATACAACCCACCCATTAATTTTTGTGGTGGACACGCCATTATCCCAGCAGATAGAACCCCATATGAAACTACCTGGAGGTGAGCCACTTGCAAAAGCACTTGACTTTGAACACAAAACGAGAGAGTTGTTTTTGTTGCTTAGCGAAGTAAAAACTAAGTGCAGTGTGTACCCCCAAAAATTTCTTCACAGCAAACAAAGCATTGTTAAATGCTCAACCTTCTCTCAAATGTAGTGCTAGTGGTCCGAATCAGATGCCAAAGTTTCAAAACTAACCATTGTCTTATTCAAAAGTTACAAGCCATTTTCTGAAAATTTCAAAAAATAAAGGCTATTCTTAATAACTGGAGCCATTCACCTCCACGTGTTCGAAGACTGCATCGGCCACCATGTTTCCATTCAAAATTTCAGAAAATCGCATAACTTTTGAAAAAGATAACTGTTAGTTCTGAAACCTTTGGCATCTGGTCCGGGCTGCTATTGCTACATCTCGGAGAATGAGTGTTCTGTGATGCATAGTTTATTTTTGCAATAAATAAAAAAAAACCTTGTAATGTTTTCTTTGGACACCCTGTATACGAGAGCGTCTCTTTCCCGGCCTTCCCACTCACCCACTTCCTTCATGACCCTGAGTCCCTCCTGGTAGTTGGGGCCTGCCCTCCGCACATACACAGATACCCCATGCTCCACCAGCCGCTCACGGAACTCCTGCAGGGCCTTCACTATGCCCTGAAACACAAGCAGACCTTCAGAACGGTACTGCAAGAACATTGCTACCTATCACTCGCTGCCTTTTAAAGGTGCCACTGAAACAGGCTTAGTTTCTTTTGTTGTTTACGCACTGCCCAATAACAGAGACAAAGCAAATAGACATTTTGACCACGAGGAATGAGGAGAGAAGGAACATGACAGGAATGTCTCCAGTCCTTCCCATCCATACTCTCCAGGTTACAAAAGATCCATTTCAAACCGAACATTAGCAGCATTCATGCCATTTAGACGGAACAGATGCTCGACTAAATTAGTCAATTTGTGAGGGCTGCCCCTGATCGAAAAGGGGCATCTCAAGAACTTCACCATATTGGAAACATTTTTGTGAGAGCATGCAGCATGCCAGAACTCAAGAGATGCCCCCTTTTGGGGGTGAACTCACCTTGAAAGTGGCAGCAACGTTGGTGAAGTTTGCAATCCCACCACCGATGATGAGCACTTTACCTGAAAGACGGTGGAAGCTATCACAAGTCTGGAGACATTGACGCTCCCACGAATAAGAATGTAAGAAGGGAATTACAAACAGTTCACAAGTTCATCCTTATCCCTGTTGCTTAGCAAGGTAAGAACTAAACAAATTCTATCGTTGGCATAGCACAGCCACTGTGGTGTTGCCAATGACAGTTGCCACAGCAGAACTGCACACACAAAAAAAGACAAACTCCTCAGGTTCGTTGAAATCACCTCTCGGTAGCTTCAACAAAACTAAAAAGCCTACCTTCAATATTTTAGGGCCCCGATCGTCGTATAACTACAAATTTATTCGATTGACACTGCTGCAAGTTTGTAACAAACTGTTTCCAAAAGTTAGAAATGCCTTAGACTCGATTAAACCAAAGGCAGCCTTGCAATCATTAATTGCCATTAGAGCCAGGTCCCAGTCCCGATAGAGTACCCAGACTGACTCGTGACAAAGGCCCATCGAAGGACCGACAACAGCCGTTGATTTCAGCACAAGCTCTAGGTTCTGCGAGGCTACGGAGAAACATTTTCTCTAAGACCAGTGAGAGAAGTGGGGAAAGGGAGATGCGTACCCTCCTTGCGCTTTTCCGACTCCGTCATGAGTCCCAAGATGGTCTTGGCGTACTCGTACGTCTGCTGCTCCGTCGGGGCCCCAGAGTATTCTCCATAGTTGGCCAACTCCGTTGCCCCCCCAAGGTCGCACACCGTGTCGCTGCAAGGAGGCACGCGGAGACATGCCCCAATCACAACCTCACCCCCAACAGATGCGGCGGAAATGCACGACTCTCAACTCTGATCACAATTTTTAAAAGTTCCGAAAGGCAAGAAGCAGACGACCGATGGCAAAGACATGGAGGTCGACAGGCAGTCGTGCGAGACATTTTCCTAGGACCAAAAGTCTTTCTTACAAGTGTCATTTTTGTATTTCAATGAGCACCCTGACACTAGTTGCAAGATAGTGTTAACAGGTTGTCAATGGACCAACAGTGCTTTCCAACATAAACAAAACAATGCTAACACTCCCCCACTGCATGCCACCGGGCATCACCGTATGCCATGAGATGGCATCATGAGCAAGTGGCACATGGTTGTTAGCAAATGTCATTGGCGGTCTGATTTTGGCTAAGGTGAGAGTGGGAGCTTTCTCGGCCGCCGATTGGACGTGGTGCCATGGCTTGCGTGTAAACAACCAACGAGATTTTGGGTGGGAACATCTCAATACCACACAAATAGCGAGGAAGGTCTCGCAGCCTCTGATGTGCTTGTCCATAGTACTACTTCATCCACCGGTCAATGTAAGCTTGTGTAAGGCAGCAGAACAACTTAAGTTGCAGAAGAGGCAGGGGTTGGCAATGGCTTCCAACGTGGAATAGCAGACATTCACAATTTCGGTGTGCGTGCGATGTCGCTCTGCCACGGTGCTCAGTCCCTAGCAGACAATCTACTTTTTTCCCGGTCTCTTAGCAGACAACGTACGGTATTTCCTTGTTATATTTTCGTCTGATAACGACACTTTGTAGAAGACGAACTGTACTGATTGCTATTTCCACTTGTTCCGCGAGATGCAAATTAGATCTCGCTTTCACGGTGACCAAAATTGGACCCCAGTAGTACAAGTTGTCACCAAGCACACCAGGTGTCGCCAAGTACATTAGGTGTCACCAAGTACATCAGGTGTCACCAAGTACACCAGGTGTCACCAAGTACACCAGGTGTCACCAAGTACACCAGGTGTCACCAAGTACACCAGGTGTCACCAAGTGGTGACCCCAAGTGAAAGATTTGCTTCCTCCCAGATATGTCCAGTGAGCTCAAGCACAGGTGCACCAGCCAGGGTGGACATACCTGTAGATGACCGAGGCCCCTCCTCCCGCCACCATGGTCCAGATGCGGCCACGAGCGTTAAGCACCGTCAGTTTGAGGGAGGCACCGCTCTTGGAGTCCAGATCAGCTATGTAGGCCTCCTGCAAATAGGAGGACAGGATTGCACTATTACACACTCGCTGAAACAACTGCGATCTACCTCAACATCCTGTCAGACAGCCCACCTAAAATCGAAAGCAAATCGGGTAAAAATAAGGAGTGGGCCAACTTCCAGTGTGCAATGAAAACATAGAAAAAATGCTGGTTTTAAATTTTGTGACCTGCAAAACTTGTGATAGCAGAAAGGGGCGATGACCCAAAGACTACTGTCCATCCCAGTCAGCAGTGTTTGCTTACCGCCCGCCGTGGCTAAGTGACACCACTTCTGCCGAGATCACCATTGTCCAGAGCCCTGCAATTACTAAAACTAGGCTGCTCTCTATCGGCGTCTTTAAGAAAAAGAGCAAATCGGGCCTAATATAAGGTTGGGTTATCCGTCGGGGGAAGGGGAGGGGGAGGGGAATGTTTCGGTATATTACGGTAAAGCACGGGAGCAGTTGCCCCACCGAAGGTGAACCCCCCAAACACTAGCTCCTAAGCCTCAGTGAACTGGTTTGAAGAGGTATCAAGGAACACTGGTAAAGGGCAGGGGGCTGTCGCTTCAGCCCCTGGCTGGAGAGACAGCCAGGGGCTGGAGAGGCCAACAACAGAAAGACACCAAATACGAGTGCTAGAAATGAGCAGTCCTGTGAATCCTGATTACAGTCACAGGAATGGCTGCAACACTTTACTGGACCCTAATGTATCATTATGTATCTTGCACTTGTGCATCCTGCACCTTATGTTGAGGAACCATCACCAATGCCTGTTTAGAGAGTGACACGCTCAATTAATCTATGCACACAGAGGCCCTTTGGCGAGGGTAGCATGAGACTCTGGCGACGCGATGCGACGTCACTGCAACTGCAGACATCTGGCGGACACTGCGCGAAATGCGAGCTGTCCTTGACATGCGCGATTTGCAGAGCGGCATGTTGAAGCAGCCGGTGTGGTTCAGTGGTAGTGTGCCCGCTTCCCAATCAGCGGACCCGGGATCGAATCCCGAGAGAATTGTGGCGGGTTTTGAGGATTTTCTCTTCCAAGCATTTGGCGATATCGACAACAGACACCCTACGCCATACAACATTTCGAGGAGGAGGACGGGGGGGAGGGGGGGAAGAGCCCGTAACAGCCATCGCTGCAAAAAGCTTGCTCCACTTTTGACAGCATGGAACCAAAGCCAAGGTAGTGAGACAATTCACTGAAAACAAATTAATGACTGCCTCCCGCCAAACAGCAACGCTACCAGTGGCTAATTATGGCGCCACCATCGACTGCAGTTCTGGCTCGCAAGGGAGGAAGGGGGATCTGACCTCTGGGGTGGCGTCTCTGCCGAAGGGTGGTGGAAAAGTGACGTCCCCCCACTTCTGCTTGCAGACAAACTCTGCGGTGGCGTCGAGCTTGGCCGCCAGGTCCAGAATGTGGACCTGTCCGCCGGTCAGCACTGCGGACACCAAGAGTTGAGTGTCAGCAAACCAGAGCCATTGAGCTCTCTCGCGGCGTCCTGATGGCCCAATACCGGTATGCATACCACCGCCTACTTTCGAGTTAGTGCTGGTATGCACACCAGTACCTGTGGTCAAATTGTCACTCGTACAAAGCAGGTACAATACTCGTAAGATGCACATAAAATAATCGCAAAATACACGTGAAATGCGCATACAAAGTTGATACAAAGCAATACAATACTCTTACAAAAAGTTGACTACCCACACGTACAACTACGCAACAGTATGTGTGGTTGACCGACCCCTCGTAAAAAGCATGCTCACCTATGGTGCCATGGTTAACTTACAAATAACCGAGGTTGTGAGTGATGTGCAACGTCTCTAGGAACAATCCTGCAAAGAGTTCGGGAACAGCTCCGGATACTTCACACCTTCCAGTCTACGCAAATTGAGGTGTGTTAAAAAGGACCGACGAATGTAGCTGGGATTTTCTAAGTTCTTCTAGAGTTTGCCCAGAACCAAAGCACTCCAAACGTCTGCTCGGTACCACAGTCTCAAGTTTGCATCGTCTGTGCCCCTCGGGGCATTAGAGCATTACCTCAAAGCGAAGTTTTGTGGATGCACATTCAGATAACTAATGAAGGTGTGCCAGACTAGCACACTTCTCCACACAACTCACCCAGAGGATTGATCTCGAGGTAGGTGAAGTAAAGATCTACATAAACGTTGTACAGGCCACAGATGAAGGCAGCAACCAACCTGAAACAAACAAAAACATGTGCCATAAAGTTAAATATAGCATTGTAAAAGAAATACTGAATAAATTTTGGAGTTACAGTAAACAACCTAATTTTCGCAAATTTTGAGACTTCAATAATATTGCGATAAATAGATCCCGCAAATATGTTACCATACGGTAACGAACATATAGCAAACCACTCCCTGTCATGAAATTTTGTGCCCACGAAATAGTCTCAAAACTCGCGCTTCACAATATTCGAGAAATAATGAGTCCGCTAAAGTCGTTTACCGTAATCCATTAGCATTTGTAAAAAAATTTAAATCCGTCATGACCCTCCTAATAAGGGTTTTGTTAAATTCAATAACAAAAATGCAAATCATTTCAAAAGGCCTTGAGCTGTGGATTCCAATGTTTGTTACAGATTATGTTTTAGAATTCAGTTAGATTGGACCAGGACAAGAAAACACAGACAGGGCTCTGACTTATAACTGATCTAAAAACAATAAATAAACATACTAAATGGCAGGGTGCTATAGTAATTGGTGTGGATTTCCACAGCCCACCCTGGTTCCATGAATTCTCTTTCAAAAGGCACCGTCTCTTCAGCACCACTGCCACACCAGAAAGGAGAGCATCACCCTCCAGTCAAACGCCTGTGACCCACCTCTGCTTTTCGACAGGAAGGTGACCGAGCAGGGTTTTGGTCACCTGCTCCTCGCTGGGCTGGGTGTCAATGGGTACCTCCAGCTTCAGAGCCTGCACAGTTGGCACACGGCATGGAAATTTCAGTCTTTACTCAACACTGCTTCAAATGTTCCCTCAGAAAAAAAAAAAAAAATTTAAGCGGGATTGTTTCATGCACACATGTTTACACAGCCACGTATAGTAGAGGAATAAAAGAAATTATCTCCGTTCAAGAAATTCCTTTGTGAGGAGTTGTTTGGGCTTCAAAGGCAACGTCATGGAAACCCGATATATTAATGAAGTGTTAGGCCAAAGAAGCAGAAAATCACTCTTCCCAGAACAGTTGAGATCCAATAGAGAAAGAAGCTAGGTAACACCAATATGTTTAGATAACCTGTGTCTCCAGCAACATCAATTTTGAGTGCAAAAAAAAAAAAAAAAAATGTAAGAAAAGCTTTTGAAGTTTTACTCTAAAGTTATCAAATAAAAAAGGAAAAAAAAAACAGCATCATAAAACTAATTTTAAAGTAAGGGAACAAAAAAATACTACAAATTTCCGTTCAATTTTACTGCAGATACCCTTTTTCATCTAATATTTCGGAAAACAATCACATCTCGTTAATATGGACCCCGTTATTATACAGCATGTAAACGCTTTAAAGGCACTTTAGACGGCCGGCAAAAGTAAATTTTTCTGTGTGTCGTACTGCAATTTACTACAGAGGTGCAAGGAGGCGGTAAAAGTTTACAGTATAAAAAAAAAAAAAAAAAAAACTTGCCTTGTAAAAAACAACAACAACAAAAAGTCAAACCAATTTGAGCAATCTACGCCTCCACTTCGCAGACGATGCAAGCATCGAGACAGCGCCGGCCGATTCGGGATCTTTTGCTGCTATCAACTTGAATCGGCCGGCGCTCCCTCCACACAATGTATGTACGCCATCTGTTGGCAGCACTTCTCTTTACGCGTGCATCAACTGCGAAGTGGCGGCGTAGGCTGCCCAGAAGTTTTTTTCTTTTTCTCTTTCGAAGGAGGTAGGTTCATTCCTCGATTTTTTTTCACTGTAAACGTCTACCACCTGCTTGCACCTCTGTAGTAAATTGCAGCGCAATACATGGAGATACCAATTTTTGCGGATCCACTATACAGGGAACATTTATTACGGACAAACTGGGAAAATACTTGCATTTTTGTCTCGTCATTAAAGACGAATCGCATTACGAACAATTTCTGGGGGCAATGGAGGGTGTCCACAAGACAGAACCGTACCAACTTTTTCTCGAAAACAGCCACTTATGGTTCCTTTCAGATACAGTATAAAAAAACTGAAACCTTCAAACAAATCGGTATGTGAAACACATGTCGAACAATTATACCATACACCGGGTTGTAATGAGCTCTCGAATACGACCGTGAGAAGGAGCTCCGAACTTGAGGGTGAAAGGAAGCTCACCTTGGCGTCCACGTCGCCAATGTCAATGCCACCTTCGTGGTGGAAGAGGATGGTGTCGCCGTGGCGATGCGAGTAGATACATAGGTAAACCTCTTCTTCCTGCGACAGAAGTGCGGAAGTTGAGGGCAGGAGAGCAGAGCTTTCAAAACGTCACACTATCATTGTAAGCTGGCTTAGATTGCAATCATTGGTGATGATAGGTTTTAAAATGTTTCTACAACTTGAGGGGCTGTTTTCCTCTTTCCATTCACACTTAATAAACTATGGCACGTGGCTGACTTGAAGGTAAAAACAACGAGCCCAGACAACATAGTAAAACAACACTAAAATAAACTGGGAAAAAATCTGGTTGCTAGGGCAATGTCTATCTCGTTCTTCATAGAAGAGGATGAACAGAAAGCAAACAAGCAACCTTAGACATATAGTACTGGTTAAAACATTGCTGGCCTCTTTACCAAAGAACCAGTTATTTTTTTATAGCATTTCTTTTTTTTTTGCAACATCAATCTTTACTCTTTCTAGGCTACTTTTTCTTTCCACTACAGTTGAACCTCGATTTTACAAAACCTGATATTACGAATTTCACCATTTAACGAACAAATGCAGATCCCCCACAGCCTATGCGCGAGATCTCCCTTCCTTGATTTTACGAAGTTCCCGGTTTAACGAAATAATTAGTGGGTCCCAGTGACTTTGTTAATCGAGGTTCAACTGTAATATGCATGTGGTTCAAAACTGAAAAAATGCGGAATCCTTCGTCACTTTGTAGTAAACCATGGATTGTCCTGGCCAAGGCAATCAAGGACAGGAACCAAACGAGAAGATGTGCCAGCTAAGCTCGTCCAATTTTTCTAGTTCTATGAATTCTTAATTATGAATCAACCGGTCTTCTCAAACACGCCCTCCAAGCTGCAATGCCATTCATTGACGAAGCCTTACCTGAGAATGCTTGAGGAAAGGCTCGATAATGAAGTTCCTCAGGCGACCTTTGGCGCGTCCCACCTGTACACACAAACACAGACACACACCATGAATATCTCGGCGTCTGGCATACACCTCAAGTAATGACCTGCAAGGAAGCACCCATTGCTTCGATACAAACCAGGGCCAAACATTGTATCAAAACTGTCCACAACAATTACTCTCTTTATAAAAAATCTGTTTACCCTTTGGGCGGCATGTCGGAAGTACACCCACATTTACAGTGTGGACAAACTAATGGTTTTCAACACATTTATTTATTTACTACAGCATCTCATTATAAGTTGCTTGCTCTGTTTACCTTCCTAGTTACAGGCAGAAGACAACAAACCAAGCACACAAAATTGGTTTCCACCAGTTATAAAGTGCTGTATTCCCTTGGTTTAAAACAGTGCGACAAGACAAAGACAAAGTAAAGACGAGACAAACGACAGCGCTGACCACCTATCTTATTAGTTAGATTATACAGTGCTGTGTCATAGTCTGTCCCAAACGTGCACTAGTAAGGAAACAAATTTATTTATCGGACAGATCAACGGAGGCCAGGCTGACATCTTTTCGTTTATTTATATTTATTTCGTAAGCTTCTATAATCTCTCCAGTTAGTTTGTCACCGTTCCTTTCGAGTATTTTGCTTTTTTGGTAGTCAGGGATGCATCCACAGTCACGGCAGCGAGTTCCCAGATGACCGGAGATTTGTTTTGTTACATTATACTGATGTACCCTTAATCGGTCATGAATGCACCATCCGGTTCCGATGTAGAACCTGTTACAAGATAGAGGAATATAATACACGACGCATTCTCGACAGTTAACGAAAGGCTGTCAGTACTTTTTTGTGCAATGTTTTTCAGCGCTGTGGTCTGTCTCGTCTTTACTTTGTCCTTGCCTTGTTGCGCTGTTTTAAACCAAGATGCTTATCAACCAACTAACCCGAACGTACCTTTTAGCCTCCTGTATCCCATCAACAAATGTTCGCATGAGAAATCTCAATATCTTTTGAACTCACATCCCAAACCCCTCAAGAAAGAATAACACACTATTGACAACGCTTTAACAACTTTTTTTCAATGTTTGTTCACTTAAAAGTTTATCGTAGTTGAGTTTAAAAAAAAAAAAAAAGGCCTGGAAGCAAATGGTTTTGTTAGCAATAGATCCTTCCTGAAATTCAGTGCCATCTGGGTCCTCATATAGCAGTTTAATACTTGCCATACCAATGGCGGTAATGAACTTGTATTCTATCAGGCACCATCACTTTCGCAAGCCAACGGCAGACGAGAAGGTGTTCACAGTGCAGTTCTTTCTCAATCACTTTCAGTTTTGATGGTGACAGAGATACAACTGGTCAGAAGGAGGCAACAACCCACATAAATACCTCAATAGAATTCTGTTCACCAAAAGGCATTAGAGCCGATTGTGTGCCGCCTGCCCACAGATTTCCCGAATCTGAGTTAGAAATGAACGCTTACGAAGCTGTCGTGTCCGATTCCTGCGTCGCGTCACACTAACCCCTCAAATGTATAGGCTTCGCATCCTCCGCCTGGGAGCACCTCCAACGTCTTTCTTCATCAGTCACTACAAGGCCGCCATTAGTACGGCAGAGATGCCATACCTATAATAATAATATAATAATGTGTATTTAATGTTTATTTTTCTATCAAACAAATGATGGAGGGAGACCGAGGAAAAAAAAGCAGCATCATGCAGCTTGACAAGTCCCCGGCCCCCCTCTTACACGAACAGCAGATGATAGTGATCAAAGAGGCCAAACTGAACTTCGGAAACGATCTATCGTGATGGATGGAGAGAGAAACTTGCCTCAGTCTCCTTGCCCATCCGGTGTTTGACCCAGTTGTGTACGCTGTCCAGGTCTGCGTTGACGTGGATCAGCCCCAGCTTCCCCCGGCGCTTGATCAGCTGGTCGGGCTTAGCCACCAGCTTCTGCTGCAAGGGCCCATAGGAACAGCCTCAGACATCTCCACTCCTGCCATCTCTCTGAGACACAAAACAATGTGCTTTGATTCAGAGTCATACGAGCATCCCTTACATGTGTGGCCAGCCAGGGGTGTGCTTGCTGCAGGGTCTGCCAGTGGGTGTCCGGAGTCACCTGGGCGAAGAGGCAGGGTGCGGCCAACCCCTCGGCCAGGTGCTCGTTGAGGAGGCGCTTGCCCGTAGCCTCGCTGATTGCTTTGGCCGACATTCTTGCTTACGTCGGGGACTCGGCCCTGGGGGCAGAAAACGGATGGTGAGGGCCGCACCACCAAAGCAGTCAGAAACAACGCAACCGCGATTTTTACACTAAACATCTTGAACCAAATGTTTCACCCAAACCTTCATACACGGCAGCAAATAGGAGACAAAAGAAGATGGAAGTTGGAGAACTGGACAAGCACCCAAGTTAAGAACTTGGCTTTGCCTTGCGCTTGTCATTTCAATTTCTAGCCTTTTTTTTCTTACTTTAGGTCAAATTTTCCAAATGCAAGAACACCAGGAAAGTACTAGACATCTCTCAAAAGCATGCTACCAAATAAGTGTTCAGTTTTGTTTAATACTCCTCAAAGCCACTTCAATGAAGTGCATTACATATGACCTAGTACAATACAATAACAGTGAAGGTTGACAAATAACAGTTGAAAGCATATACATACACATCTAATGATCTAACAAGTCTCTCCATTACTCCAAGAGACCAATACATCTAGTTCCATCAACATCTCTTTTTGGTCCATAGACATCTCAACTGCTTAAATAGACATGTCCACTTGGTCTGATAGACATTTCTACTAGACCAATAGAAGTTCCGCTTACAGTAGACAAATAAAAGCTTTTATTGGTCCAATTGTCTTCCTATTGAACCAATAGAGCTTTTGGTATGACCGACAAAATTTTCTATTGGCCCAACAGAAATCTCTATGGGACCACTAGACTTTTATGGGACGAATAGAAATCTCTATTGGGTAAGAGATCAAACTATAGGGGGCACTTTAGCGAGCTTGTCGTCCCCACAGACCAGCATTTACTAACACAGCCTAATAAAGAAATTTAACCTTGCCTAACAGTCTGGGCACGCGTGCTTCGCTCTGATCAGTGCTTTAGCCGCACGAGGAGCGGCCTTTGAATTGTCGCCTTTAATTTCTCGGAACAAAAACAAACAAGAAAATGTAATGAAATGTACCGCTATAGGCGTGTGACTGCTCCAACTCCTGCCCAATAAAACCTATAGACATTTCTATTGGTCCAGTTGAATTTTATATAGGACCATTATAAATCTATATTGGTCCGATAGAAATCTCTACTGATCCTACAGAAATCTCTATGGGAATTTCTGCTCGGAGTATAACACTGAGCAACATCTGCAGAGCTTGAACTAGAAAAATATGCAGGACTACTGAACAGTACAGTTGACCATATTTATCCTGCAATATATTTTTATTGTAAATTTAGGCTGTCATAGTTAAACTGCTCACAACTATTAGTAATTAGTCTAATTAGCTTCCACTCTTTTTAGGCCGTATATATCAGTCTGACAGTCCGGGAACAGTTCGGACCTAATCAATGTGTCGAGAAGCAATTAATTTCAAACTTCCCCGCGACGATCGACAAATACCTTTCACTTTGCAGAAAACTGGCCAGATTAGGATTCAACGCAGGCTGAATTCGGCTTCGCTTTCGCGCCGCTCGCTTCTCCGCACGGCAGCCGTGTGCTGCCGGCGGCGCAACTCGCAGAGCACGGGGCCACGCTCGTGACGTCACTGGCTCTCGGCCAACTTGTCGCGATTTCCCACGACATTGCGGCGCAATATCCGGCCGCCAGCCACCGAAGAAGGGCCGAAATTGGCGGAATGCCCTCGACCCATTGCTATTCTGAGCATTAAAAGAATGTGCTACAATCGTCAGACATATTCCGGTACTGTGGCAGCAGTGCAATCTCCTCCATAGCTCTGTCCACCCGTGAACTGACAGTGCGTGGAAGTTGCGTGCTCGTTGGACCAGCCGTACCGCTACGTTTCGCCACGTGATCCAGCTCCACCCACGTGCAGAGAGCGGTGTCGGGTGATGAAAGGGAGGCAGCTGACTGGTCCGGCAAGCACGTAACTTACACCCCACTTTCAGCTTAGGGGTGAACGATGTGTATCACTGTTTAATTAAGAAATATATATATATATATATATATATATATATATATATATATATATATATATATATATATATATATTGAAAGCAGGAATCTGCTTGACGCTCCGCACACCCTACTTTACCGTCTAATCGTACGTCAAAAAAATTTTTTTTTTAAATTGTATTTTACATATGCCATTGGGGTTACCAACGATCGATGAAGGAAGTCGGGACAAAGAGAGAGAGAGAGAGGGGGAGGGGGGGCGAGGGTAATATTTGTTTACCGAGGATTAAGCTGACTATTTGCAGCTGGCAGCAAGTCCCTTTCTTTCAAATGTATGTTGACGCATTTCACATGGAAGTTTAGCTTCACCTGAAACTGTGGCTGAACGAGTTCCTCATGCAATTCCTCTTGTTCTTTTACATGTTTTTCACAATCGAGAATACCCTCTTCACTGGAGTATTGCTCAAAGGCACGGAAAAACTATTTCTACAAGTCTGGGGAGGTTTGGTCAACTCTTGAAAATCTTTCTAACACTGTAGGTCAGCAGTTTTCCCGGTCTACAAACTAGGGCATTGCGCAAGGAAGAATCTCAAACTCATGTCGTCCCTGTGTGTCTTCATTTTAATTGCTTGCAACAGTACCAATTCTCGCTCGTTAACTACCAGTTCATTTTACAACTAGCGGGGTATGAGCCCTTGATACCCGTGCGTGCTGTCATTCATCACATAAAACAAGTGACTAAATGGTCTGAACCAAATTCGGGACAGAGATGTCCCAACAGGGATTAGTCGGGACTCGGGACAGTCCCTCCAAATCCGGGACGGTTATTGGCAACCCTATATGCCATATTTATTCCCCCCGTGCTTGCGAAAAGTTGCATGCCCAGAATAAGTGTTGGATGTACTTTAAGTACTCATATATTGCACTTAAAAGTACTACTTCAAGTAGGCTTAGAATACTTCTAAATTATAATTATAATGCACTTAAATGCAAAGGTGCAAGCGAGCTGGAGATTTGTGTTTGTCCTTTGTCCTTCTTGTTCCCCTTCTCCATGGATCAATTTCGTCATTCTAATTTACTTCAAGTAGGCCTAGAAGACTTCTAATTTACTTGAAGTACGTTCTCCGAGTATGTATGTACTTGCACTTCATTTGAAGTGTTTTCTGGTACTTTCCGAGGAAAGTACAACTCCCGACTCCAAAGTACATTCCCCAAATTCGGTCTTGTTAAATTTGCATCACAAAATAATGGTATGTCAACTCTCAAGAAATACTGGGAGTAATATTTTACTTTCAGAACAAGCGCGAGCAGACGGCGCATCACACTGGTCGTTTCTCTGAGTGAAGTAACGGCGGCTCTAAGACCGATGAAGTGCCCTATAAGTTGATTCTGTTAAATGGTTCGTCGGCCAGAGTAAAACAACTACTCTGTGGCCGCTTGACGTAATCCAATATTCGCCACCATTTCCAAAAGCGACTGATGCACCCCTGATTATACCCCTGGGGCAACGCATACCTGTAATATAAAGCACGAAGAGGATTGAAAGGGCATAATGAAAGATCGTGTTATAAAGTACTCGGTACCTCGAAAGTACACCGTATTTATAGTACTTTACTTCCAGCACATTGCGCCTGGTGTACTTACGTAACCTTTGATATACTTTCTACTTCAGGTACTCTTTATAATAAGTACTTTACCCAACACATGCCAAAAGATCACCTCGTCCTTTTTTAAAAGGGCGAAAAGGAGGTTTTTGGGTTTATCTTTATACACAGGTAAAATAAAAACCTCCAACTTACGGTCATGCGAGACATTCTTCCCTATCAAAAATGTGATCCGAAAGTCGCGAGAGGCCAAAAAAGCGTAAAACGGTAGAAGAAGAAAAAAAAAAAAAAGGAAAAAAAGAAATCCCAGAAACCTGTTCACGTACAAACATTATTATTATTATATATATATATATATATATATATATATATATATTAAACTTCTGCGCAAATATGAGCAATTACCCAATTGTGTGGCTCAACTGTGCGACGCGCTGGTTCGAAATAAAACCGACACTGAACACGCATCTGACGCCAGTTTCTCAAATCCAAAGGCCACTTCGACATGTGTTTTACAAAAATAGAGGCAACGGCGTTGTCAGAAATTTAAAAGAAAAAGAAAAAAACAAAACAAAAAGGGGGTGTGGGGACAGGGGTTCGATTTGAATAAGCGAATTGACTTGCCGCACTTGGCGGGGTAAGTAACGACTGCGCCGCACAAGAAACAACAATGCGCCGTGATGCTATCTGTGTGCGACCGGGTTGCATGCATGCGGGGGCAATGAGCGGGACGTGAATTGAACGCGATGTTACCGGAATTGGCACAATGCGGACGATGTGCCGGTAAACTCGCAGCTGTATCCCCGCCCGACTCAGGCGGTCCGATTTTGCTTTCGGTTACATGGCTACAGCCCCGCAGCCCCACAACGCTTTTCTTGCCGGCCGCTCGACGTCGCAACTACGAAATCCTTTTGAATCGGGTTTAACGCAGTCGAACGGTCAAACGCTACCGCGTAAATTGGTCTAATTATTCTTGTTCAATGTCCCTGCGGATTCTTGGGACTACGCATTTTTGTAGAGAGTATGCTGCGTCCCCTCATCAATCGGACTGGGGCTCAACCTACCTTAAAGTAATCTGTCGTACGGACAGACTGCTCTAGAGACGGTTGAAGTGTCATTTGGTGACGGGGTAACTGTTCAGGGGAAGCTGCTCCCATCTCTTTCCAGTTTAGCAGAGAAAACGCTGGAGAGGAGGCGACCTCTCTAGCGTTCGCTCCGCTCAAGTGGGAAGTGGTGGGAGGAGCTTCCCTGAACTGTGTCCAAGGGGCGTCTCGTGCCTTCCAGATGAGAAATGTATTCAGTACAAAACCATGACCGTTAGCCTTGGGTCTTGAAATGTACAACAAAAAAAAAACGCACAACTTAACATGCTTTCCTTTTCCTTTTTTCCCCGGGTAGGAGCCCGTGAGTTTCGGGACAACGAATAAAGGTCATTCAAAATATTAGAAGTACTCAACAACCACACACACGAAAAGAGCTTCGTAACACTACGTCAGCGCTA